GCTGCAAAATGTGAGATTTAAGAATAACACCCCCACGTTTTAAGTAATTTAATGAACCAAAAATTGCAAATGGATAATTTTTTAATTTGACCGATAGCGGGGGTGTTTTGTTTTGGAAGGGATTCCCATTGCTCCTTCATGCTATTGTGAAGTCTGTGGAGGAGCCTTGTCATTCGTACATAATTCTCTACAAGCAATATATATTTTGTAATTCCACTCTGCTACAGCAATAACTAAAATATTTTTTAATCGGGAAGTCGATTAACAACCCATGATTTCCGTGCTTCCCCGAAAATAAGACTGGGTCTTATTTCAATATCTTCCGAAAAACAACACTAGGACTTATTTTCGGGGGATGTCTTATATTTTAAATTATCAAAAACAAAATTACAAAGTAGGCAATTACGAAATTTTCAAATCTACAAAATGTGAAAACTGATATTCATTTACTCATAAATAACACATTTTTATTCAAAGTAGCTGTAAAACGTAGATTATCAATCATTCAAAACGTGTAGGAGAGATTTCTTGTTATCGACTATCTTGCTATCCACCAACAAAAATCCGCGTTATTGACTAGGTCTTATTTTAACCTGAGGGGAGGGCTTATATTAAAATCCTTTCAATTCAAGCTAGGTCTTATTTTCGGGGAAACTCGGTATAAAGGGATAGACTAATTTATGATGACATCACTGTCAAATGAAAATTATTTGAAGTAGTAGATTTTCGTGGGTAATTTCCAGTTTAATAAAACTGAAAATCTTCTCGACTTCACAGCAGCAAACGATTACAGAGAGTTTTTCTACTTAGGAATTTAGGATAAATATTGTTTTTATTTTTTGGTAAAATACACGGGATTGATATATATTGATGCTTTCCATTGATATTTACACAACTGATGAATAGGGCTGGGCGTTTCGAAACACTGTTTCGAAACACTGATATGTCGAAACGGCGCTGTTTCGACTTCCGAAACGAACATTATGACGTCATAGCAAAAACAATCTGAAATCAGTAAAAATATCATTAAGCGATGTCCAAGTCGAATTTCATATCCGAATACACAGTATTTATAACATGTCGTGGAAGTCTTTGAATGAAAATATTTTACAATTATTATCGTATATTTCAACATAGTCGAGATAGTCTGGGTTACTGCGGCAATAAATCTAAAATCCAATTTTGTCGTAATTAATCTTTTTCATCCTTAGTTTCTATAGTGACCGAGCATTTTGTGCATTTGCCCCGTATGAACTAGCTCTTAAATATCATTTAGTATCTATCGCAGATTTTATTAATACACTGGCGTCGTTAATAATAATATCGTTCAGTGCAAGTTTGCGGTTTTAATTTATAAGCAATAATAAAAGCATAACAGTCGACGTGAAATATTCAAATCAGAACTGTCTTGAAGAAAAATGAAACACGAAACACCATTTTCAGTCTGAACACTCCGTCATTGGCGGATGGAAACTTGTGAATTGGGTCGACTCATTTGATTACGAAAATGTGTGTGTGGGGGGGGGGATTTGTGGTTTGGGGCGGAATTTAGCTTAACGATGTCGATGTCACGCTGACGATAAACAGTCACAACGAAAGTTAGCCGCGACAAAAATCCGAATTTATGTTAATTTTACTGTATAATTTAAAACATTTCTATGGGCGCCTAGTTGTAGCTAATTTCAATCAACGATAATATCATGAAAGTCAATTTCCTGTGTTCATGGAGTTAAGAATGTATTTGGAATTCAGATTCAAAGATATTTTTTAAAATTTATTAGTCAAGTATTCGGTTGTGGCTCTCCTTGGTATCATTCCCCCACTGGATCACAAGGCTCTGTGAAATCGGCTAATATAGAAAATGATCCCAATTATTACATAAGATGAGGGCAGGGTCGCATTGATACGTTGAGAGGCCCCATGCTATCTATGCTGCTTGTGAGCCCCATCTCTAACAATGACGTAATTCGTAATGATTATTCTGATGCAATTTGGTCACTACTTTGTCATTAGCAGAAAGCAGAAACCTTCATTGAATTATCATTATCGTTTCGTACTCTCGAATTAGCCTCCAGTGCTTCGTTTTTGTGGTTCTAATTCTTGAAAATATGTGCAATTATACATTAAATTCGATGGGTAATTATGGTTTTATTGTTTTTGACAAACGTGTGTTTCGTTTCCAAGGCAAAATTTCGTTTCGATTTCGAAACACCAGTGTTTCGAAAATGCCCAGCCCTACTGATGAATAGTTTTTGATATTGGTGATGTTACCGTTGCCTCATTATACAGCCATGAGTTGGGAACACGCTCTTCATTTCACAGAATCACTATGAAAAGTTTGCTGGATAATGAATATGTTCAAAATGCATAATGGAATATTAGCAGGGCGGAACACGGGAACATTGTTACGGCTAGAAGTGTCGAATATCGCGTGTCTAGGCTGGCAAACGCTCTTACAATAACTTCCGCAGTATGCGAAAGTTATTGCCTCACTCCAGGAGTAGTGTGATAAATTCTATTTGCAATGGTAGCAGAGCAACAAAATGCCCAATTTGTTCTAATTCTAAGCGAGCGAGGAATCGCATTTGGAGGAAATTGTAAATTAGATAGTCAAGTTTGAGCAGTCTTATGACATTCATGGTTTGAGAATATTTATTTTTCACTGTTTGGATAATACATAAATACTTGGCAAGGTTTCTTGGAGAATTTTTACCATTCAGGACTGAAAATTAGGCACGCCCTATATCTGGATTGTATGATTTAAATAAATGATGAGACATTTACTCAGAGTAGTGCGGGTACAATTAAATATTCAAATCAACAACCTAAATGAAACATAAGATATACAAATTTTGTGTCGATTTTAATAATGATATGCCCACAAAGCCTTCTTATTGGCAGCGGTGGAATTTTTTGTATGAGTGTGTGCAGTTATCTGCACATTCAATGCCCATTCGTACCTTATTACCAATCAGTTGATCGCGAGCTATTTTAAAGATTTTAGTGGATCGCGGTCGGGAGCAGGTTGGCCATCCCTGACATACAGGAACGATGCAAGTCACCGCCAAATACACTCCCGCAACCGCTATAAATTAGTAGTCAAGTAGTAGAGTACTATTAGTAGTAAGTAGAACAAATCCCTAAACAAAACCACGGTGTCGTCCAACCTGCGCCGGTTTAACCATTAAACAATATAAGCACGTGCTTAGGGAAACAAGCAAAGAGGGGCACCACAGAAATTTTAGAGCAGAATTTTATATAGTTGATCGGTGTTTATTAAAATATTACGAGTTTCCCAAACGACTCAAACTTCAAAATGTTTCTTGTTTTTCGTCTTCAAGTATCATATTAACCTTCTTTATTAAAAATAAACACTGAAACTTATTTATTTGACACGAAATAGGCCTATGAGTCGTTTTCTTAAATTGTTGTTGTTTTTTCTTTCTAGTATTCTCCTTATTGCTGCATTTTTGTTTTAAAAAAATTTCTTTTTTTTCCAACAGTTGGACCAATGAACTATTAACACTATGTAGCGGTTCCACGATCGCATTTCAACGATCTAGTGGTCAGCGAAGTCGGTAGTTTTTTGATAAGGTAAGACCAGGGTGGTCCAAACCCTGTCATTTTAGCGTATATTTGTATCTAATAGAGTAACGTTTGTAATTTTTTTTCTGGTTTTCCAACTGGGGTTCTCAAGATTCAACCCCTTTTTCTAACGCTTTGTGCCTTTATTTTAGTAAAAACACTGCTCTGTTTTCAAGCGTCGGCCATGTGAAACGGCGAAACACAGAGCCGACTTAACGCCGCGCAGTTTTTTTTTAGCTAGTTCCCGAAATACCAACTTAGACGAACTTGGTTGGTATTTGACGATGGCACTAAGCTTGCTCACGCTACAAGTTTTTAAATTACTCAATATAACAATTCGTAATAAAATGAGTGTCGCAAGAAAGGTGACATGAGGAAAACACGGCGGAAACATATTTCCTTGCCCATCACACAGAGTCTGGTTTGATTTCAAGTATAATATCTGTCACGAAAGAATAAAATTTGAAGCGACATTAAACGCGAGATGCGCAAACTACAACGGTAATTCTCGGGAATGAACTTCAAAATAACTGAAGACTTTATATATATATATATATAATATATCTTCTTTATAAGAACGCCATCCATGCAACGAGATAATAGTCTGATTAGAACGATAGACTCTCGTTGTTTATATATTAAATTTAAAGTAAGTAAACTCGCGATATTTCGATCACTTTTGGGTTTTTTCCGACTTGCGGCCAGCGAGACCTTCTCAAAAGTTTTTGCGGTCCTTCAACCTAGCAACCTTGAGCCATTCTGAGGTAGACTACTAGGTACCGGTAAAATTTCAAACTACAGTTGTGACTTGTATCCTTTGGTATTTCGATTCACGTTGAGACTGGAGGCATGAGAATCTTTATTGTCACACTCCCTCAGGATTAGAGCCCAACCGATATATCGGCCCGATATTGCGTGTTTGCCGATATATCATATATATATATCGGCTATATATAACAGTTAAAAAATCTAAAAATGTTCGTAAAAGTTGTTTTATTTACTGTTGGTTGTGATTATTTTTAATGAATAATACCCTTTTGTGGTTTATTGTTTTTATAATTAAATTACACATGAGGGGGCATCAAATTCGTTAGTGCTTAGGGCACCAAAGGGGCTGAATCCGCCCCTGCGTCCAACCATGGTAGCGGCACTATCTGCAACAAATAATTTCTGAATGTGAATTATTCTTTCCTTGCAGTATTTTCGAGTAGGCTATATATGTCTGCTCCTTTCGTAGGGATCAAGTAGTACTACGCATTCGGACGAGGAATGTAAATAACAGACAGAATCAATCGCCTTTTTCTGTACACCCATCAGTATGCTGCAAAGGAAGCAGATTTGATTCTGGAGAATCTACACAAGTTGTGTATACTGCTGATAAGTTTAAGTTTTTTTACTGTCATTTTTGTTTATAGCTTAAACTAGTTTAGAAAAACAGTGTTTTAAGAGAGCATGGAAAAAGCAGAAAAACAGAAGGGAGAAATGAGTAAATATCTCCTTTTATTGCACTGTTTGAAAATCAAGCTTTGAGGGAATTGGTTTTTTAACTCTTGCTAATTTTGTCAACTTCTGGGTATATATCAAATAATTAAAAGTTGCTTTGCCCATTCCCAAAGTAATGGTATTCTCGTATTTAAATTATCTGCTATTCTAATACGGACTAATTTTCATTGAATTCTTCATTTTTTTGTTACTAAAATTCCTCTCAAAATTTCCCTCATTTGATGGTTTTGATGTAAAATCTATGTAAATATTATAAATGCAATTGAATTCTAAGATATATTACTAGGCCTATATTAAATTATCCAATATGAATGTTCGCTATAAAAAATTTTGTAAAACACTGTAATTGCAACTGAAGCATGTTCATATATCTTATGCCAAATCTTCCAAGGTTTGCCGTTCTTTTTCGGATTGATTTTAAGCGGCTAGCAAAATTTTTGTAGCTCCTCAAGTTGAATGTTTAGCATGCTTTTTCCGCCATGCTTTTTTTTATGTTTCCGAAAGTAATACAGCATTTATTATACACTCATTACATGCTACTTCAGTTTGGCCTCCACCGGATGAGCCGAAAGTTGAAGACCCCGGCCTTATAGTGGACTATGTAGAGAAAAATGCAAAAAAAGGTGATCCAGATGATGTACTGAAAGCTGCTGATTATTATGGATGGAATTTAGGGAAACTCAGATCTATTGCGATAGGAGACGTTAAAGGTAGTATGGTCATCAAACCAAGTTTTCTATTGTGCCCTATTTTATATAAGAACGCTGGTAGACCTACTATGGTTCAAAGAGTCTGCGATACCCCAGAGTCCTAATTTCATTATTCCCAATTCGCTCAAGTCCATAACTGATTGGAGTGCAACCGTAGAAAACAAAGTCTCCAATAACACGTAAAACGCGCATTTACGACTACTTATTAAAGTTTCTGCTATTCATAGGTCTACTAATGTACAATACAGATACTTATCCAGTAGTGGGATTCAGCTGGTTCTATAGAACCTTCTCACGGAATTTTATGAGATCAGCGAACCGGTTAGCATTACTGAAAAAAAACATGACTTTTGGTAACAGAACCGGCTGAAAAATATGACATTTGTGTGATGGAACCGGCTGACAAAAAAATTGAATCCCACCACTGTTTCTATCTATTCTTTAGGTAAATTCGTGGATGAAGTTGTTCAAGACGTAAATCCGACTGTTGCTTTAGAATGTGGGGCGTGGTTCGGATATAGTGCGGTGCGGATTGCACGTTTAATGAAACCAGGTAGCTGTTTCTACTCGTTAGAGATCGATCCAATCTGTACGAAGTTGACAGAACGGTTTGTTGGACATGCTGGGTTAAGTGACAAGGTTAGTCAAAGGGTGATTTTACATGACTATAACCTACCTGATCATTACTTATATTCAGAAATATTGAGAAAGTTTTTTGTATTGAATTCACGAACAAGATAAACGAATTCACGAACATGACGAACGTTGAGTCCTAAAATTCATGATCACGTTTGCTGATTATCACGAAATCTCAATAAAAATCCACAAATCCCACCACAGTTTATGTTCCTCACCAGGGCTGTGTTGTCGGAGTCCGGTAGCCTTAATTTTCCAAACACACAAAGGCATTGTGAATAAGGCAATCCTTTCAATCCTCTGATCATTGCGTCAGTCATTGACGTGACTAAAATCTGTTTCGATTTTTCCAAACCTGAATGAGTACAGGAGTATTCTGTATGCCTTGTATAAGACTTATTTTTACTACTTCAGGTGAAAGTTATATTAGGTGACGCTCATGAAGTTATTCCACAGCTAAAAGAAAAATATGGGATTGAAAAAATTGACTTAGCGTTGCTCGATAACAGCTGCAAAAACTACAAAGGCAATCTGATTGAAATGCTTGATGCTGGTTTAATACAGAAAGGCAGCGTCGTCCTTGCTGACAACGTTCTATACCCAGGTAACGACAGTGATACAGCAATAATTTCATGTGGCGAAGCATAAATGTTTCAGTGATATTTGTTGTAAGATTCCTGACATCGTTGAATTCCGTCAGTGAATGAAAATTGTAAATGGATAATTACTAATTTCTAAATCTGAGCGACTGCGGGGATGTTTTATTTTGGTGAGCATTGCTCCTTAATGCCATTGTGACAGTCTGTTGGGGAACCTTGCCATTCGTACATAATGATCTTTGCAAGCAGTATATTGTAATTCCACTCTGCTATAGCAATAACTAAAATATTTTTTAATCGGGAAGTCGATTGTATTAACAACCCATGATTATACAGGGATAGACTAATTTGTGATGACTTTACTGCCAAATAAAAATTATTTGAAGTAGTAGATTTTCGTGAGTAATTTCCAGTTTAATAAAATTGAAAATCTTCTCGACTTTACAGTAGCGAACGATTACAGAGAGTTTGTCCGGTCGCATAAAAGATTTGAAAGTACTTTGTTCGACACACACCTAACGTAAGAGACGGAATGGAGAAATCTACGTATTTAGGATAAATATTGTTTTTGTTCTTTGGTAAAATACACAGGATTGATAAAGATTCATGCTTTTCATTGATGTATATATACCAGGTCGATCGCCACGTCTCGAGTAGTCGATCGCGTCTTATGTTGGGTGAATTTAATAACATACCCCTAAATATTGCCTCGAACCAGTTTCATGCAACCTCTGTTATAAAATATTTCAGCAGTAATAACAATGATTGATTATTGCTGTGTGCGGGTCAGTGTGCAAGACCGATTAAAGTCATCTAGGCTCACGACCCTTGTGTATATGCTGTATATAAGACTATCATGGCATAAAATAGTACCATATAGGTTGATGGAAACGAGAATAAATATAAATATATAACATATAAATAAGATAAAGAAATGAGTCGACAATTTAATGGTATTATGGAAGTTATTATTATTAAGGGCAATTTATAATTTTGAGAGGTCATGTATTGGTTGAAGCCGGATATGTCCAATGGGAAGATTTTCGCAAAAAGCACTGACTGGGATCAAAATGAAGTAATAGGGACGAGAAATAATATCATCACAGATTCAGCAATATAGCGAGCACATGATGTAAAAGTATCATTTGACACCTTAATTAGTTCACGAGAGGAATACAGGGAAAAAGATTGTAATATTCACTGCATATTGTATAGTTGCTACCAACATTCATAAGTATCTATACATACTTGAAAAAGAACTGGAATATTAATACTGTATAAAGTGTATATGATTCAAAATCATAAGTATTCACATTCATAAGTATTGATACATACTTGAAAAATGAAGTATTAATACATGATTCACAATTAAATAAGCAGTTAACAAAGCAGTTCATCACTTTTTACACAATGATTTTTAACAATGAAAAAAGGTTATTGAATTAATTTACGACATTCATAAGTATTGATACATACTTGAAAAAGAACTGGAATATTACTGTATGATCCATAATTAAGTGTACATTTCATCGCTTATTACACAATGAATTTTAACGATATAAAGAAGTTATCAAATTAATTTACGAAATGGAAGCATGGAAAAAACAGTGACAATCACTGAATACTTTATAGTGGCTACTGGCTACCAACCTTCATAAGTATCAATACATACTTGAGAAATGGAATACTAATTAATGTATAATCCACAGTTAAATATGAACAATTAAAAATGCAATTATTAATGCATTTGATCACTTTTTTACACAGATGATTTTTTTTAACAATATAAAAGGCTTATTAAATTTATTTACAGAGAGGCTACCAACATTTATAAGGAATTTAATTTATGCAATGAAAAATTTGTGGAAAAAGAACTGGAATATTAATATATGATCCATAATTAAATATGCAGTTCATCAGTTATGACACAATAACTTTTGATGACATAAAAAGGTAATTACAGTAAATTAAGCAGTACTATACGAATCAAGAGAGAGATTTTTATACTCAATTACATGGAGAAATAATATAACAATGAGGCAATCATATTATCACAAGTTTAGCAATAATTCAAAAGATAGAAATATCATTAACAATGGCTTTTGAAGTTGAACATAATTATCATCAAATTGATGCCAGAGCAGAAATTTGTGTAAAAAAAAAGAAAGAGAGAAAAACAGCAACTTTCAATTATACATATACAGGAGTTGGAAAAAAGCCTATGACCCTCAATGTGCAGTGTTTATATGAAACAGTTAAATTTATAGTATTAAAATACAGTTTTCAACACAGTTATATAGGCATATTAAACTACAGATGTTAGGACAAAGTATAATATTTCAGTAGGAAATACTTTTTCAGTTTCTTACTGACAACATGCTCAGAACTTTTCTTAGTTTCAGGTGGAACATTGCCCCAGACCTGTACACCCATATTTATACTTCAGAGGTGTTTTGTCCACCTCGGTGGACACTTGGGGAGTAAAGAAAACCTTGTTTCTTTGGGACCTGGTGCAGTAATTGTGCACTTTTTTAATGGGGTGAAATAATGTATAAAAACAGGAGGGACAATGTCATTTTCATATCGATGCATGAACTTTGCAATTTCTAGCGTATGCATATCAGACGGCTGTAGAATTTCATACTGGTGGTAGAGCTGCAAATTAGTTACACCAATGACATTAAACAACATGATGCGCAACTCCGGCATTTTTGTCCGAAGATCGTATTCGATAGCACGCTCCAATGCACATACTTGACGAGACGAAAACGAGCGGATGTGTGCTGCTTTCAAGGCGTAGCACGAATGGTGTTCGTGCCTTCTTTGACAGTTGTTGTCGATTTTAATGATATTTTTGAAAGTTGGGGTAAAAAGAAATCGGTAAAAGGTAAGGTGAATACTATTGTTGTATATCACACCCGGGCATCGCACTGTTAAGTACATGTGGGAAAGCCAGCCTTTGTCAAATACTACGAAGTTATTAATTCAGTACGGTACGTAGTTGCCCATTTGCCGAAATTACATATTTACTTACCCCTTATGGTTTCAAATAGTTCATGCACCTCCAGTTAGATTTTTTTAATCAGTGAGGATATATACTCATTGTTGATTGCTGCTCATTGTAACATACTATTACGTATTCACTTTTATTTGCGTCTTGAATCAAAGTGTTAACAAGTTCACCTAACATTTCACTCATACCGGTCTATATCGTATAGTCTGATTTCTCAAGTATTTGGAGCCACGAATGCTTGTAATTTTCTGACTAAACCCTTTTATTAGTTGGTTTATATACCAAATTCAGTAAAATATTTTTTAAATAAAACATGAGATATTGGATTTATTAGCTTTTCCATTCTGAATCATATAGACTGCTTTATTTATTCTTAACGAAAATTAATAAATCTCCTCTCTTTCTTCAGATGTGAAAGTTGTGGACAAACCTGTCTAAGCATTGTGAGACTCTTGCAGCACAAGAGGCAATAGCAGAAATAGTAAGTATATCAATCAAGAAATTAAGCCGACATAAAGCAAAACTTTCAACTATTCGTCTAATCTCAATTTCCTATTATTTATTCACAGGACAACTATAGCAGACGGGGAGATATCAGAAGTCTGGCGACATATCAGTGACAGTGTGATTCCAAGAAATATAATGCAATTGAAAATTGCAATAGAAAAACAACCTATGGAGGCATGCAAAGACATTTGACCCTCCGGTAGAGTTGTGTATGGCCCCCACATCTTGCAGGGCTTGAGGAAAATAACTAAAAATTCCAAAGCGTAAGATTGCATAAGCGGTCTTATTTGTAAAAAGGCACAAAACACGCCAGACATACTTAAAACAGCTTTGGAAATGAGGATTACGGGTACCTCACTGCACCTGTGTTATATTTGGTTCATCAACTTTTGGTAGTACTATAGAAGAAATTCCGGAGGGGGTATAATCATCATTCATGATAAAATACTATCATATATTTTTTGAACAACTTCAATCTAGACCAGGGATCTCAAACTCGCGGCCCCAGAGAACTTCCAGTGCGGCCCTCGAACGCTTAACAATAATTGTAATAGTATTTTTGAAGTTTTTTTTTTTATCTAAATGTAATAGATTTTTCAAACCTTCTAAAGTGAAATTGATTATTCACACAGAAAACAATTTACTGAAAGTAGTTTTGGAATATTAATTTTTTTGTCCACATTTTGACCCAATTAAGAATACACATCAAGCTAGCAAAAGATTACTTGAATAAAACACTTGAGTAATTAAATTAAACGCAAAGTACATGAAGAATGTGGCATTTTCGAAGAAAATGGGAGTTGTAACATTTCTGCTCTTCACAAAATTCTGAAGCACATTGTTTAATTTGTCATATTTCCGTCAATACAATCAAAAAACACAATAAGCTCAGCAGTCAATATGACAAATTCGAAGACCAACTTCGAACAGAAAATTTCCATGTGTTTGTATATTAATATAATTATACAACGACTTAGTTACTAAAAATCAATATCAATAATAATTCAAGCAATCCTATGCCATGCAATGTAGTGCGAAATGTCTTGTCGAAAAAATCTGTCATTTGTTTTTTTACTGATCTATACATGAAATGATAAGAGTAACTTTTTTGCATTACTGGAATTAATTAAACATTCGTAAAGATCCAGATAAACCCATGGTCATGTGGCCTCGTTAGTTAGAGTTGGTACTATAAAATCATTTCAGACTGGCCTTAGTATGCTGGTGACACAAAAAAGATGCCAAACGCCAGGACAAATGTAATTATTAAAACACTGAGTTTATACTGTAGTATTTTTGTTAATTTTAGGTTCATAAATTTAGATTAAGTTATTTTTAGTGTATGTATTATTCTTTCCTTATTCAAAGCTTGTTCAAAAATGATTTTGATGGTTGTACATAGAATTTTACGATTTTTTATAATAAATACTGTAACTTGCAAATGTTGCAATAATAGTGGAATGCAAATATTAATATGTAATTGCATTTGAAATTGAAGAAAATAATAAAACTTAATCCAACTGTTTAGTTGCATCACAATATATGTCACAAACTAAAACTATCTTAAAAATATCTTTTAAGTATACATTATCAAAAACTGTTTGCGGCTCTTTTTACAATTTTCAAAATGCAATGCGGCTCTCGAAAACCCATGAGTTTGACACCACTGATCTATTCTAGACGATTCAAGCATTGCTTTGGGAAATTATATCACTTCAATTAAATTGAAATAATCTCGCTATATTAAATACGAAATCGTTGCTATCATAAAGGTAAACCAATTCAGCCACTCGAAATATATTGGTCTTCACAAAGCAATGGAGGCAAAATTGATAGTTCATGAGCTATGAACATTTGTTCTTTTCTTTGTCTTGAACTTTCCATACTCCACAGCCCCTATTAATTTTTTTTAATTTTAATTACCATGTGATGGTCATACATATCTTTAACTTGTATTTTCTGTCATGATGTATTATCTCAATGTGCCAAACTATTAATTAATGTGCATATTTTGCTTCCAGATGACATAAATGTATTGTCATGTTTATTACCTCAGCTTGGAGTGTTGACAAGAAAAAGGTGCCAGTAAATTAGGTAAAAACATTTTCAACTCATTGTTATAATCAGAATTCACAATCAATAGGAATTATAAACAGCCAACAATCAGTGAGAATTATATGCGAAATCCCTCAGAATAAATTTGTCTAAAATCGGAGGAAGGCAAAAAATATAGGTAGTTTCCATCCACACAAGCATTTCAAGAAGACTTGCTCGAGCCAAACTAAATGAGCATCGTCAGGTGATCGGTAAGGCTGCAAGTTGAATTCAGCCCTGCAACCTCCTGCATAGAAGATAATATTAATTAGTGGGCTATGAGCTAAATTTAAACAAACCTATCTACTATGCATTATGTACCAGCAATGTTACCTACGATTAACTGAATATGTAATATGTCTAATAAATTCACCTACAAAAGCAAGTTCGATAGGTGCAAACTTTGTGTTATGAAATTGTATCGCAGCACAGTTTTGTATGACACCCTCTTTAAATGAAATTTCAATGATTAAGCGCAAACATTAAAATTACTAACTTTGAACTTTGTCATTATCTGCAAAATGTTCCACACAAATCTTTCCGCTATCTCGTTTGTAATCTTCTCTGATGTCCAGAATTGCTCTTTACAGCTTGCCTGTTATTCCAGCTTTCCAAGTAAGCAAAACTTCTTAAATATAGAGATTATTTTGTTTCGTTACAGGCGCAAAAAGGCAGGTACTACATGTAAAAAAGACGCCGAGTAGCAAATGCGAGCGGAAAACGGACGCGAAAGGCGACGAGAAATATGTGCATTGGAGCGTATCATGAAATACAATGTTTTGCCTGTAGTCTTATGGAGTGACGTCAGAGTTGCCTATCATGTTGTTTAATGTCATTGGTTACACGAACTTTCTCTGCAAATGCATCGTAAGACTTTATTTTGCATAACTTGGACTGGCTGTAAGGAAGACCTTGTTGCTGAGCCCCAACTTAGAAGTATCATCGACAAACAATGTCGAATAAAATGCAGATGCCAAAGGTAGATCGTTGATGTAGCATAAAAATAACAGCTGGCCAATCGTGGAAGCCTGGGGGACACCACATTCGTCAAGGCCTATTTCAGAAATACAATCCCCATATTGGACATATTGTTTGCGGCCACTTAAATATGATCCAATGAGATGATATGCCCTTCTTCGAATACCATAATGACATAACTTATCTAGTAGAATTTGGTGGTTAACAGTATCGAAAGCTTTCGCAAGATCCAAAAAGATGGCACATGTGATCTTGTTATTTGCCTTATTCTCTATTATCATTTCTTTGAGCCGCGCTATGGCTAGCTCGGTTGAATAGTTGTTTCGGAAACCAAACCGGGAAAGGCTCAAAGTTCCATGTTTATCAAAATAATGTTTGAGACGATGACATGATGAAAAGCGCGACTCATCTCATCGACCGGGCCCTGTCTGACAATCTGATTGCCGTGTCTTGCCGCGAACCGGTAACGGCCTCTCGATACGAAATTTCTACTTAAAAATCAGATAAGAGCCTATCATTGGATAACTGCCTGGGTAAAATAATAGGCGATAATTGTAGTGAGTAAAACGGTTTATACATGCATTAATAGGAGAAGACTGGCGATCTTGATAATTTGTCATGATAAATAATCTATCATCTAATCTAGTCGCGAATTATTTCATTTAACAACAATGCAATAACCATAAAGGCATACTTTGCCAAAGTATATTAAATTCAATTGAGCTTCAAATGACACTAAATACAGATCGCATTGAACAAAAATTCAACAAAGACACAACGAAGTCGAATCTTGAATATCACATGAAAAGCTTCCATTCGCCATGAAAGATACCGTAATTATATTTAATCGTAAATCTATACTACTACGATTTAATACATGGAAGTAACAGTGATACATCTCGATTCCAAAGGCAGTTGAGGATAAGTAGAACACGGCCGGTGTTGGCAATATATATATATATGTGACTCAAACATAACTTCCTATCAATAACAAACGAACAGAGGCAATAACACTCATTAAACATTCAAACTTTGATAATAATCTCTGTGGAAAAGTAGAAGGAAGCAGGACTGGACAATAGAATCGGCAAAAGTTGTAAATTTGGATGATGTCTAAAATCATAGGCTCAGATTTAGGAGTCATCCCATCTCCGCTAATTTACAAAACGAGAGGTATGAAAATACATAATTTGATTTATATCAGAAGAGATGCGATACAAATTGCATATATTTTCGTTTTATTTAGGCACGTTTTTCATCATGCGTCACGGAACCATTGTTATGTCACAACTTTGCTTCTAGTTCAATAAAAATTCTATATTTGAAGAACATCCTGAGGGTCGCGAGAAAATTTGGGCGTGCCAACGTTTCGAATTACGTTGGATACAAAAAAATTTATTAGGATATGGTAAAGACACTAGTCTATGGGTATATACCTACATTTATACATTTATAGCAAAAAAAATTATCACAGGATACCGTTAATGTACGGTTCGGTATAATCGAAAAATACGATTAATCAGTATCCGATTTCGAGTTGACTCTAATCGGCACTGTCAATTTTATGTCGTTCGGGATGTTTTCAGAGAAATAGGCCTAAAGGAAGGGGTATTTACTGAGTTATGGACATGAAATAGGCTATTGCCGGTAGGTATATATGTACAGGTTGTATTTTATCTTATTTATGTACCGTATAGTCTACCAGTACGTTCTCATGAAATTGTGGAGCCGTTGGACTATTAGGTAAAGCTCCAAATTCATGTCCGGTAGACTGAATGCTGGAATGTGGCGGAACCGTACGGTATAATGCCATACCGGTACCGTCGTACCGATAATAACAGCATACCGGGTACCGGTACGGTACGGGAAGCAATGCCATTCGCTTCAGACATTTGTTTCCATTGCCAATTCCAAAGTGAGGTAGGATATTCTCAGATCTTGTTATATTCAGATACCGGTAGCCTATTTATCATTTTGTTTTACAATATTGCTTTTACAATTAGGTACCGTACCTAATGTAAGGGAGTTTTATTTCGAATGTAGAAAGTATCCTAGATTCCTATCCTATACCCTAATTGCCTACAGTCTAACTTGAAGGTTCTAACCTACCGAGACAATAAAACTTCTGTTCATTGGACACTTAAAACTTACTTAAAAAAACATGTCACTTTTCAAGGCCATAAACTCCATGCTTCAATTATGGTCAACCCATTTCTCGTTTTATATGTCTCCTTTGGTTGTTATCCATACATCAATATGTTTCGTTTAACTTTATTAAATTTCAGAAACAGAAAGTGAAGAATCCGTGTCTCCGGCAGTGATTGCGAATCAGCAAAAGGCAGAAAGGCAACAACTGTGTGTTTGCAAATTCGAGAACTTAATTTGTGTATTATCAACTATGAACCATAAGCCACGATAAGCCGGTGCACATAATGTATGGATCAGATATTGCTTTATTCAGTTATTAGGTTATTAACCTCTACCGGCACTATTGTTTTATATAAAAACCTCTATCGTTCAACTCCTCTAAAACCTTTGCGTACGTAAAATAAGATATATTTTGTTTAACAAGGATTATATATTTCAGGTTGCATATTTATATCTGATTTAGATTACTTATAGAATGCAAAAACCAATATTCTTGTTCACTGGTGTTCTCATTTTTGGCATCTGTATAAATTCATTCGTGATTGCAGATAATACCAAAAGGAAAATTAATTCTGATGATTTAACAAAGGAAGATCTTGATGTGTTTCTGGAAAGTATTCTATCTCGGAGAGAAAAAGATGCTACCGTGGAAAACTGCGATTTTGAAGAAGTATCTGGAGTTATTCTAAGAACTCATGATTCACTTGCGAATGGAGCTAAGTTCATTTCTGCCCCTGATTATATTAATACAGAACCTGAATGCAAAAAGGCATGTTGTAATAATCGAGAAAAGAACGGAACTCTTCATTGTGATCTAGCGGTGTTTCAGAAACAAGATGATGACCCATCTGATGATCAACCGAGATGTTTCCTATTCTCATGTTTTTTGGAAAATAGGACAGATATATGTGTGTTGTCACCAAATTCAGATTACAAAGTACTTAAAAGAAAATATGAAGTGGCTGAAAAACAGCTCATCGATGTCGCTGCGGAGAAAAAAGAATCCAGTAATAAAGAAACAGAATCAGAAAATAAACAATGTGCGAAGCAATTTAAAAAGACAACTGGCAAAATAATTAGGACTCAAGATTCTATCACAAATGGTGCTGAATTCTTGATGTTACCAAAAAATATAGAAACAGTGGAACAGTGTGAGGAAGAGTGTTGTTCAACTGTTTCTGACAAGACGTCACGTCATTGTGATTTTGCCGTCTTTCAGCAGAAAAAGGATGAATCTCAGAGTGATAAGCCAAGATGCTACTTGTTTTCATGTACTGATCATGATGGGAAATTCAAATGTCTCACATCGTTAAATGCGGACTATGTTACTCTACAAAGAACGCTTGATGTTGAAGAAAATCAGCTTATAGATATGGCTACCAGTTTAGCATCTAAGACTGAAACAATATCAACTACATCAACTCTGCCTATTAAAACACTCATGTCCACAACAACTACCACTACTAGTACTACTGTATCATCGGCTTCAATTTTGGAGAATGAATTGTCTTCTACTGTTCATGTTGATAAATCTTGTGGACGGTTAGATTGGAAATGTGATGATGGTAGCTGCGTTAAAGTTACTGATGTCTGCAATGGAAAATATGATTGTCTTGATCATAGCGATGAAGGTAGTTGCGAAGGACTAGGTCGCCCTTATACTAAAGACGCAAAAACAATCGAAGAAGAACCGAAATTTTCAACAAGTAAAGCTTTGCCTGTGACTTCTGTTAGTGTACAAGAATCAACAGTCGCCACCACGACGATACCAAAGATTTTGCCATCAACAATTACTTCAAATAGCGAAATAGAAATTATCGAAAACGAACTAGAATTTGAAAGTGTTGGTGAAAGAACAGCCCCACAGAAGGGTGCTGTGTTACCTCTTGCTCTTGGATTATCTGTTACTGCATGTGTACTGCTTATGGTAGGTTGCAGATTGCACATCATGAAGAAAAAATTGAGAAGGCGTGGTAAGCCACTGTCAATGGAAGAGTCAGACTATTTAATCAATGGAATGTATTTATAAAATTAGATTATTGTTCTTATATTAGTTACTGTGATACTTTCATAATATACTGAGTTAAAGCGATCTAGTATTGTAGTCTATAACTATTCATTTTATGTTCTGTACACTGGCGTCTTCAATGAGATCATTCTTGCGCAGTCTTTTTAAACTTATTATTTCACTCACAAACTCGCTTTAACTTACCGGGTAACAGTTTTTCAAGAATGAAAGTGTAAATTTTGGTAGTATTGGACTATCGTTATTAGACCATACATAATATGTTTTGTAAATTGAAAACTAAATTAATTTTATTTCTTCTCATAGTTCTCCAAATTTAAAATGAAAGTTCGTTTTTATAATATTTATGGTTTTTCAGTCAGTTTTAGTATTTTTTCTAGTCCGTTGATGGAACAATATCCATGACGAAGTAATGTATAATTAGATACAACTTATTGCTCAATTGGATTATTAATAGTGCTTATTTATAATGTATTTGGTAAGAATAGTTTGTATTTAGTTTTATGGATCGAATTGAGATTTTAGTGGCAAATGACAAGCCTCAGTATTTTCATACAACTTTCAACCACAGCCTACCGGTTTTTCTGTTTAAAGTGTTTTTACAGTATATACATTTTAATAGGTTGTTATAAACTTAATGCAGTATATTTTTATACCATTTTCAATGTGTCTGTCATATCCAATGCAGCATTTTCTATTCTTTTTTGTTTTTTATGATTTCAATTTCCAGTCATCATGAATTGTATACTACCATCTCATTTGAAGCATACCAACATTTAACTATAGACAAGCAAGTATTTCAGCATTTAAATATTTAAGTTCTAGGTCAGTATATCTGGTATATACAGTCCAAATAGCAATTTGGTAAAGTTGCCTTAATTAAAAATTCCATTGATTTTTTTCACTTCACAAATTTGTTGTCTAGGTTTTGAATTAAATGACTAATATCTTATAATGAATAAGGCAAATATGACAATATTGTATTCAATTCATGATCCAACCATCCTCCCATTACAGGTTTAGTTTCCTGTCTTGAATAATCAATTATCTTTGTTCACAAATAATATATACCGATACTTAAATAATGTGCAGTGCTGTATCTATCATATACACAATGAATCTAATATTTTATTAAGAATAATGTAAATTTGATCACTTGGCATAGTTTGCTTATAGATCGACTACAGTTAACTTCTGATAACTGTAGAAAACCCTAAAATAAATAGCAATCTAAGCAGAGATTAACTTCCATGTATTATTACAGTATATTTTAATTTTTAACATCTTCAAATAAAATCTGATTTATGTTCTGTTCTCTGTTCAATATTTTTCAATGAAAATATTTTCAGAATGGTGAAATTATATTTATTTTATAACATTCAAGTCGCCTTCTTCTCGTTAGCATTGTTAACGAATCCAGTAATTGGAGCTTCAAAAGGTTCATTTTAAATAATAATGATTATACGAAATGAATAATTTAAATGATCCATCTGTAGGCATGGGATGTTAAGAGGGTTGTTAAGTTCCATTCTTAAGTCATATGACAATTTCACTATGGCCAATATAAAATTTTTGTTTTTATACTTCAATTTAATTTTTAAATGACACAAATGGGCCAATATTACTTACAGTAAATGTTAATACACTTTGATAATCTTTCAATAGTTGTCAAATGATATTGTTTATATATTTGACTTTTTTTAGATTGTTTTATTATAATTAATTCTGCATGAACAGACTATTGGTAAAATTACTTTCAGTTTGAGATTTTGACTTTACGTTGAGAATTTATTTTGAACAAAATTTAAAAGAAAAGAATTTGTTTTTATAAAAATTCAGATATTCAAATTTATTTTTTTCTCATATTGTGATGTCATAATTCAAGTCAAAAACTTTTTAATATTCCCCCTTGAACTTTGTATTTGTTATTGATGGTTTGTTAGTCCACAAATTTTTAAGATAAATATAAGATTATATCCTGATTACTTTAGCATCTGTTGTTCTATTTGTTTGTTCTATTTTTTTAACTCCGTAAGTATGTCAACCAAGATGGCGGACACCAGAGCGTAGTATGTGTACCAGGTTAGGGTAGTCTCAGAACTCGTAATAGAACTAAATTAAGGAAAATTGAAATAAAATTATGGCCTAACCCGGTACACATACTACGTTTCGGTGTCCGCCATCTTGGTTCACATACTTTGGGAGTACCCTATTTTCTGTTTAATTATGCATATCTAGATTCAATTCACTACCACAGATTAATATTCAAATTGGTGCTCTACTTAGGTAGTTACCAACGGCCTTCATTAGACTGCCTATAAGTATAATTTTCAGAAATAACCTTCCAGTATGGTTGGTTCATGTGCTGAATCCCACTTTCATGTTTGTGCAATATATTGTTAATCGTTCATTATTGATTTATAGACTGGTGTTTAGAATATGCTGTTGGACTATTTACTTTCTGTTGGGGATGTCTAAATTTTTTTAATAAAATTTGAGAATAATGATATCGAACATTTTTTTCAAACATTTGCTACATTTTGATTATATGTTGGTGTTTTGCTGACCAATTTTAGGCAGCCCAAAATATATTCTTAAATTCCATTTCAGTTAATCTTATGAGTCTGACTTCATTCACTTTTTGAGTTAGTTCAAGTACTGAACTTCATTAAAACAGCACAATGTGTGTCTGATGATTACCGTATATGCTCGTTTTATCGCCCAATTTTGATTAAGGGCCCGTTTGAATAGCCGCTCGTGTGAACAGAACATAAAATAAATAAGGGCCGGTGCTTGAATACCCGCCAGATGTAAAAGCTGATTTTTCAGTGGTAGATAACAATAGGAAATAAGAAGTGCTTTTGTCACAACGCTGTTGAATTTTAAGCGCCTGTAGATAACACTCAGCCTTAGGCGTCCAAGTACATAACAGATAGCATTGATTACATAACATCATGGTTCTCAAACTGGGCGTTGAACGCCCAAGTGCGTCGTTTCAATATTGATATTGTGTCGCAAAACTTTTCTTCTTCTGCGGATTTGTACCTGCGGTGCGTAGAAAAAATCAAATTTTCGTTATTCTCGTTTGAATCATACTTGAACTGGAAATAACAATATATTAATTATTGTAACGATCGAAAATAACAAGCGCCTGTGCTCGAATAAGGGCCGGTTTGAATAGGGGCCCGGTTAGTCAGTTGGTTGAAAAAAATATGGGCCCGGGCTACAAAACGAGCAAATACGGTATGCTATATTATATTTTACTGTTACTTGTTAAATCTAATTTTAAATAATAAGGCAATGGCAAATCTTTAACTTGTATTATTCATGTGTCTCTTTATGTTTTTTAAACTTAATTTAGCTTAGGCATAAAGTATGTTTATTCTAGAACAATGAAATTTCATGGAACCACTAAACTTGAGCCAAAATAACAATTTCCTGATGTGGACTTGACAGGCCTATGATTATGGACTCTCACAATAATAATGCAATCATAATGAACTGTGATATAACTGTGACTGATGAAAATATGAGTGACAAGAGAGATATGAGTGTAATCCTTGTCCCTGAAAATGTCCTAAAGGTACTGAGTGACTCGACATCATCTTATGTTTCTCCGAATATTACAAATAAAAATACATTGGAAATACATGGAGCCACTTTCGAAGAGAATACCTTTGTTGATTCAATTGATGGGAACTTGAACACCAAGAATGTTCTGATAATAGGCAATGGGGACACCAGTTTTGAGGACAATACTGAAAATGGTGTGTTGAAATCATCCGATTTACTAGTCTTAGACCCAAATAATATTTGTGTTGTTGGTTTGGGTGAACTGAACACAGAAAACCAAGCAGTCACACTCATCGAAAATAAAACTTCTCAACTTTCTCAAGAAACAACAAACTCTCTTCCCAGGCCTATCAGACCACATCCATCGTCTAAAACAAATGAAACATCGTCTCAAACTCGTACTTTATTAATACAAGAACATTCCAACAAAAGCAACGAGGAAGAAGCCACAAGAGAAATTCTCAATTGTATGGATGGTTTTATTGAAAGTTGGGCTACAAAGCACAATAACAGTGAGAAGAAAACTATCAAGTATAAATGCAAAATATTCAACTGCAATAAAACGTTCAAGACGCAAATAGAACTTGAAGAACATAATGTTAAACATCAAAAATGTGAGAGATATCCATGTTTGTATCCGTCGTGTCCGTGGTCATTTTCAACTCCGTATAAACTTAAGCGACATTTAAAATCTCACGATCAAATAAAGCAATATAAATGCACTTATGAGGGATGTAACACAATTTGTTCAACTAAATATAATCTCCAAACTCATATGAATATGCATAATAAATGTGGAGCATTTCGTATTTGCCCTGAATGCAATGAAACATTCACTCATTTTGCTCAACTCATGAAACATAGACGAACAATCCATAACGTAGCTCCCATGTTCGAGTGTGACGAATGTGGCAAAAAGTTTCATACAACCAGTGGTCGCAACACCCATGCCAAAAGCCATATCGTACGAGAATTTATTTGTGGAGTAGAAGGGTGCGGAAAACGTTTTAAACGTCGTGCAATTTTTAAAATACATGTAATGGAACACTCAAATATAAAGCCATTCAAGTGTGAATATCCAGAATGCCGTTGGGCTTTCACAACAAGAGGAAAATTAAGGAGGCATATAATGTCGCATACAAACACTAAAAGGTATAGCAAATAAAGTTTATCTGTAGTGGCAAGTTACACCTTGCTAATTGATTCAACTAGTTTTTTAAGTACTAATTATTACTTATTGAATGTTTTTGATAAGTGAGCCATTTGGCTCTACTTTCTGGAAGCTTTATCTTGAAGAAGCTAATCTAAAGTGAAATGAACTAATAAAGCCATTCTATTATTTTTTTGAAAACTTTTTGCAAACTCTGAAAAGGGAAGCAAACGAAGTTTATATGTTGCTGCAGCCACATGATTGTTGATGGATTTACATGACTAGTTTTTATTTTATTAAGTCAGACCATTTTGGATTCATTTTGTGAATATTTATCTTTAATTACCCCAATACACTAGAGTCATTAGTCATAATAGTCTTGTCTCAAACTTTTTCTAAAATCAAATATTTTACCTTAATAAAATATAAGATGCTCTTTTTCATTATTATTGAATACTTCGCTCCAAAAACTTGATCAAATGTTTTCTCAGATATCAATGTCCTGTTGAAAACTGTGCCAGTCAATTTTCAAGATTAGAACATTTGAAATCACATTTGAAGGTTCACACATTGAAAAGCAGAAATGATGACGAAGGTTTGTGTTAGTTTATTCTGCCATTTGGTGGATTTATCAACAATAGTATTAGTCAGTGGATGGTGATCGGGCAAGAAGTGGACTTATGTATGGATTGACTGACTTGTTGTTGTTGGCGCTTAGCCATGGTACAAATGTTGTTGCGGACCAATTGCTTTGAAATTTTCACTTGGTTAGAGATTGTATTTGTCGCTAGAAGGGTATCTGTTTCTTTGGGGGTTCCCCTAGTATTCACTTAAGACAAGGGTTCTCAACCTTTTTTTGTCAAGTACCCCCCGAGCAGGGGCGGACACTTTCCATAATTTTGGGGGGGCGAACTTGGATCGCCTACCGAAAAACACCGGGCCGTGTATCGTCACGTAACAATAACCTGTCGATGTCATTCTCTAAGTATTAGCATGTCATTTTGTTACTCATATATCGATTACCTAGGCTGCTTTGCTCGGACACGGAACTTGCGCGTCACTGAACCAATTTCTTGAATTCCGCGAGAATTAGCCCACGGCTCTTGCTAACAAACAGAAAATAACAAATTTGTGGAGTCGTATTAGGTTATTGTTTCAAATCTTAGCTCTGCATAAAGCGCACTAACGCCGTTTCGTAAAATTAGAAATGCAAAACAAGGTAACAAGCTATTGTGCGAATTTTTTTCCTAAATTTTACCAAGGAATTATCATTTGACTAGTAGAATTGCCATTATTGCCGATTTATTAAATCATCATTTGAACTCGACATAACATTCAGGATTCACGCAATGACTTTGCAGGGTTTTTATCTATAATTTAATACGAAAATAAACAGGCACAAGTTCAGGCGCGCAGCCAGGATTTAAAAAAAAAGGCGGGGTCAAAGTCGGAACTTCCCATTGCCGTCTGCAACAAGCACCGCGATTACGCGCTCGTTAAAAGAGCCGCCTATTTAAGCGTATAATGATTTTTCTGTCAATTCATGACAGCCACGAGATTCTAAAATGTCCTTATATATTAATTTATTTGTGTGCAACGTAACTCGCGGTTGCGACTTCTTACGTCAAAATAAAAATATTACTAAACTAAAGTACCACGGCAATATGTGGACATAAAAATATGAGATAAGCTGCCTGATGTATTGAATTTTGATACGTATTTTTGCAATCTTCCGAACTCGTTATCGCCGTTACAAAAATCTCGATATCTGATATAAAATCCCATATAGTACAATTTTATTTCATACAATGAAAATAATTATAAAGTATACTAATAAATCAAAAATACAAATTCACCGCCTCGAAATCCACGCGGAACAGTCGCCTCGATTACGCCACTTGTTAAAAGAGCCGACTTTATCAACGAAAACTGATTTTTCACTTGTGCAAAGTAATCAATCGAAGACCGATACGGGCATATTCAAAATGTCTTGATTTATTAATTTAATTGTCTTCAATTTAAACTACGTTCGAGTCGACAAAACAAGAGCCACTCTAAAACACGACGGCAATCCGCGGACATAAAAATGTGTGGTAAACTGCCCGTTTATATATTGTTTTGATCCGTATTTTTGCTATTTTGCGCATTCGATAAATTTGAGATGTACTTGTCACACTGGCTCCGCTCAATCGTAATGTTGTCACTCCTATTATTTTCAAAGATAGAACCTTTCGAAAAATCCGTAAATTTTCTGTCAGTTCTCACGTAGTAAAAGTAATTTCAGTACAATAAAAATACATAAATAAATACAAAAAGTGATCGAATATACTTTAATTATCTTATATATCATCACAAACCGGGGAAAAGTCGCGTTCTCAGCTTTGTTTAATGTTAACACGAAAATTTTCGACGTCAATTTAAAAGTAATGGATAAAAAGGTAAATCCCGCTCACAATTGACCGTGTTTCGATTTTAGTGACGAAATGTTTTTAAAGGTCAAGCAAACATAACTTGTGCCGTAGGCACACGAAATTTTGCGATTTTCGATGCCTAGAAAAGCGTTTTTAGACTGTCGCGGGCCTCAACAAATCTTATATTGTTTACAGTTTTATTTTTAGTATTTTATATTTCCGCTTTTCAACTTTTCGACATAGTAAATGGTTTGACCTTCGCCCGCAAATTATGCTGGGCCTTGCACGAAATCCATAACGTGAAAAGATACGTCCAGCGGTGAAGATTGTTTATAACAACTTTAGATCTAGTTAATTTTTTAGCGATAATAATTAATTGTTGTAATGAAACACAGTTTGCCTCTTTCACTTCTCTCGCAAGTGCCAACAATAACACTATTGAAAGATTTTGACAATGAGAAAATCATGTTAAATTGTACAAAAATGAATTAGTTGTGCAAAACCGTGGCGCGTGATCGGCGGTGCGTTTGAAGACGGAGTATTACCCGTGCGGGCGCGCATGTTTCACAAAATTGTGAGGTGCTCCGAAGGCGATCTGGTCCAAATTATTGTAAAAAAACATTTATAATATCGGTAACTATTAACCGTTTAATTGCGCTTGACTATCGCACTTTTCGGAAATGATAATTTTGTAAGGCGGAAACAACATGTATTAAATTTTTTTTTGCGAAATTATTGGGGGGGTCGCTGACCTGATGACTGTCACAGTCTTTCGAGACCACTTATCTATTGCTATGAATCTCTCACTTGTATCAATTCTTATGTGTATATATAATTACATTTGTTACGACTGTCATTATACACGTTTGTCAATTTCCGTGCTTTTGTGTTGATTCTTGCATGATAGAAATAAATCATCTGAATATGTGATATATTGACTAACGATTTTTTGAAACAGCAATTTATTGACCAGATGTAACTAAATTAAATCTTCGTGTTGATATTATTGCCCTTGTCCTCCGCCCAACTAATGAATTCTTAAAATCTTTCCCAAGTTTTAATAGGCATAATCACTTTCTCCAATGCTTGCAGTTCGCTGTCGTATAAGATTTCACAGTTCGGTTGCAAAGCCGTGAATTTCACATTGTTGCGTTATAATCACAACAACGCAACATCAGGAAAAATGTACATTTCAATTGGCATTTAGTTTCAATCGACACGCATTTTCCTCGAGAGTAATAAAGGATGTTAAAAACAGCAACACACGAAAACTCGACTGCCGTCCAAGTACCCCTGGAAATCTTCTCGTGAACCCCAGGTTGAGAACCCCTGACTTAAGACTTGACTCTTCATATTGCATTTTATTTTGAACAGGTTCAAATGACTTTGAGGCTCCGGTAGAATCAAACGAAGACAATTTACTTTATTATCTTTGTCCTTATGATGAATGTGGATTATTATTCACGACACTAATTGGAGCTAAACAACATATACAAAAAGTTCATACTCAAAATGCAAATGTGACATCTCAAGAGATATCATGTTCAAAAGAAACGGACAATATATTAGGTCAGATTGATACAATTTTTGTTTGCCTCACATTGATTCTCTCTTATCGAGCTTCCAATGTACAATATTGTTGATGATATATAATAGAAAATTGTTATTTTTGAAAAGAATCTCTTCTTTCAATGTTGTTAATTGGGCGCTCCAGAAGTATGTGTACCAATATTGGGGTACGGTAACTAATTTTGTTCGCTTGCTTTACATCGAGTTGTGTAAAAGGACGAAAGCCTATGAGCAGGGGATATATTTACTTGGCTAACACAGACAGTCTCTAAACTCGTAATAGAACTAAAATAAGGAAAATCGGAATAAAATTATGGCCTAACCTGGTACACATACTACGGGAGTAGCATTAACTGGGCCTCCAAGGGTTATTTATTGGTGAAATTGAAAACAATTGTGATGAAGGGATCCCTTATAGTATATCCAAAACTTGCTAAACTTGTTTAGAGAACCAACAGAAGAAAAATTGTTTTTGAAATTGTAATATTTTTAAACTTAGATACTCAACCTGTTTCTATTACATTGGAAGCAATGAAGACGAATGATGAAATACTTGATGATAATAATATTTCTGATGACATAAGTAGCAATGAAAAGGTTCACTTTTATATATTATTAGAAATTTCCTAGTTTTTCACTATTTTTTGAATATTGGAATAAGCAAAGGCTTCCCTTTTTGCAAGTAACAGTAAACAGTAAACGTAAACGAGTAAACGAGAACTTGAACTGATTTGAAATATGTTTAATTTTTCAATTAGGAAACGACTCCATTTCTCAAATTTGATCTATTTGATAAAGCGTTGCCTCTGTAATATTGGAGATGCTTCACCAATTAGTTGGATTTGATATATAAAAGTGCGTTTCACAAAAAATTCATCTGTCACAGAGACCATTTTCTAGTGTTTAGGCTTAGATATCTGTATGAAAGAGTTACCACCTGCTGTTGTAACATTTTGCTTCAATATTTGTTCTAATCAGGTCTTAGAAACTGACTTAAAAACCTAGATTTTTTCGGTCAAAATTACTATTTACAGTTTAAACATTTGATATAATCAGGAATATTTTGAAACTATTTTTCAGATTATCACTGATCAACAAAGCACAGAATCATTACTGAAAACCATGTTGCGAGAAAATCCTGATATACCGGATTCTAATGATATTTTGATCACCAGCGTGACATCTCTAGCAGAAGGGTCTGGATCTGAAAACATGGTCTATATTAATACTGTACCTGATGCTAAAGTGTCAAATGGACAAACTCTTGAGCTGGCAGGCAGTGTTATATTCCCACCAACACAAGGATTATCTACTTCACCTACGTCTACGATAGATCCATCCCAGTTTTTGTTGGGAGGAACTACAGATGAGTTTTCTGCAAATTCTGAAGCCATGAAGTACATCAATATACCACAATATCCACCATCAAGTTCGACAGATAGATTTCTTAATTTTAATGAATGTGATCAGACTGTTGATCCAAACATGGTCATGTCGATCCCTGTTTCATGTAAGTTACCTTTAATAATAATTCTTTTTTTCTTTTGCTATAAACGAGGGATGAAAGGATGTGGACTCGGCTCCAGGAAAAATTTGGTACTAGGTTAGGGTTAGGCCATAATTTTATTCCGATTTTCCTTATTTTAGTTGTATTATGAGTTCAGGGACTGTTTGTGTTAGCCAAGTGAATATACTCCCTGGCACATAAGATGCTTTCCCTTTACGCAACTTGATATAAAGTAAAGTAGGCAAACAAAATTACGGTAGTTACCTCTATATTGGTACACATACTTCTGGAGCGCCAAAAAATTTTGAATGTTTTTTGACTTCCTGTTAAAAAAAAATTCATTTTGAACTGCAACTGCAGTTCCCAACTCCACATTGAATCCTTTTTGGGAAAATCTGTGATCATAAACAAAAAGATAGTTTTTGATCCGTTTGAGTTAAAATAATATGATAATTTACCTTTTGATTTCAGTGTTTCAGGGATCGAACAGCACTGTTTCTTCATCTTATGAAACATCTGATGATGATGATTCATCTATTTGTGATTCTAATAATAATCTGGCAAGAAGCAGTGGATCTGCTCGTACTGATGTTTTCATACATCGGAAACATACATTCGGGTCATCATTAAAGCAGGATGCTACTTCTTCTCATAGTGAAATTTCACCTGAATCTCGAGATTCTGTCTCTGAGTTTGATACTGATATCCAATCATTTATCTTTAATAATGGAGTCGATGGGAAACAAGTGAGTATGCATTACATGTACTTGGAGAATTTGGTGATGTTCTTCCTTCTAATGAATATTATACCCCTGTAATGGTGTACGTGTAACTTTTTTGGGTACTCTCCTCTGATTTTCTTTATTTTGGTTTTATCTTAAGTGAATATACCCCCTGCCCATAGGTTTCAGTCCCTTTATACAACTTAATGTAAAGTAAGCGAACAAAGTTAGTTACCTCCATATTGGTACACTGACTTCTGGAGCACCAAATCGCTTTTCTCATTATCTACAACAGGGCTACTCAACTATTTTTATCGAAGGTCCGCAAACAAAACTTCAAAATTATTTGGGTCTGGTCTTTCCAGAACTGATATTTCGGCATCCTTAAACGAGCACTTCCTCGACCTACTAATGATTAGTAGCAACTTAAAATTGTTTATTATGGTGTTATATTTCTTTTCGTATATATTCAAAACTATGAAAGTCATTTTATGATGTGAAATTCAAAAAGTGGGGCTAATGATCCAAAATAAATAATTAGGTGCTGTCCAAATCCAATACTCGAAAGGTCCGGATTCGGACCGCGGTCCGCCAGTTGAGTAGCCCTGATCTACAGAACCAATTACTTTAAAATTTTCAGGGGTTAAAAATTGTATTTATCACTAGAAGGCTATTACTTTTATTTATTTCAAAAATTGGGATGGATGGGATTCGTTTTCTTGTATGTGATGACGCCATCAAATATTGCGCTTCTTGTGACGGTTCGGCGTTTGCGTTAGTCGTGAAGCATGAGGTCAATAATATAAAATGAATAATCGTAAAATTTAATCGATAAAATTGGAAGCGACGATTGTCAAAACCCGCTTCCATAAAGAACTGTTGTTTCATGTTGAAGGTTAAAATACCGAAAGCATTCATCGAAAATAGACAATAACGTTGATTATCAAAAAAAAAAAAAACGGATTAACATTTCAAACACTCAGATATACCGCAGCTAATTTCATTAATTTTTTGTACTGACCATGCTGTGTATTACAGTCGCAACCTGGTCTTCACGCAATTCGACTTGGTGTTTTATGTATATTCACCCAGCGACGACTTCATAAGCTGTTAAATATATTATACTATTGGTCACGCGTCCGCTAAACTTTTATTAGCAGTCTTGGTCATCTGGCGTCCGACTCGCACAATCACGTTTCACGCTTATTAAAATATTTAGTGATAAAATGATCATTCATTATGAAGACCTATCGCGGCATAGTGCTTTGTTGTCGGTTTATGTTGATTATAACGTTATTATTGGATCATAAACTTAATCTAAAGCCGATACAAATATTACTTTCGGGTTTGCGAGTCTTATACTAGCTAGGACGCAGCGTTATACAGGCGTGAAATAAAATAAGCACCATGTCAAGCAACAGCATTCTTGATTACTGACCCAAAAATTTTACAATTTATATCTGTTGTGTTATGCTATACCTGTTAACGTTAATGAAATTCTATCCTAGAAAGCAATTATGTTATTTCTCAGTTTCGAACGAGCATCGCAAAATTCCGTTTGCTAACTTTTTTTTTTCATTTTCAGGACATTGCATCCATAAATGACAGGTCTTTCTTGAGAAAAAGAAGTCGTATTCCTGACGACCAGTTCATCAAAGAATCACATGACTTGCGAGGAGATTTCACTGGATCTACAATTAATCTTAACGATTTAGCGTAATTGATCTCTTTGCTATACTGATAAAGCCTATTAAGTTATAATTTTTCTGCCGTGCGTCAGAGATAAACCATGTTTCGAAGACATTCACACTGGTCGGTCCATTTTCGGTAGTACGTTTTAAACATGCCCTGACTGGCTATTAATTTTCGTTCTGTGTTTTGGTTCGTGCAAATAACGGATTTGAGCACATATCATGTATGGCTTAATTTAGGTGTATTATATTTTGAGTTACTCAAACATGATCTACACATAGATGATAGCATATGAATCCAAACACGAGAATCTTGTTGATTAATCTTGATCAATTTGACATTTATTTATTTTATGATATTTTATTTGTTGTTGATATTTTAATATGAACATGTCACTTGATTGATCAACTCAACTTTGCTTCTATTAATTTTTGCGTTATTTAATAAATTTGAATCTTGGATGATCTCAAAGTTTTGTGTGAAAAATGACAAGTGCACAGTATGTTGCCCAGCTTTTTAAATAAATCGCTGCGAGTGCACGAATGGGCTTTAAGGAAAATGAGTTGACCACATGCACTTAAACGGAGAGAGAACTGACAGTGACTGATGAATTTTCTCATTCCTAAATGATTCCCAACTCGTGCTGCAAATTATGTTCTGACTGACGCCAGCTCATCTTGACTGTCCCCGAACTGGTTCTTATATACGGCGACATCACCATCGGGTTCACCACGTGTCGATGATTTCTGTAAGCTTCATTATGTTCGCTCTCAAAATGTTTTTTGAAGTTTGAAAGGTTTTCTAGCCCCACTTTGAGCAACCTTACAAAACGAGTCGTGGCCAACGTCATTTATCATTGTGACGTTACTTTTTATTTATTTATGATGGTGTGCTGTGCAAATTCAAGATGTCTTATTAAAATCGAAAAAGTAACCTCTCTTTTGGGGCTCTCCATCGACTTGAGTGAGAATTTCAGTCGGCAGAATTCAGGGTTCGCTTTGTCATCGGTAATATGACAAGCGAGATATCGGGAAACATGATAACAGAAAATCGAACAAAGTAAGAATTCTAAATATTTTGATTTCTAAAATAAATTAGAATTATAAACTGAGTATTTGGGTACAGAATTAGGCTCAACAAGAGCTGCCAACATTTTTACGTATCTTCGTATCCTTGGAATTCCATTTCAATGTGACGCCATAATGATAAAAGCAGTACATAGCTCCCATAAACTGGGTCAGCCTGTGCTTGGGCTTGCGTCTCGTTATTCGCGAGTTGTATGATATATTATCAATTTGTTTATACATATACTTCAGGTGATAACCTATTTGCTTAGTGCTAATCACTGAGTCGCTGTATTTGTTATTTTTTTTAGATCATCCGGTATCTTGACGGCACGCGTAATCAATACCGGTAAGTTATCTTTCGCTAGCATTCGGTGAACTCGTGCTCTATCACCGATTAAATAATTGCCCCTTCAGAGAAGTATTAACAATAATCCATTTGTAACAAAAAGCTCTGTTTGAAGCCTTGTTTCCGGATTTGTATGCGCTGCTATCGGTGTTGAGACTGGAACAGATTGTATCAGCGAGAGTTATAAAATGCGGGATGAAATCGACGAACCTCATTTACAATTGGACAGCGAACAAAGCGTTACCAGTAATATGACAATGGGCGAAAAACTGCATTCTGGTAGTAAAAAGTCAGAACTTGCTGAAACAGTAGAGAGTAGAATTCTTATGTTGGAAAGGATCTGGAATGAACTTGGGATCCCGGAGGAACAGGTAATGTGTCTTATTCTTTGTTTTTGTGTTAAGTAATAATACCACCCATTTCTCAAACGTTTCCGATCTGTCGTACATATGACGTAAATCAAACAATTGTAAAATAAAATCAATGCTCAGTAGACGTCACCGCGGTTATTGATTTTAACAACAAACATTCATAACAACAGACGTCGAATACTGCTTTACGTTGTCATTATATTTTTACCGCCATTTTGTTTCTACCTTTTTGCTATCGTTCAGGTAATGCTGTTTATGGAAAAGATCCCAATACTGTAGGCTGTAGGGTGTAATCGATTTCAGACATTATAAATTTCCATTGCCTCATGGTATGAAGCATTTGGTGTTTCAATGAAATCAACTTTCGTTATTCATTTTATTAGTAATAGTCAAGCGCGCATCTAAGGAAATGTTTCGAAACTGTAGTTGTAATTGCGAATCCAACGTTTGCTTACTGCTGGTATAATATATTATTTACCTTAACCCTCATCTAACCTTGACATCGCAGGTTCAAGCTAGATATCAAACAGTTTGCAAGCATGTGAAAAATTTACTACAACGTATGGTAAACGAAGAGAACAAATTGTTACAAAGCACAAAAAAGAAGCTTTCGGATTATGAAAATAAAATTGCGGATCTCACAGCAATCCTCGGTGCAACCCCCAGAGTAAACAGGCATGCCTCACGAATTCAAGAACCGAAATCCTTGATTTTAAAAGTTAGTATTCAGATAAATTTTATACAAAAAAAATGAGAACTATTTGTTTAATGAATGCCCGATTATTTCCTTGAAAGAAACACCAGTTGGAATGTGCATTGGATCAACTTCAGTGCATGTCAGAAAAGAGAAAACTGAAGATGGCAACACTGGTTAACAAAGCAGGAAAGTTATCATCGAATCTCTCAGAACCTCCGCACGACCTCGTTACAAACTTTAAACAGAGCGACATTCCATCTCAAAGCGATATTGATTCGCTGAAGCGTTACATCTATAATCTTCAACAAGAAGAATGTATGAGGTAAGGTTTAGGTCCACTATCATTTTCTGTATGCATATCAGACATATTACCGTGTTTCCCCGAAAATACGACAGGGTCTTAGTTCAATTTACCTTTGAAAAATAACAATGGGGCTTATTTTGGGAGGATGTCTTTTATTTTCTTCTATTAAAAACAAAATTACAAAGTAGAGATATCCATTTACTCACTAGGTTAAAAACAATTTGCACTGTCAACTAGGTCTTATTTTAAGGGGAGGGCATTAACCTCATTTTTAAACTTTAGTCTAGGTCTTATTTTCGGGAAAACACGGTATTTTATCACGAGATGGAACACTTTCAATATCTGCTGCTTAAAATCTAAAGATTGTTGAAGATGTATATGCTCTTATGTAGTTCAGACGCTCGTGTTGAAACTAAGACCATATTATTTCAATATGATTGATATTTTAAAAATATCTTTGGCGAATTTCTTTTAAAAATACGAAATTTTTTAGGTCCCACTTTGTGATATCGTTATAATTTTATCAGTATTTCAAGCGATAATAAGCAAATATCCAATGTAATTTGCCGAAGGAGTTATAGGATAACGCTTGATATAATTGCCGGTTTGATTTAACACAATCTGTAGATTATCAGTGATATCAATAACCACCATCTGGCTTATTTATGTTCCACGAAATTCAAGATACTAGACTTCAATTAAATCTGTATTGTTTAGGAGACAAAGGCTTTCTGAGCAACGTCGTCGCGTTCTCAATTTAATGGAGGAAATGGAAATTGAGCCATCGACTGATATTGAACTGGAAATAGTTATTACTGACGATTCACAGATTAGATTGGATGCTGAAACCAGAAAACAATATTCCTCTTTAGAAGAAAGGCTTGTAAAAACGAAAGAAGAAAGAATGAAACTTTCAACAGACCTACGAGATGAATTTATCGCAATCTGCAAGGAAGATCAAATTGAAATTGATGAAGAGATCGAACATTTGTTTTCGAGTATCAAAACTCCACACCTAGATTTGTTAAAGACAAAAATTGAAAGATTATCGTTGAATCAAACATGCCGGAAAACTGATAATAAAGCTTCGAATGATAAATCATTGCACTCAAAAACTACCAGTACAACCAAAAATAATCCTATTGCCAACAATTCTGCTGCATCTGTCCCCAATCGCTTCGATACTACAGTTGACGTACAAAAAGACAGACAACCAAATTTAGGAACCCCATTTTGTCGTAAACTCAAACGTCGTTCAATATCAGATACAACTCTTAGAGGACGCGATTTCAAATCCAAGCAACAAGGTAGACAAACAAAGCATAGTTGAATTTAATTTAAATCTCATCTTTGAATTTGTGAACAGGCCATATTATTATTGTATCTGTTTTTCAACATGCTCAAAGACGTCTTTTTCGATGCTAAGTTATTTCTACTTATTTAACTTTTGATTTTTTTATAGGTTCTCACACTCACAAACACCTCTCTCCTTTTCGATTCGGAATAGCAAGAAATGGCACCGCTTGGCAAACAGCAGGGACAGCGACACCCAATACCAAATCCGTACCACGCCAAAAACAAAATTCACCAGCGAACCATTTCAGTTTGACTTTACTCAGCGTGTGTATTTCTAATTTTTTCAATGTATTCTGTATTGTTTTTCGTTCCATTTTAATAAAATCTTATAGAATATGGACACGAGGTCACGTACGCGCCGTTGTCCGCAGTATTCGTCATGTCGTTTTGTGCTCTGAGGCTGCTTGGAGTAGGGGATTCAACATCAACCGAATGTAAACACATGGTATGCAGATATCAATGAACGATCTTTTAGCCAAATAATGCATCAGGAACTCACGGACTACAGTAATGTAACATCATTTCTAACAAAGGGTTTGATTGGCACAGTTTGTGAATTGCGGGACAAAGGGTTTTCAAAATTACCTGACAGGCCACTCAAAGTATACAAAATGAAAAAAATGCAGTTTAGGAATAGAAGATCGTTTTTTTAAGCTTAACGGCCGCGCGTTTCCGATCGCGGTGGCAATTAGATTAGTTAGCTACGCAAAGGGTGTGGTTTGTTTTTGCTTGACTAATCATATATATCGGGTGACAAACAGATGCAAACTCACGAAATATGGACCAATCATACATAGCAACAGTCGTGGAACTGAATAAAAACATAAATATATCACAACTGATCGGATTTGGCCCAAGTATATACAGATATAAACATAGATATAAATCTCATATAATTCAAAATGCGCGAAAAGTTACTTGCGCCTGAGGCCATCAATTGATTTCCCCTTCCGCCACAATACGCGGGTCACACAATCCTAGTTTAGACTTACACATACACTTAGTTTAGAGACGTTGTGCTCTGTGTTGCAGCTTGCCAAGATATGGGGAACGAAAGTTGGATCTCACTTATTAACTCGAAGTTCACTAATTTGACAATTTGCTATATATACTGCACATCGTCAGGCTAATAACCGAATTGCGTAAGTCATTTTTGACGGTTTTGAGTTTTTTATAAAATAGGTATTTATGTAATGCTGCGCACCTGTCTGTTAACTCAGATTTTATTTTTTATGAATTCCAAAACCATAAAAATTGAGATTTTGCATGACATGCAAATTTGTTCAATTGTTTCGTCATAATGAATTATCATTGTTAACGCAGAACTATTGTGACGTCACAAAGGCAAAATAACCTCGGCGAAGGATTTTCGAGTTTTTGCATCTCAGATTCTTGTTTAGCGCTTATAAATTTGAATTTATACTACAGTATAGGAAGGCGTGCACTTGTGATATTCACCGTCGAGTCCAATTCACCTTGTTTGGCTACTATATAAGGGTACATTGCTGTTTTATTCTTTATATTTAATCTTAGTCTGATTTCGGTGGGTGTGCAGAGCGTGTTATAGTGATGAAATATATATTTTTAAACATAAAAAATGATGTAATTGAAACAGATTAGCTATTTTGGGGATTAGACATCGTAAATACTAAGAATTACATTCGTTTTTGGATTGTTTGGTTTTCAGGACTGGTGCCTATAGTCAAGTTGCAAAAATGCTTATGTCCCCAAGTCATAGACACATATATGCCTAAGTCACAGTGCGCCATTATGACGTCACATGACTGCGTCATACAAATTAACTTAAATCCGGCTACGATCAAAAAATTGAACTATGGAAAATTATTGACTCTCAATGGCATAGCAATACCATTGGGAAGTTTTTTACGTTTTTCTCAAAACTGCTAAAAATGACTTACGCAAATCGGTGATTAGCGTGACGACATGAAATGGAAAAGATATAATATAAGCGAGCACAGCGGTTGTGATATATATATAATATATATATGATTACTAAAATGTTAAACACGCACACGCGAGATATATAGTCAAGGAAATTCATGCTACCAATTAATCTTTTGTCTTATTTGCAGCATTTGAATAATATTTTGCAGTTATTGTGTACTTCAACAAAGCTTAGTTTAAAATGTCTAGAAAAGAAGTTACTGCTCGTGATGTTATGTTGTTTGCACCGAACCTTGTTAGCTACGCAAGAATCATAGTTACATTCACTGCTTTCTATTTTATCAAGACAAATTATATTATCGCCTTTTTCTGTCTTATCCTGAGTATATTTCTTGACGAAGTTGATGGACGAGTGGCCCGTTTCCTCAATCAATGCACAAGATTCGGCGAAGCGGTGGACATGATATCAGATCGAGTAATATCAGCTTGTGTTTATGTCGCTCTTGTCAATTTTTATCCGGAATATACGACTTGGTTTCAAATGAATTTAGCTATTGATGTTGCTGGCCACTGGATGCATTTTCACGTGTCGCACATCGGAGAAAACAGCCACAAAAACATCGATATAAAAGGAAATTTTCTCTTGCGATTGTACTACACGTCTCCGCTAATATTCTTCGTTCTGTCTATCGGCCATGAAGTGGTCTTTGCTCTTTTGTATCTACTTCATTTTACACACGGCGCAATGATCGACGTCGCTGGATTCAATATTGGGCTCATTGACATACTTTTTTACATCGGCATTCCAATAATATTCACCAAAAGTATTCTTAATTTGGTTCATTTGAGCGATGCATCCCAACGACTTGCAGCCATAGATGCGAAAGAACGATCTAAAATCGAATAATTAATCAGTGAGGTGCGATATAAAAATAAATTACATTATTTCCCAATCATGCATTTTTAACTTTCTATTCCATTTATAAAGCCAATTATTAGCATTATGACTAGGACTCGTATTATTATTGCATTTTGTGTAACATGTTATTTTTATTCTCATATTTAACCTATTTATATCGTATATCCTATATATAAGCTTCAAAACATAGTATTGGAGTCTTTGAAAGCATGCTCAATCTCAGGAAAGGGTTGGAACTTCCAATCTTTCTATCGGACAAATTAGACTTAAAACTTTGTTAACTTATATTTTTTTTGTGTAAAGCTATAATCTAAATATCTGTTTCGGAATTATTATTAATATATAATATTATATTTTAATGTAGAATTGTATCTGTAAAGCTATAGACACAAATGCTCCTAATGGCCAGATCCAAATAAATAATGAAACAATCTCGGGGGCTGGCGCATATGATGTTATTGACATATTCTTTTTGAATAATTTTCAACAGCTATTATTACGTTCTGAATTACGAGCAGGTAATTGGTGGAAATACTCACAACCAATTTCAGAGCTCAGAAACGGTTGAATAGTTGAATTTTCTCTGTGAAATGTGTCGAGTATTTTATAACCATTTATTACACGTTGAGCTATTTTTGTCCCATCAGTATTAGAAATATTGAACTTTCGGAGTATGGTTAGTGAAAAATTTAGCCTGGCTGAGGCATTAATTTTGTATTAAACTCTGATCATAGTGAAGATGATTCGCGTGTCGCGGGTTTTCAGGCACGGTAACAGTAAGGATAATCAGCTACTTGGGGGGTTGTTGCGTTTTGTGTTTAAATTGCCCAACCATAATAAGTAATACACAAACTTGAAGCCAGATTTAAAACCCCAACGGGTCAGATTCGTCCCAAGGATATACAGATACATTTACGGATGTAAATCACATATAATTCGAAAAGCACGAAGAATATATTGAAGTGTTGCAGCTGATCAATTGATTTCCGCCACATTACAAAGGTCACATTCTAATTAGACTAAGAAGGCTGTGTTATGTGTTGCAGTCTGTGGATAACAGGAAACGCAAGATGGACCTCATTTATAAACCTGAAATTGACTGAATTATAATTTGATACTTTGCTATCATACAAGACACGGGAAATGAAAGAAATATTTTTGAGAAGCTGTAAGCGAGCACTTCGGTGGGCATGAGAGTATTAAATTTGGTAACACACAAGACGACAAAAGCTGAAAACTTCCATATAAATTTGTTTGTTGTTTCCTATAGTATATATTAGTGTTTCAAATTCTAAATTATCTGTTCATAATTTTGTTACTTTACATTGAAAAATAAAAATTTTTCGAAATCAAACGAAATTATTAAAATTGGGTATACGCATTTGTGAACAAATGTGCGCACCGGAAATTTTTAGTGCTCTGTCAATTACTTTTAAGATCAATGACAAGAGTTCTGCGCGTGTAGAAAGCGTGAGATATTAAGCCAAACTAATCCTATCTTTGTTTGCAGCATTTAAAGAATTGCAGTTTTTGCAGTTATTGTGCCCTTCAAAGCTGAGTATAGACTGACGGGGAAAGAAGTTACTGCTCGTGATGTTATGTTGTTCGGCCGAACGTTGTTAGCTACGCAAGAATCATAGTTACGTAAACGTTCACTGCATTCTATTTCAGTAAGACAAATTATATTATCGCCTTTTCCTGTCTTATCCTCAGTATAATTTTTGACGAAGTTGGTGGACGAGTGGCCCGCTTTTATAATCGATTCACGCAATTTGGCGAAATGGTGGACCAGATATCAGATCGAGCGATACCAGCTTTACTTCACGTCGCTGTTGTCATTTTTTACCCGGACTATACACAGCGTTTCCAATAAATTTAGCTCTCGATACTGCTGGCCACTGGATGCATTTTCACGTGTCTCACCTCGGAGGAAACAGCCACAAAACCATTAATACTGAAGGAAATTTTTTCTTAAGATGTTTTCTCCGACAATTTTCTTCGTCTTATCTGTCGGCAATGAAGTGTTCTTTGCTATTTTGGTTTTTTCTTCACTTCACAAACGGTTCAATGATCGAATTTGCTGGGTTCAATGTTGGAATAGTTAGCCTGCTTGTTTACACTGGCATTCCATTAATATTCATTAAAAGTATTCTTGATTTGATTGATGCATCCCAACGACTTGCATTCATAGATGCGAAAGAAAGATCTAAGCTCGAATAATTAAAGAGGGGATTTCAAACTGCGGGAAATCCTCGGTCCACGAAGTGCAATGCAAATTGACAAAAAATTACTGCCAAATCGTACAATCCAAACTTTCTATTCTAATAGATTTATGTGTAGCTCTCGTATTTATATCTTTTGTGTACCATGTTATTTTTATCCACATATTTTTTGTTATGTTTTTGCAATATGTCTTCTGATCTCTGTTTCTATTGGAAGGCCTGTAGCCAACAAAAGCAATGTATTGAATTTACTGCCTGTGGCGCGTCTATAAAGTACGCTTAATCACTGGGAAAAGTTGGAAACCACAAAACCCTTCGATAGCGCAGATCAGAGAAGACAAAAAGTACATCTTTGTAAACTTATATTTGTTGAACATAATATGTATAAAATCATAAGCTACATAACCGTTTTTTTACTTATAAATATATTGTATGTGCATGTTGAAATGTATCTATCTATGGCGAATGAAAAAATGTCCTTCATGGCAAATGACGAAATTCGATTGTTTCAATAAATAAATTATACGTTCAATAAAAAACTTGATGAAAAAGTCCATGGGAAAGAAATCTTTTGAATGTGAGGCCACGAAAGTTTCGCATTGGTACAGGCGAGACCTTAGATGAGCAGTAAGAAAGCGATTACTGTCGGGAATTGAAATGAAAGAGCAAATCTTCGTTCAAAATATAGGGTCCGGGGGACCTGAGAAAGTTTGAAAATAAAAATTATAGTACAGTAATAAACTTCCAACGACTTGATATGGGTACTCCCATAGTATGTGCACCAGGTTAGGGTTAGGCCATAATTTTATTTCTTGGGTACTTCAACTTAAAATTAATTTGTCGATTGGTCACCGAGAAAAGTTGTTTTACTTGGACCTTTCCACGAGCATCGACTTCCGTGTTTACATCGCGACATTGGCCAATCAGCAAGTGACGTAACAATGCCCCCTTTTCGCTTCCGCTCAGACACTTTTCTAACTCAGATAGATTTTCAGGCGTGGTCGTAAACATTACCTCGTTTTCGCGTTTTTGAACTCTATTCGTTAGTTTTTAGTTGTGTTTTGGAAATTTAAATATAAATCAGATAATTCAATGATCACTCTGTCTTCCTATGAGTTTTAATTTAATTGCAGTAATAAAAAATTAGTGTGAAAATGTCAGATATATTTTAATTCGCCACTCGTAGCGCAAGAGAGTGGTTAATCGGTCACCATTGACAACAACATTGCAAATGCTGAAAAAGAATCTAGATTTTGTTGGAGTTGTTATTCATTGGAAGCGTTTCGGGGATTCCGTTTGTTCATAGCTGATATTCTTTTATGTATAAGTTATGATACGATATTCCAGTTAGTAAATTAGGTGTGGTTATTAACCTCTTAGATTCAAGATTAGGAGAGGGTGTGATATTGAAACAAAATGACGACAATAGCGTCTTCCCATGGACCGACTGAGGTAAGATAACCGTATAATAAATCATACATTACTACAGGTTCCAAAAAATATATATGACTATGAAAACCTTGGTTTTTGTGAAGAAATTTTTGAAATGGACATCCTTGAAAATGCAAGTTGTTGAAAGCAAAGATCATAAGTTTTGCTTACAATTCTTCTTAATGCTGTGATGAAATTGAAATATATATGTTTATTTCAAATAGAGCCTCAGCTTTTTACAGAAATAATGTAAAAGAATTAATATTTATTATAGGTACGTGTATATTACTGTATTAGTATGAGAACATGATTTTTTGGGGTTAATTAAAATGACAGTCATTTATCTCCTAATTCCAGGTAATAAATGCCAGGAGAACAGAATCATTGGATGCTCCAGCAATTTTAGATTTGGTTTCAAATCACACAGTTGAACAGTTTGGTCATGTTAATGTTGTTCATTTGATTGAAAAAGCAAACCTTGCTGTTACATTGATAAATGAAGAAAATGAGGTTTGTTGAATGAATTTTATTGTTATGAGTTGAATTTTTGTTTCAGGCTTAAGATTTTCTAGTTGTTGGCATATATTTTCTGATTTTGATGGTTTATGATTAAGATGATGAAAATGGGTTTGATTCTGTCAATATAGTAGCTATGCTGATCTAATTCATGCTTTAATAGCCAAAATATGCAATGTGCTAAACTAAACTAAACAAAACTTGATTATCATAGTTTTCAATTCTGACAAACAAAATAGTATGATTAGGATAACGGAAATAGAACAATGGTTAGAACTGCTTACACTGAAGTTTCCCAACCGATTGATTTTTTTTTCTCTCAGCATAGCACGATGAATCAAAATAGGAAACATTATTAAACGCTAGTCGGGTCGTTTTAAATAATATAGGAAAATAAAAACTTCTTCTTAAAAAAATGCTGTTTCTGCCTTATCTTCTCACCCGTGATTTTGTATGAATCACATTGAAACTTTTAGTTGTTTTTTAAGCTGATGACATCAATCTGATGTTTTACTTCTCATGTTTATCCTAAGGCTAAACAGAATGTGCATTTAATGTAATACAATTTACAATTACTAAACTATAAATACACTATATATTTACATCTGTGGAATTTTTTTTTACTTATTGACAGGTTCTTGGATTCGCTGGATTCCTCGATTATCCTCCTCTTCCTCAAGATGTTTGTGATTCTGCAAAATGGGAGGAATGGATGAAAGATGCAAAATATCCTGTTATTGAGAAATGCACAGCATTGAATAGGTTGAGTGAACATTAGTTTGCAATCTTTTGCACTATCATTGATAATCATTGTCACTAGTTCAGTAGCATTAATAAGTGTTAATGTTTATTTTAATTCAGCTGCATACTTGTTTCACTCAGTTAATGGAAGATTTGAATCTTATGTAAAATTAAGATTTGACAATATTGTCAATAAATTTTGAAGTAAATAAAGTTGAAATTGACTCAAATAAAAATATTCATCCTAAGTGATTCAAGAGTCTTGCTGCACTAACTCAAATATATTTCTGTAACGTTCCGTCTGACCAAGGTTGCAGTTGAACTATGTATGTCTGAGGAAACCTGACCTTGGTCAGACGAAACGTTACAGAAATATATTTGTGTTAGTGTGCAGCAAGACTCTTGAATCACTTAGGATAGTTATCTTTACTCTTGCTACAGCATCCTTGCATCCTACGGATCCTACGGATCTACTGGCACAAAAAGCATAGAAGACGGAGAAGTAGTTATTCTCGTAGAAACCCAATCAATAGAAATATTTTATCATGGCGTTCCCTTTTTTGATTGGGAACTAGTGATATTTGATGAATATGTCTTGCAAATACATTTTTCCATTGTTGTTACTGAGATGACTTGGTTAGGCAAACGGGATAAAAACTTTTATCCATCTTGTTTTTAGCTAACATATCATTTGTCAATTTAACTCCAATTAGAAGCCCAAACACAGCATCCAGTGAAGTCCAATGTATAATATTTAAAAGACATGTAATTGTGAATGTCACTGATTGCCAATGTGTTTATTTATAAAATAATTCATTTTTTCTTTTGTCAGCTTGTTTCTTCATTATTTTGTGGCCAAGTCCGATTACACAATAGGATGTGCGACTGAGATTGTAAGAACTGTGTTCAATGCAGTTCCAGATCTTCATTTTCTATTCCTTGTGCTACGAAATAATGTCAAACCAGAACAAGCTCTCGGACAAATATTTCATCAGATAGAAGGAAAGGATGGAGGTGAGTTTGAATCATTATGTCTCACATTTTTACTCTGACAGTACTCTGGACAAGCAACTACTGAAAAGTAGGCTTTCACTTCGTTTGGAATAGCCTGCACCTCTTTGATTGAACGATAGTCATGTGGTCAAGACTATAGGTCCAAATTATTGTTGAACAATTCGATTAATGGGTTTCTCAATTTATTATATTTTGTTGTAAATTTCCGTGGGTTAGCATTATTAACTGATAATGATTTATGTTTGCGCTGGAGCCTATCTTCCAGCTGTGTTTACTTCGAAAGTCACCACAATCTAACCCTGAATGTGCTCGGTTGGGTTGTCTTCTTAGATATTCTCAATCGAATAAACTGTGTGTATAAATGTGCCTTTTATGAAACCTACTTCAAAATAAATATATGAGTGTACTAATTTTAGAAATAAAGTCAAGACAACTCTCTTAAAGTATTCATGTAATAATTGAGTTCATTGGATCTGTAAATAGTATTTTTCATTTTAGAACGTTTCAACCTGTATGGATGTTATCGTCATTCTCATGTACCAGTTCTTCATATAAGAAGAGCTGTAGTTGAAGATAATGATGATTTGTTACCAATATTTCTAAGACTGAATGATAATCTAACCCAGGTAATTTCATTGTCTTTTTATCATGTATTATGACATTGCTTATTTTCATTTATTATGTTTTTGTTGAATTAGATGTTTTGTATTGAAATAGCACCTTTACTGGAGATTTCTCAGCATACCGACTATGTTAGTACAGGTTCAATAATCCAAATTATATCATGTTTGTTGAAATTGCTCATTTTAAGCTATCTCACCATGAAAGTTTGGTGACGTTTTAGCTTTGTATATATTGTTGCTAAATTAAAATGAATTAAAAAAAAAAAATTCTGTGATATAAAGCTGTGCAATACCGACGTTCAAATCTGGCCAAATTAGATGTTTCTGTATTGAATTGAAGAAATATTAACTCATAACATCATTTTTTTGAATTACAGAAAATATAATATTCAACTAAATTCCATTATTCTAATGATTGTGGTAATTTTGTTTCAACTTTCACTTTGATATTCTTTTGCTCTCAGACATATGGTGATCATTTTCTTGCTGAATTAATAGAAGCACAAGATGAAGATAATCATGCATTGGTTGCTGAAGTTGGTGGAAAAGCAATTGGATTTATCAGCATGTGTAGCCACGTTAACATTGATTTGCTGCAGGTATAATACCTTCAAATATCTGATTTGCCTTGAGATAGTGGTGTTTATCCAGGGTTTTGCGGCACCCGAGAGTTCTGCCAGCACAGACCAGGAGTTCCATAAGTTTTTATCCAATTCCAGGGCTTTATATTAATATATGTATATTGTTAAGTATAATCAAATACCTATTAGGTTTGCCACTATTATTAAGCTTGCTACACTTAAAGTCTAAGATCATCTTTTTTTGTGAGTATTATGTTTGCTTTTATGTATATTTATAGTTTATACGATGCAGACAATTAAACAATTGCACATGGGTTTCTCTGGAATGTTTCATTGGATTCTGCTCCACCAAAAAGTTTGAAAACCACTGCCCTAAGAAATTATACATAGTCTCGCTGTATTCATTTGGATTCAGTATATTTTTTTATAAGCTGAAAATGAAAACGGTCACAATGAGCTACCTCAAGATCAATTCAAATAATGTTAATAATTGAAACTATATGCATATTGTGAATCACAAACAGGTGGTTCCCTACTTGGACTGCCTAGAGATGCTTAGATAAGGAGCCATGGTTAGTGTGATGAATATATAAATCCTAATCTTCATTTAAATATAATAATCATTAATTTACATAAAAATAAAACTTGTGACGATACCTTGTCAATCACCATCATTGCATCTATTTACAGAAAGAATATGAACTTGCATCATTTCATGGACTAAGAAAACCTCATCCTGATGATAAATTGAAAGATGATTCTCCTCCAACACCTCCTCCTGAAGAACCAACAGTAACAGAAGCAGCAAAACCTGAAGAACAACCTGCAGAAGAAGAAAGCAGGACAGTACTGGTAGGAAACATTATTATTCTTGTGTTTCTACTTTTATCATGTAATTCAATTTTACTTATCGAAAGTCCGTGAGTAAAGGAGGAGACAGGGGTGAGCAATTACTTTCCCAAGTAAGCGCTCTTACAGATAATAAAATTGGTTACTTGGCCGGACGTTCAAAACTCAATATGAAATTATAAATGAAGAACAGTCTATTTAAAAACAAATAACTCGATAAACAATCGCTGCCTGCTCGTTTCACTGATGTAATGCAATAGGTATTTGCTGCAGGAGATGTAGTAAATACCATTGAAAGATTAGTGACGTGAGTATAAACAGAATAATTGAATTTAAGTGTTGAAATTAATGTACGAGCAAGAGGAAAAAATGTGCTGCAGCAATTACGGTCGCACAAAAAAAGGTCCTAAAAAACATAAGGTACTACTGAAGTATGCGTACCAAGATGTCGCACAACCTGAATCCTAACCTGGTACACAACCTGAGTTCAGGTTGTGCGCCATCTTGGTGCGCATACTTCAGAATGTCCAAACATAAATACCATAGTCATAATTTCAGCTGGAACAAATGGGCTGGATGAAACACTTCGGCGGGCCGTAGTTCGACCACCCCTGGGTTAAATATAAATTTCCATATTTATCTCGGAAAGAGGGAAGACAATAAGATGGCTCTAGTATATGCCACATCACGGCGTCTCATCCTGTTACCAATCGATGTCAGGATCGGATATAGATAGTATTTGTACAAGACATGGACTTGATGATGGAGGGAGTCGTAATTGACAAGTGGTTATGTGAAGAACACTATATTGGTGAAGAGTTCAGCAATTCTCTCATTGATTGCATCATTTCAAAGACCATTTTTGGCTTATCACAGCCAAAATATTCTAAATAAAAATTCCGTATTATTTATAAAAAAACAGTTTGGAAACCAGAAAAATATACAAAAAGTACTCATTGATTGTGAAATAAGAAATTGCAGAACTTATAGAATATTATTTGTTTAAATTAAACAGGAAAAAAGTTCATCACAAGAAACTGATGATGCTGAGGATGGCGATGATCCAACTGAAGAAGCACCTACACCTTCATCTGGAATTGAAATTGTGGAACGACAACAAACACCATTTGAAGATGTTCCAACTCCTGTTCAAAAACCACCAGTAAGATTCGAAATAGTTGTTGCAAAGATAGTCATGATTCATAAATAAAACAAGCCATATTAGGATTTTATTTGTAACATTAATTTTTGATACTTTGTTTCATTTTGAATATTTCAAATATATATAATGTGGCATGTAAATTGTGCAAATTAGAATTTTTGAAAGCACTTAAAAACATAATACATAGATCGGAAATAGATGTTTTCTGACAGTTTGTATGTGAGCTAGGTCACGAAGGATGCTGAAGCAAGTTTATGGTTTATAACCAAGTATTTCATTCTGTTTATTCCACCATTCGTTCCTATGTATTTGTCCTTGTCCGTTTTGCAAGTTTGAATCGTGTGAAATCTAATTATGTGCCAATGAGATGTTGGACCCCTTGCTCCTTCGCTCATGTAACTGGACAGTTCTGACTGAACTGAATTTTAGTCCATTCATTCATAATGGTTAATTGGTCGAATTTTCTCATGTCTGGCTTTCCTGGCTGGTAAATGGACAAGAGGCCATGGTGCACCATATGATTAAGCCATCTTATTTATTTTCTGCCTTCCTGGCATATCTGTTATTTTCAATACCTAACATTCTTTATATTTATATTTCTTTCAGTTTGAGCCTCAATATTTTGGAGAATCGAACTGTTTTTCACTTCAGTTATTTTGCATTGATGAATTGTATGAGATGAGATCTGCGGACTTCTTACCTCAAGTCTTCAAGTAAGATTAACTGAAAAACATTTTCTTAGATTTAGATTTACTAAATTGTAATTCTGTTTGAATTATTCAAGTAGATTTACAGTAAATCAACAGATAATATGATTAAGTTCGAAATGTTAATGTGGCTCAGTCTTTTTCATCTAAGGTACATCCCTCGTAAATTTACTCTAATTACAATTTTGATGATATTTGAAGAAGTGTAGTCGTATCAAGTGTAGTGTTATACTGCTTGATTACTACCTAAGATTTATATTACTTGTACTATGCAAGCAGCTCGGCAGTTGGTGAATCATGCTGAGGGTCGGAATACGAGTCACTCGTCTGATTACCCTGTGTTGTTTCACAGGTTTAAATCCCACGAAGCGAAATTATGTACGATAGGATTGCGGGACTCCTTGCTGTTGTATTGTGGTTTGCTTTACCATTGGTCAGTTACAGCTTCCTCCACCATCAAGTCCAAACATCTGAAACAAATAACTGGCTAACTAATCCCATACTTGACATGGGGATAACTGGACCAGAGGCAGTGATACGTCATATGATTAGGCCTTCTTGTCTGCTTTCCTTTAATTATCAAATTCCTATTCTAAGGTCAAATAAATTTAAAACTGCATTTTTTATACATCAGGTTGTTTCCTGGTAAAGAGTTTGCTGTTATCACTGTCCCTCATTTTGTTCAAGAATTTCCTCTGTTGCAACATTTTGTTCGAGTCACTCCAAAAAATTCAATGCTTGTCAGTCAAGAACTCTATATATTTCATAGAGGAGGTCTTCTTCATGATTTTGTTGTGAGACCTGTCGTAACAAAAGATACAAAACAGGTGAGTGATATATATTTACATATTATTTCAAACACTCTATTACACATATGCTATAATTAAAAAATAATGGAGTCTAATGGAAAGTCAGTTTAAACAAAATCTTTCAGTTTCAATACAAATTCTCAATGTTTGGCAAATTGTAGATAATAATATTTACTTCATTTTGTTTTCAGATTACAGATCTTGTGACTGCATTATCAGCCAATCAGGATATTTTAAAAGATGTTGAGATTTTCAATTCAGCAAGACGAGATGATGATGGCACAGAAGTTCAAGCTTTTGTAGCAGAATGTTTGGGACAGGTGATAGTATTGCTATTTTCTACGTTAATTTAGTAAAACTGGCGTGCGTATACTTCGAATTAAATTTTCTATTTTATTAGTATGCTATAGAAATGTTTCGGGCATAATTGCGTAATATTAAGTTAGATTGTTGAATATTGCAGATAAAGGTTTCAGGTTCAAATCTCATGCCCATGCCCATAATTAGGTATTCAACGCTGAACCAGAAAGTTTCTAGTTCTTCCTAAAGTAGTGGCTTCATTATGCATCAATATATGCTTGTACATAGACTTGTTCGCAATAAAGATGTGAAAGAACGTCGTCGAAATATATTCAATTCGATTAAAATAACATAACCTAATCCCATGCTGAGAACTATTATTTAATTTGAATTTTTACTTAATTTAATTTAATATAATTTAATTTTTATATTATTTTTTTGCTTGATCTTCATGTTTTGAATTTCATTCAACCATAGTACCTCTCACATATCAATGAAATTTCTAATCTAGAGACTTGCTCAACATAAAAATATTTTGAAAACTTCACTCTGTTTGTTATCTTTGAATCCCAATTTCAGATAGTTGGTGTTGCCATTGTTAGAAGAGAAGAAAACATTGAATACATTCGATCACATTACAATATTGAAGATTTTATTTATTTCAACCATCATAGAAGAGATGAACATGGTCACCTACATCATTTTAGTCTGAATCCTGTTTTTCAGGTAAATTAATAATTTCAATGTAATAAACTGAAAATGGAGAATTAGTGAATCAATCGAAAAAACATTCTTGATTAGTTGCCAAACGAGAGGTCAGGAATTATTGTGGGCGATTCCGAGCAAAATTTGAATTCCATCAATTTTTTCAAAAGTGTAGTGAAAGTAATTTTTTTGCATTTTTTATATCAAAAGACATTGGAATTTTATTGGACTGCATTCATTTCATCGAAAAAGTTAAAATTTCACCCAGGTTTTTGATGGTTTTTAAAAAATGGCCTAAAATGTAGAAATTTTGGTATAATTGATATTTTGTGATGATTCGTGACACAAAGTGTTTGATTGTGTGATACAGTTATTTCGTATGAAATGGACTCACTGAATTTAAGTTAATAAAGTTTAAATGTTTGCAGTGCTGTAGGACATTTCCCCACCCATTTAACGATTTATTACCAGAATTTTGAGAGATGATAGAGGCCGATGTTCCGAAGTGGAAAAATGTCATGTGGTGTCACATACAATATGCACATTATTGGCATGGATTAACAGTGTTACATTAAGTAACTTGAGCAACACATAGAGGGGTCCTTCAGCTACTGCGCGAGAAAATATTATGGGCTCCTACTGTACCATCGCAAAAATTTACAGCACAACACAACGTACTGTTAATGCATGGTGGATTTACCGTCCTGTAGTGTCACGCTATATTTTACTATATTTTTTATATCCACTAAGTATGTCTTGAGTGTAACTTTTGTGCAATTGTCTCCATATTCAATAAAGCAACTGATTGGACAATGAAACAAAACACGTAGCTAAAAATGTAAAAATATATTGCATCTAACAACATGAAAAATTTTTGGAATTGTCCTGTAGTGTCACTTGGAATAGCCCTTATACTTATTTCGGAGATAACACATGTTAAAGTTATGACAGAAATCACTTATTATTCTGTGACTACTCCAGGTGTTCGAGATGCATCGCATGCATTGTGAAATGGCCCTATGGTTGATTGAACCTCTGTAGATCAAATACATTCTCGCACAGAATTAGAGTAATGTAGATGTAGTTAAGTTTTTGTTGAATCTACAATAGTATTTCTTTCAATTCAAAACAATTTGCTTACTATTTGAATAGTATTACAGAAATTCTATGAAAGTGCATCTTCGATTCAATATTTTCAGCATTACACGAAACAATTCTTCAAAGAAATACTTCGACAAGGACACAAGTCTTGTCTGTTTTATCCAGTTGAAAAAGATTGTGAAGACAATTCCAAGAAACATTCACTTATTACAGGTAATATCAGTTTATTTTGGCTGTGCCCGCGATGGCCCAGTTGTCTAAGTGCAAGCCGAACTATGTTGGCAACACATACACTGTGTCCTCACCTTTAAATTAACAAGTGATCCAAATATTATCCAAAGATAAAGTTTTATTTTTAAATTCCAGGCATCAACTATTTGGTACCTGTGCGAGCTAGACGTCAGATTGTATATCCACTCGATGAATTGAACGAAAATGCTCCTTCAGAAAGAATAGTTGATAACATGCCTCCTTATGCTCTCTATCATATCAATAGAAAATTGACCCTTGAGCCAAAGGTAGATTTGGAATTTGGAATTTTTATTTGCTGTTACGTAGTATTGTGGATTTGTTCTTTGAAATTGGATGGTTATTAACTTTAGTTTGCTGATTCTAGATTTTATGTTTTCTACATGATTGCTCTAAATAAAGTTGGCCGAATTTCAGACTAAGATTGGAAGAGACTGGGATCTTTTGATTTGGTATACTCACACCATTTCAAACATACTTGATGGCATAATGGCCATGGCTTTTTATGTGGTTTTTTTCATCGTTTCCGCTGAATAAGCAACTGTTTATTTGTAAGGTGCTATTATTTTTTAGGAAGACGAAAACTTTTTGCTTTGGCATTGCTTAACCAATTTGATACTCACCGGGCATGAACCCAAGATATTTTACCTGCAATGTTAATGTAGTTTTGCCCAATACTCTAACCATTATGCCACTGTGTCCACTAATAACCTGTTTTTCTTATTACATAAATGCTAATTAAAGATTCTACTATGAGGAAATTCTGTTGGAAAGTTAAAACTGGGTATTCCCTGAGAGTATGGATATTACTTTGCTATATTGGATTTATTTGGGCAAATCGAATTAGGGAATAATATATTTCCTTTTATAACCAGGTTACAATCAATGCTCGCATTATTGTTGTTGGAGCATCAAGTGTCGGAATCTCATTTCTTGAAACTTTGAGTTTTTGTCCCCACCTTCGATTTAATAATTTAACGCTGATAGCAAAGGATGGACTTCCAGATAAAATTCATTCTGCAGATTATAGTTACACTACAGAACAACTTGCTTGCATGTCGCTTGCGACATGGGTGAATGTCATACAAGGTAAGAATGTTTTCTCAATAACTCATGAATTCAAATTTCTTTTCATTTTTCTTATTCTACTGCAAGCGAGGCTCCTCACAAGTAGCCACTGTTAGATAAGGAGCTTCTTTTAGTTTGGAAGGACCAGAACCACAATATGTGCTTGCTATCATACCACCGATCACCCTGTCCGATTTTGCGGAATCGAATCCCCTGAGGGATGATTATGTGCTAGGAGATTACTAAACTCTCCTTTTCTGGTTGGCTCACATAAGCACTGGTGGGTGATCTGTAGCTTCCTGCAACACTCGAGTCAATGCATCTGGAATAATTGGTAAAACTGACCATTTTATTTATTCAATCAAGACTAGATATCGGACTATAGGTTGTGGTTTTGTTATACGATTGAGCAGTCTTATCTGCTTTCTTCCATGCTATCTCGCCATTTATACAATTTTCTTTTATCAGGGAACATGGTGGCCATTGATCGTTCACACAAGTATGTTATATTAGAAGGTGGAGAGAAAGTTTCATATGATTACTTGATGTTATGTACTGGACAACAGTATCAGGTAATATAGTCATGTCTAACATATTAATAAATGGTTATCCTTGACGAGCATGAGAGTGTAAGGCATGAGTTCTCAAACTCATGACTCGTTTACTTTCTGAAATATAAATTGTGACGCATTTGAAAGAAAATTTGAATTGAAATATTATTATGACATGCCAAAGTTTTTTGATATATGCTCACTCAATCAAAGCAATATGTGAGCTTGCTCTTTTCCACATAAAGACTGGTAATGTGACTGAATATCCGATATTGGAAGTTGCACTTCTATCTCAATGCTAATTTCAACAGATTTGAAGATTTTAAATCAAGTTCCAAACTTGGACAAATAAGCATTAATATTTTTTGAAATGATAATTGGCATCGCACTGGAAACCATGACACAAAATTTAAGAATCACTTGTAAGAAATAAGAACATACAAATATTATCTTGGTGAATGTGACAACATAAAAGCCAATCTTCTGATTAAACTCGGATCATATATGTTGATACTATATTTTTCAAGTAATTTCCTGGTAAATTTGCCAACATCGAGAACATGCTCGACTATATATTTCCTTATTATTTTGCTTCATAGACCAAGAGGTGCAGGTACCAATTATTGTACAGCTATAGTCAACCTCATTTTTTTCATCTGTGATCGTATTTGATGAATATGAGATTCAGTTTAGTATTGAGGAATGCTGTCTGCTTCATAATTAAGATTTCAATTCATCATCTACTTCTTTTAACAACACCTTTCAATCGAAAATCTCTACGTTTCAAACCTTATTTAAGGTTTTGTTCACTTTCCTGATTCTATAATAAGTTTTATTTATTTCATTTTTGTCAGTTATTTTATCGTCTATTATGCTGATTATGGAGTTGAAATGAAGTTATATTCATGTTCCCAGGTACCAAAACCAACCAAGGTTGACATAGAAGAAGGTGCAACCAATCACATAATATCACCTCGTGCTATTGAATCACCTTATCCATACGAACCACCTGTCAATGTCATGACAATAAATAAATCAATGGATGAAAAACAAATGATGAAATGGATAACCGGGTGAGAAACTTCACTTGTAAAGTTCAAATGCAAATGATAAATAACTTGTGCCACTAAAAACTTTAAATTTTAAACAAGTTTTTTTTTACCCTGGATAAGTTGTTGGATGCAGGAATTGAGCCTCTGAGGATCTTGAACCTGTGACAGTTGGGTCCAGCGTTTTAATCACATTGCGCGCAATAATGATCAATTATCTGTAGGTAAAGTTGTGAGCAGTGGATCTTTAAGTCTTATATCGCAATTAATATTACCAATATTAACTAATCAAACTAGTGTACGTTTACTACTTTCTTTGGCACTTATTTATTTAAACTCTGTACATTTTAAACTTTTGTAAGTTTTATTTGCTTTCAGGATTTTTTAATCATTTTTTGTTCACTTATACTTTCAATTTTATCATTTGTTACGTGAATTGATTATTGAGGCTGTGTATTATTTTTGCTTAGGTTTTTCTTAGAATGCAATGTGTGTTGAGAAAGGGATTGGGCCATTTTATTTAAAGACCCACCACCAGAATTTGTTTGTGCATCAGTTCTTAATTTAAAAATTTCCTATTTCAAATTATTTATATGTTTATTTGTATATATGCACTTTTTTTTACCAGAGTGAAGGAATTTCAAGGCAAAGTTGTCATTTATGGAAATTCATTGGATGCATATTTCACTTTGCAATCGTTACTTTCATGTGGAGTTCCTGGGCAAAATCTCGCTCTTATTCAGCCACCTTCATCTCATAAATTTAGTGAACCTGACACGTTTCAAGAACATGAGCTTGTAAAAGCTGTGATAAAAGCTATTGAAGATGCTGGGGTGGAGGTATTCTGCTTAATATGATATATAAGCAATTTGAAATCAATGGGATTTTTTGTTTCAAACTTTGGGGCATCAATGCTTTACATTTTAGTTTTCAGAAGTAAGTTTCCGAATATGAATATTTGATAAATCTTTGTTATCAATTCATCCTCATTCAACCTTTGATGCTTAGTAATATTCCTATTGTGCTCATGCAGAGAAACCAACTTTTTGAATTGTTTAAAATGATGTCATGTATTAGCGTGTCTTCTCTCACATAAAATATATCAGAGAATATTTGAATAACAATGATTCACAATATTTGAATATTACTTTTGTTAGGTAGTGCAATGCTTGATGATTACCCTGAGAACTCTTTCGAACTTCTTTCGACACAGATCAATGGTCTCTGTTTTCCCATTTTCATTACATTTTTGTGGATAATTATTTTCTCAAACTGTAAAATGATTGTTGATTGTCTATGCACTAAATATCAGCAACTAATATTCTACCATATTCTCCAATATCTTTTTATTGTTATTATTGAATAATTATTTCATACATATTCATATTTTTTTTCTTCCAGTATCACATAGATTGTGTTTTTGCGGATTGGCAAATGAGTGATGTTGCACCGAACAAAATATCAGAAGTTTCATTCACCACTCCAACTAAACCTGTCATCATTGAGTGCCATGCATTCCTTTCTTTCTATCCAAAATGTATCGACGCTTGGACATTCAAGTCAGTAAATGATGCTTGTCTCGTTTTCGATGGACGTCTCGTGATTGATACCAACTTTTGTACGAATGATCCTGTAATTCGAGCAGCTGGTCCACTGACGAAATACGCTCGACGTTACCATGCTGAAGACTGGTCCAACCACGATGGATATAATTCATGTGAAATTGGATTTCGTCTTGCAATGTCTGTTTTACCACTTTTTGATCCTACATTGGAGTCAATGATTGAAGAAAATGATCCGAATGATCCATACTCCAAACTGACTCCGATTTTCAGTGATTGCAAGGTATGATTTACCAAGCTGCTAAAAAGAAGTTATGTATTGGGCTTTGCGATTGCGGGCATACTTTGGGTTTAGGAGTATTGTTACTTTACATGAAAAAGTGTGTGCTTTAATTGTTAAGATTATTACTATTATATTAGTAGTTGTAATAGAGTCGTCCCTCTCAATGTTTAATCAAATATCATTCAAAGATTGTTATTCAATGTAGTATTCCACAATCCCCACTTCTGACATAACTATTTATTATTGTCTCTTTTTAATTAAAAATTTGTAATACATCACTTTTATATACTACATTTTTAGGGCTGCATACCCAACAAGGCTAGTTTTATTTGAAATGATGGAATTCGAAGTAACAATTTATCACTGAGAATTAGATAAAATTTGGACATCCTATTTTTCGACATCCACTATTTTATTCTGTATTGAAATTTTAAAAATCTAATCAAAAACTATAAGTAAACAATTTTCTAATATTTATCAAATTGCATACTTCAGGTGTTCCATGGTTATCTACCTGGTAATTTTGAATACCTTCACGTGAGAAAACCTGGAGCAACTCAAGCATATGAGTCTCAACTTGCAAATCCAAACCACGGACATGAGATTGAAACAGGAAGCGTAAAAAATGGAAATTATTTCAGATTACATATCAACCAAATGAACTGTGTGGAAACTATTACTTGTGTTGTGAAAGGTAATTATTGCTAACTCATGCATTTGTAACAGTAAAAGTGGGGACCTCCTGACGTATGCGCCCAGATGGCGCACAACCTGAACTCAGGTTGTGTACCAGGTTAGGGTTCAGGTTATGCGACATCTTGGTGCACATACTTAAGGAGTACCAAAAGTGTTATCTTATTATATATTCAACTGGTGTATGAACTACGACCTCTGGTTTGGCTTTATTACGTTGATAACGGGGAATGTCCATGGGATTAGTTAGATATTCCGTTATTCGTTTCAGATTCATGCTGGTAATTGTTGAGCCGTCTTTTGGACTCTCGTTCTTTTGAAAAAAACATCTTCTTCAAACATAGTCGGCCTGCTGACTGTTAATTTTGGCAGCCTACTCAGGGCTCCTGCTTAGGTCCATTTTGTTCCTAATGTATATTAATGATTAAACTGCCCAAACCCATTAACAAAATTAAGGCCGTGTTTGTGTAATCATATATCACATCATTTTCATTCATTGTTAAGCTGGTGAAGGCCTTCCTATCCCCGTCTGGAACATCACTCAACTGTACAACATCCATGAAAGATATTTGAACAATCTTCTTGCAAGGGTAGAGGAAGGTCTGATCGCAGATTTGTTCGAGTTTTTCCGTGAACCTTGGTGCATGGCGATCTTCCACGACAGGTTCAGAGACCTCAGACAAGAGGTAAGTTGGCTGGTTTTGTTACAATGCTTCACAATGTTGCTTTGAAGAAGGGCGTGGAAAACCAACCACTGATCTGTAGAGTTACAGGGCCAGGATAATTTCATTGCGGCATTGCCAACTAATTTGTTGGGTCCTGGGTTTGATGGTAACAGGGCTGTGAAAACGGGGAATTTACATCCGACTGAGACTCCAAAATTTGAGCCAATTAAACAACGACTCCATGCGGTAGGAAATGTTGACTCCAGCCTCCAAACAAATATCGCATAAAAGAGCTTTTTTCATTGTCTGTTCAGAATGCACAGTTAACCTAATGATTTCAAAGTTTCCACCAAAAATTGGACACTCTGACTCCAAAACACGTATCCACTAAGTTTGCTCCCACTGTATCCTTGGAAATGTGAACACATACCGCAGTATGGAACAGACAGTATACACGATTCATTATTGTATCTTATTCTGTTCATGGTGAATATTTATTTTTTCAACAATTTCAAAGTGTCACGTTGGCACTTCAATGGTATGACCAATATACTACAAGAAGATATTCCTAGATCAGATATATATCTGTTTCTATTACTTGTAGGTTCGGGAATTACTCAGTATGCCGCCATCAGGTGGAGGAAGCTTATCATCACTCGAAGCTGAAGTCCAACAACTCGTTAAAGAAGATCTAAATATTTCATCAGAACAGAAAGCAAACTTACGAGAATTCTATCAAAGTATCGGCTTGAAAAAAGCTGTCGAAAATCGTCTTCTCAGCTTCTTGGGTTACAATTACTACCATCTGCCGATGTATGCGAAACCAGGCATGGTGTGATTAATGTGTATAATGCTAAATTGTAAATATTTTTATAAAACAATATTTGTGTCATGAAATATATAGATCTGTTTAAAAAATGTGTTACTTTAAAGTTAAAAAATTAGGTGTAGATCTAAGTTTCTGGAACAAGTGTTGCTGTGATTCAGTTTCGGTCCTTTTTAAACATCCCATAAGCTAAACAAATGGAAATGCCCACATGAAAGGCTATTTATCTAGTTGTTTCCTGGAATAACATTGCAGGCAATTCTGATTTGCAAGCTTATTTTACATATAAATCTGTGAGTCCTATAGGTCAGTGGTTCCCAACCGCCGGTCCGCGAGAAATTTCATTGTTTTTATTCCGTCCCAATCGCTTTAACGAAGACGAGGTTGCGTTGGTTTATTACGAAATTTCTCATCCATCGTCATATTGTGACGTATTTCGCGACATCTTGGCGCCGAGTAATCACACTTTTTGCTTTTTCGGCTCCGATTCATCGCGAATGCACTCCATCAAATCCGGCAAAATTGAAAAATCGGCACGCGTGCTTTCTTTGTTCTGCGTCGCGCAAAAAAACATGGGCCGCTGAGATCTTTTAGAATATTTTGAGCAGACATAGTAGGATTTTGATCCTGGTGCCAACTTGCCAAGTCACCGACGACTTTGTCATTGTAATGTAAATTCATTTCGTTTGAGGCGTCGATCAACTGCAGAGGGTCTAATATGATGAAACCGATGAAAAAGAAGAATCTTGATTAAAAGTGTGATTCTACTTTACAGTCCAGATTTAAGAAAGAATAACTGTCACAATTTTGAATATCTCTTGATGGCAAATACCGTATTTTCAATTAGTTACTGCGTTATGTGAAAAAAACATTTTCATCACTAGCTTCAATTAAAACGATGCAAAGCAATCGGGCAGCACGCCTCTGCAGAGCTACGTGTTGCAAAAACTTCTTTGAGGCCTCGTTTGCAATCCAATATTGGAAACGAAACAGCAGCAAAATTCTCACTAGAGTTAATTGTGTTTATACATTATTCGGCATGTACATGTTTTTTATGTGAGATGTTTTATGCGTGCCTTTCTTACGCATAACGGGTGCACAGTACTGCATTTTATTACGAAAATAGATGGTATTACATTATGTTTCACCTAATTCAATTTTTGGCCGGCACATTATTTGATAGTTTTTCTTCGTGTGAAATGTTTTTAAGTGTGCCTTTTTGTCTAGAAGCATATCGAGTGCCCGACATTGCATTATATTATATGTTGCGGTCATTTCAATTTTTTTCCGGTCCGCGAGTACATTTAATTTGATTTTACCGGTCCGCCAGGATAGAAAGGTTGGGTACCACTGCTATATGTTATGCACAAAAGGACTGATTACAGTCAATCAACTTGGCAAGCTGACAACCATTGGCAAAATGACAATCATTGCAATCAACAAGAATCAGTTGAAGAGTCTATTTGCCAACCTGATGGATGTAGCCACGTCGCATATAAGATTTTGGACCAATTTCTCTACGCAATTGTTTGCTTCTGAGTTCATGTAAACTTACAATTCTTAGTATATCATATGTACTGATATGCCTATACCATCCAAAATGAGCCTATATATTCAAAAGTACCAGCAGATAGATACAGTCAAACAAAATAAGAAGATGTCTTAAGTTTATTTTACAGAAGAATAAAAAAAATTGAAATAAAAAGCGTGATTAGGAAGGTACACTGCGTTAGGTAGACATTTTAAACCAACTTTTTATGCAATTGGTGTCTAACATCACAATGCTGCATGAATTCAACAATATAACAGATCCTACTACTTCATCTAATTCCGCAAGAAACTATTATGGGACACAAAATAAAAGCTTTTAGTGAATGGGCAATCACAAGAACAAAACTTGCTACTTCTAAAAATATCAGTAATGATCTTTTTAGATTTCAAATAGGTTGAGTAAATTTCGGAATTAGTGAAAGAAAAAAAATATTCAAAAAATTTACATTCAAATTAGTTTTCTCAGTAGAAGTTCCATTTATGAACCAAAATAGGTTTCATTTTGTCACTTGTTGGAATATGGGCACCACCAGTCATGACATATGCCAAACTCTTAAATTGAATATATAACAATTCGAAACTGAGTGAAACAACATAATCTAGTAGAGTCGAAATCACAAGACTTGCTCGTTAGCAGAAAGCAAAATAATATTTTGAAACTGGAATAGAGATTGGGGTAAATCACTGCGGCAAGAATTTTTAGTTGATTGGAAAAGTATGAACAAAAAATCAGGCAAACACAAAAATTAGTGACAACCTTTATTTATAAGTGAATCCTAGACGTACAAGGCAAAATTAAATTGGATAAAAAATATTGAATTTAGGTGAATCCAATGGTGAGCATTATACAAAATAAATATTACATGCCACGGCTCTGGTATTTGATGAGTATGAGAAATGATATAGACAATGAATATCATTTCTGCATGTTTTGCAACAAACCATTACAAATTGTCAACTACACTGCAGAAATAGGAAGTGAATTCACAACTTTTAACAACATAAAAATACAACTGTGAGTGTGGAATGCCTCAAAATATATATCATACGCAATAACTTGTCCATTTGTGTTAGGTGCAGCGAAGAACAGACCAAATTAGAATGCAAAAAAATGTATTCTTGAAATATATTGCGGCAGCATATATAAGCATTAGTTCCATTAGTTCATTTTCAAAATTGGTTTGCATTCAGTAACCAATAAGAAACAATCCCCTGGATTAGCAGACATGCTGTATTAAACTATCAACATCAGAATTATGGAATAGTTCAGCACTCATTCAGTTTCCCTGTATCGCGCCATGATACGTTGCCTTGCTGCATCTTTATAGCTATCACTGCCTGTGCTTGGTCCAAGCCGAGAACCCCTTACTCCAAGTCCTGAACCCATGGTTCTTTGTTCAGCCTAGAATAGAAATCACAAACATTTTGAAATCAAGACATCTTATTACCTTTTCGTTAAATGAAATATTTCGATGTTTCATTCTGTGCTATAGCATATTGTTTGTAAATGAAAAGTAAAGTAGCATTGGTCAATTCCAATGATAACACATTCATAACGACATCTTGAAACACCTAGAAAACACAAGATTCGGCTAAATAATGGATAAATAGAGTATTGTCACTTGCTTACCATAAGAGGTGGACAAAATCGAATACTTTTTTGGAATCGAATAATTCGAATAATGAATATATTTTTATACACAAGAGACCAGAACCTCGGCCGATAATCCTTTTGAAAATAAATGAAAAAATTGAAAAATCGGCAGCGAAGCGTTTTTTTATGATGGTTAATTTCATCATAATCGCGGATTGCTTTTGTCACCGCTATCGTTTGGGCGGCGATATATTGAAGTGGGTAATCTATATTTCCGTTCTTTGTCTCTTTTGCAAGGATTCATTCTTGAGGGTCTACAGATATCGAAGTTTTATAGTTCGGGCATAACTGTGAGTTCACGTCGGCAACAGCTGTGAAAGCAACGTGGCAAATTGTGTAACGTGTGGCAACGTGTGTAAATTTACCGTCCCATTTTTGAGCGGTCGGCAATATTATTATCAATACCGGGTTGGAGATATTTATTAAGGCGATAATTAACTTTAAATGCTTTTCTATGTTATGGGTATCTATGTTATTTTACAGATAAACGTACCAAAGCTGCAATTGCGCAATCCTGAATGTTGATTTAAAATTGTGATAAAGACGTTTCTACAAGGCCATAAGACGAGATGACGTCAAACTGCACTTCTTGAATGATATTTAACATATGCTGAAAAAAATTTGCGCTCGAGTGCTTTTGTGCATAATAGAGTGTCAGACAGCGCCAATTATAACTAATACATTCAAAGTTCCAACGTTTTATTTTTAACAAAACAAAACCCCGGGAAAAAAATGAAAGCTAAAATCATTACCGAGTGATTCACAAATTTATTTATGGAGTTTGCAAATTCACCACTTCACTTGACGATTTTGATAATGTCACGCCATAATTATTAGTGCAAAAATTCTTACAATATTACGAATGTAATCATTTCCGACGATAACAGGCGCAACAATTCATAAACGGACCAGTGTGCGTTATTACATCGAAATTCACGATTAATTTTACGATCTACTCTTGTTTACGATTTTAACAGTCCACCCGCCGTGTACGGTCGAGTGAAATGTTCACATTTTTGAAACATTACTTGGTCAAGGATGGAAGGGATCATGAACGAGCTAATAGGAAGTTTGAAAAAAGTATGGCCTGTCATTTTTTTTCTGGTTACAGCTTATAGGGGTGTTATACCCTGTATGGTCTCTCGAACACGTCATTTCAACTTTGAATTATCAATAATCAATCTTATGTTCGGTTCGTGCATGAAACGGCTTATCATACCGCGAGTCATACGAAGTTTATAAGATCTGGAAAATTTATTGTGAATACTTGATCTGGTTTGACGTTTCTGATTTTAGGGAATGGTGTCGGCGCGTTATTTTGCAAAATAGAGAATTGAAGCGATACATTATGCTCAAAAAGTAAGCAAATAACACCATGACGCAAAGACAACGATTTCTCAAATCTGTCGCTTTTGTTTGTTAGTGAGCGATATAGGTGAATTCTCGCGCAATCCAGGAACGATTTAGAGACGTGCGAGTTCTGTGTCCAAGCACAGCGGTGCAGGTCACGTGGTACCAGATATTCGAATAGTAAAATGCCATTCGAATAATTTAATATTCGATTCGCTATTCAAATATTTTGCCCAGCCCTACTTACCATTATCGGTACAGTGATTCCGGATTGTGATTTTCCAAGGCCAGATCCACTTTTCCATCCCATTTTTTGCAACATTTTATTTCCAATATTAGAATCACCAATTCCATCTTTTGTTGGTTGTTCATATGGACTAGAAACAGATAAAAAGTATATTGTATCATAACGCAAGTATCAGAGACAATAAGACTTTGGTGGTAATTTAAAACTCCGCACTGAAATAAACAACCCGCCCCATACGATGATAAACCAGGAATGGAAGATGAATGATTTGCCATAACTAGAGGTGACATGACTTCCCCCATTGAATTCGTCTACAGAGAGGATTAGATAACTCTATTTGGGTAATGCGTTGGAGTTACATCACAGGCAGGCATGGCCAATTCGAATAAAGTATTCGAATATCTCGTCATCGGAATATCGGAATTAGCGTTCATAAGAATATCGGATTGTTGTGTGACGTCACACATCTTCGACGCCGCTTCCAAGACGTTTTCGTTGAATGAAAACTCTCTCGATAGAAACTTGCGCATCGTGCGCACACTCACCACATGCGCGCTCTCGTCGCAAAAATGAGGTCAGGTCGGTCCAAGGTTGTTGACTCCGCGGGCCACAAAAATATTTTTGCACTGTTCGCGGGCCACACTAGTGCCAAGTATAGGTAAACAGTGCAATACAAAACAAACACTTTTATTGTACAAACACATAGTTATCAGGCATTGCCACATAGGGTAATAGATTCCGCATTCGATTTTTAGTTTTCTATGATTCCTATATTGTTAACATATATTCCCGACCAAAGAGATAGAAAGCCAGATAACAATTTAGACTGCCAAGCACATCATTCAACTTCGCTAGTTTCCTCAGCTAGCCATAACACTAGTCAATTCAGTGACATTAGTGATGTAGCAATATGTCAAATGATTTTTCTGATTAATTTTATGACGCAACAACCCGAAATGCAATTTTTCGATTACTCTCCGAATGTGACGCGGGCCACAGATAATGCAGTGGCGGGCCACATTTGGCCCGCGGGCCTGGGTTTGGACCACCCTGATCTAGGTCATACAGGTTCTCTCGCTTTGTAAAAACCTAGATCTTGCAGAGTAGGCTGGATATAATTGTTTCTCGGCCTACATTGTATTGTCGCCCCAGCGTGCTTTTTCACTCGCTCGCTCGCTGTGATAATCTAGGTCAAAATATAATATATTTTTCTCTGTCACCGTATTATCACGCGCTCGCCGCAACAATCTAGATCAAAATATATTATTTCTTCCTCTTTGTCCATTTTATTGCTGTCCTCTGCGTGTTTTCTATTTCTACTCTGCATAAACACAGCCGCGAGGTTTTATGTTTGTGCAGATCGTTGTTGTCAGCTATCGAAGTAACTCGTACGTTGTTAGCAAAGTGACTTTGGTTGTTTGCAACCAATGAGTATATAAAATTTGGGGTCTGGTATAGTTTAGTACCACACGTACTTCTAGTTGGCCTGGCTCAACAATTTTTGCATATGTCAATCCTAACCCCCACCTGACTACGTCACCAAAAAACGTCATTTCGTCGTCACAGTGGCGTAACGAGGCCCACCAAAGTATGCGGATGGTCGTCCAAAACGCGCAGACGATCACCCGAAAACGAGCAAGCTATTTCTCTCGTTTTCTTGTCACAACGATCACGATTGGAGAAAGATAGCAACTCGTTATCGGCGGCGCAGATTCCATTTCGGGCGATTGTAATTATACTTTTGCAAGCCTATGACGTGATGGTGACGTCGTAGTGACGTAATTTTTGGATGGCATAGTCAGGTTGGGGTTAGGAATAACATATGCAAAATTCGTTATGCTACGCCCACTGGAAGTACTTGTGGTACTAAACTATACTAGACCCAAAATTTGCGTATTGTAGATTTGTAAGGGTAAGTTTGTCAGCTGATTTATTGCTTATTTCAGGCAAACAAACTGCCGATACATGGTAAACTTAAATTAATATACCGGTACTGCTGTACTGGTAGGTAGTAGGATACTTCAGGCATAAATATTATAATTTGTGAATGCATACCAGTACCGGTAATTGATATTGTTGATTGTTATGGCTTGATTCAATTGCTTGTATTGCTAATGAATTTTATTACTTTCAGAAAATATACAAATTTATCTGAATACAAATAGCTCATTTGCCAATAGACTATTATTATAATTCATGATGCCAAGAGGCCGAAGAAAAACTTCTGGTGTTTGGGATTTTTTCTCATCACCTTATTCAGATGGTGGACAGAAGAAGTTTGTAACATGCTCAGTATGCCAGGAAAAACTCAGCTAGTGTTTATCAACCAGCAACTTACAAAGTCATCTGAGATCAAAGCATTCAACTGTGTGAAACCCTTCAGAATCAACTTCTACAAGCTCTAATTCTGGCGCAACCGTTACACAGAAACGAGTGCCTCAAAAAACCATGGATCAGTACAGCAAAGTTCCATTGAACCAAAAGCGAGCTGAAAAGATTACTGGCTTAATCTCAAATTTTATTGTGGGTGACCTAAGGCCAATTTCCATTGTAGACGGAACGCACTTCCAAGATTTAATGGAATATGTCGAGCCCAATTATGTAATGCCAAGTCGTCAAACATTTACAAGAATGCTTGAAAACAAATATGCTTTTCTGAAGAATAAATTAACTTCGGAACTTGAAAATATATCTTCGATGGCACTCACAGCTGACATTTGGAGCAGTTGCAGAATGGAGAGTTTTTTAGGAATAACCTGCCACTACATCAAAGAGCAGGAAGAAACTGTTACACTAGAAAGGCGTGTACTTGCAATCCGCCAAGTCACACAATCAAACACAGCTGATAATATTGTTCATTGGATTGAACTTATACTCTCAGAGTATGGGATCTTGCCATCTCAAGTTTCTTCCATTGTCACAGACAATGGCGCTAATGTTGTGGCTGCTATGCGACAATGCACTGCTAATCACGGTTGGCAACACATCAGGTGTGTTGCGCATACGTTGCAATTGTGTGTGCACGATTGTGTGAAAGTGAACCCAGTAAAGCGGGCTCTTGCTGCTGCACGTCACCTTGTTCAACACATGAAACAATCGTCCCGTGCATTAAGAACTAAGAACAGCGTACACGGACACACGCCCCAGTGATGAACCAGCCACTTTCAATTCAATATTGGATTGTCCTACTCGATGGGACTCCACGTACGACATGATACAAAGACTGTGTTCATATCAATGGTTAATCAGACAATATCTGTCAACCCTTCACCGTGATCGGAACTTTGTGACAGTCATTGGCCGATAATTCAAAAGCTTGTCGACTTATTAGCTCCTATAAAAACCTCAACAAAGTTTCTCCAAGGCGACAAATATTTTTCCCTATCATCAGTCTACCCAATAGTCAATAGTTTATGCGTTGAATATGAAGAAATGAACGATAGTGACGAAGCCTTTGAGCGGAATTTCAAAATCAATATGACATCATCATTAAGAGAAAGGTTCTCCTATGTGCTCAATTTCTCCTTGACCCCAAATGTGTTTTTTAAAGCTGCATATCTGGATCCCCAATACAAGGAAAAGTATTTTTCCCAGAGAGACAAATCTCTAGTTCGAGAAGCCATATTGGAAGAAATGTCGGAATCTCCACGTCCGGAACAACGCCCCACGGAAAGACCAGTTTTACCAGACTCACCAACCTCATCAAATTTGGACCTCATTCTGGCCTATGGCCAGTCTAATGAAAGGGATTCCTCACCCACAGGTAGCATCAAAGATGAGACACAGACTGACGAACTAGCGTGGTACCAACAACAGAAAGCGTCAGAGAACTCCTTGGCATGGTGGAAGAATAACAAGATTACTGCGCCTCGTCTTTATAAACAAGCAAGGAAATATCTTGTTATTCCAGCTACATCAGCTCCTGCTGAGCGTTCATTTTCCAGTGCTGGCCTCACTGCATCCGAGATACGTTCTCGGCTAACTGGTTCACATGTTGAACAACTGACATTTCTCCACTGCAACAATGCAATGCTCTAGTTGTTTGTACTTACAGTTTTAGTTGTTTTATTTCTGTTTTGTTTCTGATGGTCTTGATTGCACAATTCGATTAAAATTACTGTGTCACAAGTTGCTATTATTTTTATTGATAGCTATAAATATCAATTACTTTTTGTAAATATACTGTGGAACTGTGGTATTTCTATCGAAGCCTATTTTCTATTTTACTGTGTCGCAAGTTGCTATTATTTTTATTGATAGCTATAAAATATCAATTACTTCTTGTATATATACTGTGGATCTGTGGTTTAAATGTGGTATTTCTATTAAAGCCTATTTTCCTTTTTTCTGGGTTATAATAAACTAAAACAAAATTGTGTTGTCTAATTTTAGTATGTATTAGGAATAGTTCAGTATTCGGAAATGGCCATCTCTGATCACAGGTTATAAATCTCTCACAGTTATACCACCTCTCCCAGGTTATAATAAATTGGGTAAACAATGCCAACGCGTCGTTTCAATATAATAACAAAAACTGTAGATGCTTTTGAGAGCCTTGCATGAAAGTGTGTAAATGTGTTTTATAAAATATAATCTTAATAATTTTTGCAACAAAATCTTCATATGTCCAATTTCACAATACATCTTGATTTTTCATTCTTTTGCACATTGTTGACAACCAGATACACAAACTAACTGTATTACAATAGTTTATATTGCAAAACCAACTTACACAGGTGCAGCTTTATGATATCTAGCTTTCTTCAAAGGTGGATCAGCAATACCGTACTTGCTTCTTCTTTCCGCAGCTCTGTCTCGATATTTTGGTTGTTCCAACATTTGACCTTGTGAAGAGGCAGATTTGTTTTTTGATCTGAAAACGCAATAGAGCAATTTTTTACACCAGTGGTTGCTAAACATTTTTGTTAAATTCCTCCTGTTGCCTATTTTGGATGGAACTCATTTCTCCCCCTATGCATGATACTACTTTATTTATTCAATTTTTGAAGGATCCTTTGCTAGTGTTTGTTCATGTCTTACTCCCGTTTTGTACAGTTTAGGGAGTTTGTTATATAAATATGTTCATGAATAAGCAATATAGTAATAATATTATTACAGAGAATACAAAGCAAAAATCCCCCATTTGGAGACGATGCTTTAGATCATAGGTTCTCAAAGTGCTCCGTACGGAGCCCCAGGGCTCCGCGATAGAAACCCAGGGGCTCCGCGAGCTATTTGATTACTTTTCAAAATACTGACTAATTTTATAACTGTTCAAAGAAGCAATACCAGCTTTGATGAAATCTGACAACAATATAGCCTCGAAATATGGCAAAGAGGCGGAATTAAAAAATGACATTATTTATAAGCAGGAGCGCAGCCAGGGTTCTTAAGAGAGAAGGGGTTCAAAATTGGAATTGGAAATTTTCGCGCAAAGTTCTTCGCGATTAAAAAAAACGGATAACGAGAATTCTGTTGCGTAAAATATTCAATCCATGACCGATGCGAGCATTTAACGTGTCTCGTCGGTATAATGTAATTGTGCTCATCGTTACTCACGTTTGATTCGAGATTACTATTAGGATTACTGAAATGAAAGAATACTATTCTAAAATAACATAAAATATGTGATAAACTGCCAACTATAAATAAATTGGAATCGTATTTCTGCGATCTTAGGATTCGTCGTACTTGATTTGTTCTTTCGCACTTAAGATTCGTTTTTAAGATAGCGCCGTTTAAAAAATCACAATATCTGGGCAAAATACGAACAATTGAAATTTATTTTATTGCATTCGGCTCCGTCGGTAGTTTCAGATTCATGACTTGTAATAACCCTATTAAAAAGGTCCGGCATTTAAATTAAGTAAAGTACTTTTAACTTGCTCAGGAATATTAATCTGAAAGTAACAATTATAACATTTATTTTGGGGCTCCGTGAATAGTAGTCAACCTTTTGAGGGCTCCGCAACACCAAAAGTTTGAGAACCCCTGCTTTAGATCAAAGGATAAAATCAAGATAAAATTGGTGTATCGTTACGTTTTATAAATATGATGACATTCAATAATTCAAACATTTTTCAATTACCTGAAAGCCTCGACGTTTTGCCTGTGAAGGTCAGACTGCTTCTGATGTTTTTCTAATCCCTCTTTTGATAGAAAAGCTCGTCTATAAGAATAAATAAGTAAAACTAATAAAAAACTGCCATCATAATTTAAATACAGGAAATAAACACCATATGAAATACAGAAAAGGTGTAGAAACTGCGAATCCGGACAGGGCAAACAGATGTGTGATGGCAAGCATGTTCTTATCAATTAGTCTGATGTCCGAAGCACCAAGACAACTTTAGAGATAATAAAATATGGAAAACATAATCTCTTTCTGCAGAGTAGCAAGTGTATTTGTTAGCTTTCGTAAGATCATAGTCTCACTTCTTCAGGCAAAATAATCTATATCTTTGTGGAAAGATCATTTTGATACTATCTTGTTTAAGCATCCTTGTGACTATAAACACATACGGATCCAAGTAGAAAGTAAACAAGGAGAAAGAACCTGCAGTTCAATATACAATATCCTAGTACTTTCGTAATAAAATTAGTTCACCTGCATAACAGACAAGCCATTTTATTCCAATCTGTCATTTGTTTGATTTGTTCTTCAATACTTAATTGTTGCTGTGGTTCTTCATCATCACTGTCACTACCGGCACCATATGATGATAAACCAGGAATAGAAGATGATGAATGATTTGCCATAACGAGAGGTGACATGACTTCACCCATTGAATTCTTCTACAGAAAGAATTATATCATGGGTTCTGAACAGTTTGAAAAGTTTCATACTGAAAAGTTTTCATACTGAAAAGTTCATTAATCAGAGCCAGAGTCCTATTTTTTTTTGAGTCAAAAACAAAATTCAAAATTTTTCAGTGTCAGCAGTCGGAACTTTAAATGTTTAGTGACAATAATCAAAACTTATGACAGAAACACAAATAATATTGGAGCAATTAAGTACCGTCAACAACAATTATTAAAGCCTAGCAAACGCCAACATTCATTGTTACCAACTGAAACTTGGTTTTCTCAGATTTGAAGTCAGAGTCATGTTTGAAAAATTAGAAGTCAAGAATTACTGGGGTTTGGATTGTGTTAAACCCATATGGTCTCAATCAACTCTAACTAATTTCTTACATCCTGTATAAGACAGTAGGCAAGAGATGAGAAAAAATTAAACATGATTGGCTTGTTTACATCATGATTTTAAAACATATAACTACATTATGGTGAGCGTGAAGAAATCCATTATCCAATATTAATCATTAAATTTGAGGCTTGTTTAACAACTCTTTTCATAATGCTACATTACCATTCCAGGTGACTTGAACATATCGCTGGAGAAAGTATCCTTTATCGTAGCTCGTCGTTCTTCCTCGCTCACTTTTTTCTCAAGCAATGAAAATCCAATGTCACCTGAAAACAATATTTACATTATCATTATGAGTGAGTTTGAATCAAAAAATTATGACAGGTTTGTAGTGTTTATTTTTTATTCATAAATAATGCAAGCACACAAATTATACAAGCTAACAGAAAATTCTATAGAGTTTGTCCACGACCAGCTTCACTTTTCGTTCAAAAATTTCGTAGGGCAACATACTTGACGATGACTTCATAGCTCTTGATCAACGAATATCGATAATCCATTAAAACAACAAAGTTGAATAAAGTACTCACCCGTTGATGATTCTTTCTTAGACGCATTTGTGTTTTCCTCCAATAACTTCTTAGTTTCTTCTTTCTTTTTATTTTGAGCTTTCGCCCATCGCTCCATGTCTTTTGCAATCTGTAATATCAATGTTTTTAATAACATATTTCAGATTTATTATCGAAGAAATAAATAACCTAAATCTATTATAGTAGAAACAATATTTGAAACATTTTAAATCAAACACTTGCTTATGGATACGAATGATCACATTCAAGAAGTTCAATATGCCAGAATTCTGATTAATTCAAATTTTGTTTAATTTTAATTCTTCGAGCATCTCTACTACCTATGGATACCAAGAAATGTTAAATCATTGACTTGTAATTTGGAAAATAATTTCACAAAGCAAGTTACAAATATTGAAGTGGAATTTCAAAACTTTCATTTCCTATACCTTTTTTGCTGTTTTGGATTTCGCTTCTTTGTTGATATTTTCTTTCTTTTTTTCATCGGCAGCTTTTGTCTGTGCTGCCTGCATTTCACTCGATACCGGAATATATGTGTGAGACTTCTGATCCCAGTATAAATATATACCAGAAAAACTGTTGTAGTAATACTGAAAATAGGGTAGAAATGTGATAAATTTGAAGAAGGATCATGCTGGTAGTGGTATGACATGGCCTAAAGCAGGGGTCGGCAACCTTTTGTCGCTTGCGAGCCAAAATTCATGGTTGCAACTTGCGAGTCATTGGCGGGCAGCACATATTTTTAGAAAGTTGAAAACTGAACGAATGATACTTTTTATAATGAAAATCAAGTAGTGATACATCTCTCAAATAGAATATAGATTTATTTCTTCATTGAACTGCATCTCAAAAAATTCCATTTGAATATTTTCGGCGCCATTGAACCCTTTGCACTTAGCATTCACTTTTCTGCGTTTTGTTGCCATTGGTCTAATTATAACTAAATTATAGGCTCCATAAACGAGTAATTGCGAATTTTCTATTAGTTAGATTATAATATAATTTAGTCTACCGTGTCTCACAATAAATTTAGTTACGTGAGGAATATAATCGTCAAAATAGCAGTTTTGTTACTATAATTCAGTGGAATGTCGCGGGCCAGATTATATTACTCCGCGGGTCGTAGGTTGACGACCCCTGGCCCAAAGCCTCAAAGGTTTAAAACATTGGAGAAACAAGTTAGCATCCAGATCTCGAGTTTAAATCCAATTCAAACACTACCACCCAGTGTATAATGAATTAGGTGGGTTATGTGGAAAAAAAATTCTGGTCAATTTAATTTATTACAGCTTCTTTCATATTAGTGAATGCTTACACAGAACCTCATTAAAAAATAAAATATATTTGCCAAAGTTTTCGATACAGGAATAAAGTCATGGTCATGGTAACAATCGATAGGCTGACCAGTTTTATATTTCATGAGTTGGTGAAAAAAGTGAAAACTAGCCAAAAAATCGAATTGCTGTTGTACAAAATATATAAAAATAGAAAGAAATATTCTCTTATATTGTCTAAAATCTATTCTGCGCTCTGTTAATTTTATAACAAAAAAATGAGTATAACAATAACAACTTACTCTTGTGTTTGCATTGTAGTATAGTCCTGTTGAGGTATCATAATGATATCCTGATTTTTCCTCGTAGACATATTTTGAAATATCCGGAGTCGGATATCTCTGTGGTCGCTGCATCTGAGCTTGCATATTGGCCATTGCTTGCCATACCATATTTTGCTGCCACATTTGCCCTGGCATGCCAGGCATAGGCAGTTGTGTTGGTGTCGTGGATTTTTTAGGGGGAGCAGCCTGTGAAATTAATGAATATTTTTTGAAGTAAAATCAAATATTATAATAATTTATATAAAAAAAATAAATCCTTTTCCCAACTCTAATTGAATCTAACATTAATCAAAAAGATGAAATTGGTGAAATAAGTGATATATGAGAATAATAGAAATATTTTGCAGAAAGAGTTTTCTTAACCACCGCAAGTCACAAAAATTTCATAAATAGAACCACTACCCAATCTAAACTACTGTTATTTGCAAAATTCTTAATTTATTTTAAAATCATGAAAACTGAACTCACTTCTTTCTGAGCCTTGGCAACTTGAGACATTGCAGTTTCAGATTTGTTACCTGAAAATATTGAGAAATAATTAATTTGGTGACAAATACCGGAGAAATAGGGCATGCATAAGTAAGAAGACTTCAGAAAAGAAAAAATGTTACAGCAACAACATTGCTATTTCAACAGTGAAAAAGAAAAATTATTTAATTATGAATTCAAAGAAGAGCTTTTTTTGTTTTAAAATCAAATATGAAGTATGTCTTCAATATTATTATTACTTATCGATCTTAAGATAGGTAAGTATATTGATAGGTGTTTGTCTGTTTGTTTGTCTGTTAGATACACGCGAAATCGAGGTTGAATCTGCTTCAGATTTGCATGTGCATTCATCATAGTTCGGAACAGAAGCCTATCGATTTTCGATGAATGTCGTGTAATTAGCGAGTTATTAATTAATTAGTGATGGGACACACGGTGTCACTATGGAGTAAGAGCGCTGTTTTGGGGATCCCCTAACCTCCAACCGATATTCTCGTTATTATTCTTTGATAAAAATTCAAGGATGATACTCATTACTCACCATTTGTGTCTGGCTTCGCGCCCTGAAAATTAAAAGAAAACAATCATTAATTACAACGAGAGAGCTGTTTTCATATAAAAGTAATCATATCACACAACAGATCTCATAGTACTTATCAACATCTATGACTGTGACAAAACCATGGCCACATCAAACTCACAAAACCGATAGGCTTTATCAAATAGGAACCTCTTTATGCTACAAAACGGTAGCTAATAATAAGTAAACACTATGTGGTTTGACACCAACTCTTATATAGGTGTTATTATTACAACCAATATAACAAAATAGCAATTTAACGTTTATTTTGATCTCTATTTTGACAGATAGGACTGACTTTAAATCATACCTCAATCAAATACCTAATTAGGGAATTAATGTGTTATTCAGCTCCTAAAGCAGAGTGTGGCAAACTAAAAATTTATATAAATAAGTTATTTAAAACTATTTGGCCTGCTTGTGCTATCTATCGTCCGAAGTAATATGTTTCAGTAACTCACCCCAACTCTCGACCATTTAGCAGCTTCAATAGCGGCAGCAGCTGCGTTAGCTGATGTTGATGATGCTTGTGGTTCAGGTTGGCGCGGTTGACTGTAGTCAAGTACAACTTGTTTGCCATCTATATTAAACTTCGGTGTTGCAGTTTTCAGATATTCAAGCACTTGTGAACATTCCTGAATAAATAGAGTAAAATATACAATATCAACTGTAAGCAATACCAAAGTATAGTTTTAAAGATCCTAAAACCTGAACACTAGAACAGTGCTCTTCAACCGGGTATACGGTATACCCAAGTGTATACCGAACCATAATTTGAGTATACAACTGATAAAGGGTATACAAAGGGTGTACAGCTTAGGTCAGGGATTCTAAATTCTAATATAATAAATTTTAAAATATTTAAGCGGAGACAACAATGCAAACGCGGCGCACATGAAATATAAAATGTCAGTTACGCAGAAAACCGACGTGAGCACTTTGTTACATCACAAGTTATATAGATAATGCGGTTACGTGTCTGGGTTGGTGATTTCGGCTGCCGTGCACTTCGTATGATTTACGTTGAACATTATTCCTGTTAACGCTAAGGCCGTCAGTCAAATTTATAACTTGCGGACACTAGCCTGTTAGATTACATGATGATATTGCAGTACAATATGTGCTTGAAATTTAATGTTTATTTAAGCCTTAAATATACATTGGTATTTGTGAGGTATACAAAACTCTTGAAAAACTGTAAAAGGTATACCACGATGAAAAAGGTTGAAGAACACTGCACTAGAATAATACAAAGCAAGAATACAATTAAAAACAGTGAGATATGTATGCAATCTTTAGCAAAACCAATCTCACATACCATAACCATCATTTATTTTTACAAATACCATTTTTTCCAAATTGAAATTTTACACAAATCATGATTCAAATATCATGATTCAAATTCAGCATAGTTAAATATACTAACAATCAACTATTTCAAATACATTCTAAAATTTTCGCATATGAAATAATAAGAGGGTGCTCCCGAAGTATGTGCATCAAGATGGCGCACAACCTGAACATATTATGTGTACCAGGTTAGGGCTCAGCTTGTGCGCCATCTTGGTGCACATGCTTCTGGAGCGCAAATGAGAGATTAGATAAAGGCCTTGTAGGTCATGTTATGAGTTTTCATTGCCCAATATAATAATTTTCAAAATGGAAGATCCTCAATCATTCATAAAATCAAAAATATGATGCGCTTACATCTACAGTTTCCCATTGAACGAAGCAAAATCCTCTAGGAACTCCAAATTTATCTTTAACAAGTCGAATGTCGACAATTTTAAAATGTGTAATATATTCAAATGAAGCTCTGATAGTTGGCACAGTCGTATTCCGATCCAGTCCCATCACAATCATAGCTGAAAAATTATATTATATCTAATTTAGTCTGTGCTTCCCAACCAAGAAAGAAATGCTCTGGTTGTTTATGGGAGGTTAAAAATACAGAAACATAACTTTGTATTCGGTGTAGTTTTACTAATATTGTTTAGTTATTTGTATTACTGTAATACATAATCACATTATAAACTTGTCAGAGATTGTGGATATCACAAGATAAATGATTGACCAACTGAGAGAAACATAGTTTTTAGGCATACTGAAATGGTAGGTGTAATATAGGCAAAGTGAGCAATGTATAAAAAAAGGGTTTAGTACGACCATGGTACACCAATATGAAATATCAAAAAACCTAGTTATCACTGAAGATTAAACATGACTCTAAATCTTTACTGTATCAGTCTCTACATTTATATTACTATATATTACTTTGTATTGCAAGTGACTTACTGTCTGTCTTTTTGTTTGTTCTTGCCGGATGCCGAAATCTGTCCTGTAAAAAGAACGATCATGTAAACTACCAAGTAAATTTTGTTGATTTTTGATTTCTTACCATTAAGTCTCAGATTCTTAACAAACTGCAGGGTATTCAAAGCTACAACTTGACTCCAGGAAGATTGGAAAAAGGACATTGCATTCTACTCCACTTCCTTGCTCACTTCATATCAGTATCTGGTTGTTTACAGCTTTATGGGAGGGAGTAGGTGATAGCATAAAACAACTTGAAATTTCAAAAATTGAGTTCGATTTAATTCATCTTACCCTCTCTCCGTCTCGTCTGTCAAATGAATCTCTTCTTCGATCATGATCGTCACGTTTATCACGGTCTCGTCTATCTCTCTCCGAACTGTGATCATGTCGATCCCGTTTTGTTCGATCATAGTAATCCTTTCTATCTCTGTCATGGTCACGTCGCTCCCGACTACTTCCCCGTCTATCGCGATCATAATCACGACGGTCTCGGCTATCGCTTCGTTTCTCCCTACTTCCGCTTCTTCGTCTATCGTATCGATCCCGATCATGGCGTCTCTCTCCTCTCGGGACATTTTGCGGTCGACGATCAGAGTACGAAAGTAAGAGAGGAGCTCCATTTATGTATAGCACTCCCTGTATCGCCATTGAAGCAATAATAGAAAAATTAAGAAAATATTGTTAGTAAAATTCGATAACGATAAAAGCATAGACAACTCGATTTTCAAGAAAGGAAAATAAAATGACGCAGCCAATACAAATTGTAGGATCCTGTTTTCGACTTCTTGATTTGACACCACTTTCTGAAGTGCTAAATTTGTGAATGAAAGAGTCTTTATTGCAAGACTATACTTCCAACTTCATCAATTCTGCATGCTCTGTTTCTTGTACTAAAACTGTATATTCTCTTCCTCTGCCATAGACTTGTATTTTTTCATTATATATCTGAAAACGCTGCTTTGCTAATTTCTTTGTACAGTATAAGCAATCCTTAATTCATGCCATTCATCTGAAAATATCCACTTTGACTGAGTTCTATGTGACTCTCTTTACCTGTGCATAACTGCCATAATATTTAAAATAAAAGACAAAGACATTGAAATAAGATGAAAAACAAACAACCTTCTGCTGTTGCATCCACCTGATGGCATCATCGAGTTCAGAAAATTCCACGAAACAGACTTTTTCTCTCGGATCCTCGGGACCTGTGAGATTTCCAATGCAAAAAGATTGAAACAACTGATAGGACTCAAAGCAAGATGAATTTCGTGACGACTCTCCGCGAGGATGAATATATTTTCCCAGATTCCTTTCAAAACTTACCTTATTTAGAACAAGTAACTTCTTAAGCCTAATTGTTGATCCAAAGTCAGTGGCAAAAATTTCGGCCACTGCGAAAGGCTCAAAGCCTCGTATTACATAACATAGGACTATTTTCATGCTAAAATAGTCATGATAATTCCTGTATCATTTTATATGACCGGGATACTAATCGTTATGAGGAAAAGTGGACTGGGGTAAGAATAATACACGAACATGGTAACAAAAATCTACATATAGACGATGGTTATGGATTTCCAAGAATGGTCTCCAAATCAATGAATGTTGCTTGTTGCCTTCTACTAAAGAAGCCATGAACTTAAACGGCTGTGATAGAAAAATGGAATTTCCAACAACAGTGGCCAACTAAAAGCACAATCATGAAACCACGTTCGAATATGATCAGTGGATAAACAACTTCCATGAATTCACAATTTTACATTAAATTTCATCACCTGGAGGCGTTTCCAATTCAACACTGATAACAGGAGCCCCGAACACTTGCAGTTCATATCGTATCTGAATAATCATTTAATTATTAAAAACCTGACAAAGTGTACGTAAATAGTTCTCGTAGGCCGTTCCACGTTTTCCCAACAAAACCTAAGATCTTTCTTTAAAACATTAATACTGAATTCAATATTTTTTCATATTTCTTCAATTTTCCACAAACAAATTTAGATTTATCCAAACATTTTAAATGCCTCAATACTTCAGTTTCGGTGATGTCATGTGGAATTCGAGCGATTGAAATGACAGATGATTCCTGTACGTAACCGTCTTCGCCAGGAGGTGGTGGCGACCTTGATGATCTACGTCTATCATTGTAACGATCCCTTGGAGAACTGAATAGAAAATTGAACAAAACAACATCAATTATCAGAATTTGCCTGAAAAATAGTTAACAATCGACTCAAAATTTCCAATGTTCTCATAAAATTTTTCGGATTTATCAAAGAATTCGAAAAATTATGCTAGAACTTGCAAAATGAAAAAAAATGCACCAACTATTTTGATTCATCTGTATAATTGATATTTATATAAGAATAAATTACAATTGGCAGTTTCCACCGTTTTAAAACTTTATAGCAAAATTTGGTTGTAAGTGTAGTCAGTCCTATATGAAAATAATATATTTTACCCCAAAATTATTTTCTGAATGCAACTTACTCTTTATAATCATTCTTTCTTCGATCTGGTGGTGATAAAGATCGCCTTCTGTCAGGTGAATACCTTTCCAAGGATCTACGATAATCTGGTGAATTTCTGTATCTTTCTGGTGAGGGTTCGCGGCGAGGTGGAGACCTTTCTATTATAACATGACGATCAGGAGATCTTTCGATTGGACTTCTTCTCTCTCTCCAATCCCTATCATCATTTCGTGGTTGGGCCGATGGTTGTTCTCCAGGCATATCATAGACATAAACACCTTGATCTGGTGACCTACGTTCGTATCTGTCATACATTTCTCTCTGAAAATAAAATGGGAAAATAAAAAATTATAAATCAAACTATATTTCAGAAATAAAAAAAATAAAAAACTCAACTAAATCTCAAGCCAGAAAAACAAAAACATGGATACTAAAATTAATAGTCATTTTTGTATCGATTTTTAACTAAAACAAATAAGTAATAATTTTTATTATATGTCTCATCAAACAATGACAACAAAATCTTATAGAAGCAGCCACTGATATCAAAAGTTTCATGAAAAGATATTAATATTAGGAAGGACCCAAAGCTTTTCGTTTAGACATTGAATACCCACATTGCCACACCCTGGATAGAGTGGGGAACAAGAGATTTGACCCGAGATGATATGTAATATACAGTTAAGTCTAACGAACTAACCAACCTGAATAAAAAAAAAAGAGTACCGCTTACAAATATAAAAAATATCTGCATTTTTATTTCCATCTAAAAATATCCATAGTATTTAACATAAGACGTAAAACTCTTTCATGACAGATAAACTATAAAAACATGTCAAATATTGAATTTTATAAAAGAAACTACACCTCAGTCTTGAATAAAGACAAGAACAAATCCTTTTATGCCTCAGTTTTACCAATTATGAATAGTGACGTTTGAACATGAATTATGCATGAGAACTTTGTCACAATATGATTCAAAACAATTTCTAATATAATTGATGTATGTATCACAAATAGCTAAAGATCAAAACATTTCAATTAGATTGATAGTTGCCTATTACAAATTGAACCCATTTTTCAACTTCAAGATATATAGCACTGCAGCCATTTGAATTTCCTACCCCACAATTTGTCGATTGATTCAGTAATTAATATATGTTTACTTTTAAAAACATTAAATTTATCCTAAAGAATCGTACCTATACACAAGAAGTCTGATTAGCATTCACTAATTTATTTCCATTCATGGTATACATACAAGTTAAGTAAGTCTGTAATAAGGTTACATATACTACAATGAATGACATTAAATTTTCTTTATACAATATCAACAACTCCCCAAAAAAAAAATATTTATCTGGGGAGACAGAAAGACGAAACCATCCCATATGGTATGCACTGGTATAGAAACAGTTAATGAGTTATTGGTTTCAGATATATGGACCAGATATGCAGAAACATGTTTCTCACATTCACCCAATTAACCAGAAACAAATGTTGTTTTCAACCAATACTCCAATATCCAATACAACCAATATCCCTAAAAGACAGCTGTTTCTATGGTAACGGCGAATTACGTATTTCCGATGGTCAGTGATTTAATTCCAGATGAGAGTCACGCCCTCAATCAGCCCCTTATAGATGAATGGAAATTCAACTAAACTTGTTTTGTTTTCGTTGTGAATATTGATAAATAGAACAGACTTGGTCGCACTAAATGTTATGAAAACCTATCACACGCAGACGAAAACATGCGCTTGCTATTATGTATAAATCCCGTCACTTGCCGTCAATTATTCATGCCAAAGGGCGGATATGTTATTCAGAAAAACCTCTTTATGGTTTACGATTTCCAAGGTAAAACACGGGGACACGGGGTTAAATAATTTCTATACCGCTAATAAATTTTTTATACTTTTATTTCGCTAACTGGTAAAATTTTATTCCCGTTTTTTTTTTCTTTCAGATAGCACAATACACGTTTCCATGCGTTCCCTAAATTGCACCGTGATAATGAGAATTTGATATTTACGTCTTGATAGACGGCCGCATAAAAGTATCAAAATACGGGGCCTAAAGTGCCATAGACATCCCACGCTAAGAAAATTACAAAAATGGGGTAGAAACTCCTAATTGTTTTAGGCACCATAAAACAGCGTCCATATAAATGCTAGAAACCTTATGCTATAAACCTCAGACTTGGAAAAAGTTTATTCGCCAGGTGATATCTATCGTTCATATTATAACGCTACTATTTATAATTGTTCGTTATTCGCGCCTTTGTGTGAAGACAACTTTTTTCATAACTCACAAGAGCGAGAGCAAAGTGCGACAACACAGGCATGATATGATAAAAAAACTCTTCACATTTTCGGCGTCCATATTTTTTTTAGGTGTGAACAACAATCAGCCTATGAACTAAAATCCAAACGCGACTCTCGGCAAAAGAACGAGAGGCTCCGACAAGCCGACAGCAAATAAATATTTAAAAAATGCAATACACTAACCTACGACGATAATAGTCGAGGTTTTGAACACTTAAAAAATTAAAATGTCGATACATTTGCTAGAGGTCACGAAAATTAAAACAAAATATGTAAATTTTGGCAGCTAACTCTTACTAAGTAAGATCGCTTTGAAACCGTATCAAATGTTTTTACTATATCCTCTTTATTGCAAGTTGTTAAAAGAGAAAGTTGCTGACTAAAATATCATCTTTAGGGTAAAACAAACGCAATAAGGGGCAATTAGGAATCATTATCCTGTCGCTTGGTAAAAAGCCATTCATTATTCACGAGCAAGGAGACTTCGTTGCCAACGGAATCAATGTAAAAGAAAACGCGAATGCAATCCTACTCCATACGGTAATCAAATTGAATATTTCACGAATGAAAAGTCGGTGTTTGAGCAGATGGCGGCATTGGCTTTCTCGGAACGGCTCTTAGTGCACATTCAAAGTTATATTAGTCAGCAGTATGTGAGAAAACAGCGTTTGAATAAGTAGAAAGTGAAATATAAGAAATAGATAGTCCGCAAGGAATAGTCACTGATAGGAATTTTTAAACAATGCCAATTTGCATATCTTTATAAAGTAATATTCAGACAAGGTATATTTAGTTCGGTAGGATTTACTTGGAACGAAACTTCGAAAAATAAGTCTGTTTCAATAGCAAACTGACAAGTCGTATAGCAAAAACAGCACGCGATAACGATAATAAAACTAATGAATTGCAAATTCGAAATATGCGTTTTTAGATCTAAACATCTGTATGTGAACATTGTGAACATTAAAATACGATTGGTATGCAAGCGATCCGCTCCCTCGGAGCATAATATGACACCTAGTAAATAATATACGCTGGTATATATTGCCTATCGCTAGCATATAAATGAATCGGTAAAATTTTCGAATGAGATATCCGTATGCTTAGTTTCAGAAAAAGTCAACAACAGATGGTGAAAATAGAATTCTCAATTAAAACGGAATCAATTTCAAATTAAAAAAACATAATTCTAAGGACACATTTAATTATCCAGATTTGGTCGTAGCCCGATACAAACAAAATCATAATAACACTTTGCAACAAAAACAGATTGGTGAATTCGGATGTCCCAATCATCGTTGGACATCGGTACGTCAAACCAATTTACATTAAGAGATCACAATCTGACGCACGCTTGACAAGCATGTCACCCATAAATCTAAGCGGCTTAACAAAGTCTGATCTCGCCAATTTCGACCGTCTGGCCCATGCGCAACAACGCCAACTGCAAAACGAATATAAGCAACTTAAAATAACCCACTCGGATATGTTTAAACAATCACGTATCATAGTTGAATATTTCATTCATTCTAAACCACATAAAGCTCGTATCCAAGGTAAAAGTTCGTTTTAATTTAAACATTCAAATATCCACTTGGGAATCGGATATCGATCCGCACACGATCTCCTCAATTTTTCAAATTATTTTTCCAGCTTTGGAACCCTAACACGCTTTCAATTCGTTTTAGCAAGGTGATGTATGGGTTGAGATCGACGATATCGCGCTAATTGCAAACGGGTTGGGCCGAAATAGAGCGAGAGATTTATTTTCCGTCAACCAGAAAAAAACGAGAATTGCAACAATAATATACAACAACATACTCAGAAGTTTTCGGTGTAGACAGGGGAGCGATACGACCACACATACGATCACCAGAGTCATCTCTCCCTGGCATAAGCTTGCTGTTGTCAGTAATCAGTTCAGATACAATTATAGTTTTGCAATTATTTCTTGCATATTTATAGACGTAGTTTATGGTATTGTGTGCAAGACAGATATGCGAGCAATATAATTTATTTATAGACAGTCGATGGACTTCAACACACATGAAAGAAAATTGGATACTTGTGAATACAACCTGATTATATATTTTTAAACAAATAATGCATATTTCACGAAGACAAGGTTATAAGTGAAAAGTGTCATTCATTATCTTTAAATTCCTGTCAAGACTCTGTTATCAATGTTATGCCTATTAGGATTTTTATTCTAGGTTTTGTGTGCTGGCGGAAGGTAGTAGCCATTGCTGTCTGATAAAACGAACGTTGCTGGTTTGAAAAGAGAGAGTTGCACATCGATAGCGCATAGTGCGTACCCCGGAAACCGGCTGAAATCTTGTCAAGAGGGTAATTTTTTCTGATATCTCAGATTTCGCAGGCGATGGCCAGCAATTTCTTCTTCCTCGGCGGTGTGGCTAATCGTTCAAGTTTTATGAATACGCTCGCCACCGCACCTCTGATTACTCTGCGTGGGTTCCCAGGTTCGAGTCTGATACAACGGACGTTGGTTTGGAAAGTGAGAGCTGAGAGAGTTTGCAGCGCGGAAACCGGCTGAAATATTGTCAGCGACGGTATTATATTTTGTTATCTCTAATTTCGCAGGTGATGGCCTGCAATTTGTTCTTCCAACTTTCATATTTGCTAAGGTTCGACTCTTGAAGGGCCAATTATATATACTTGGTGTAATTCAGATGGCCAACAAAACAAAAGCAAATAAATTTGATTCTTTGAGACATTGCGTACTTGGGGTGCGGGTCTTATTTATTATCATTAATCATTCACATTTAACTTCAATAAAAAAATGAGTCTGTATCCAACGATCATCCCAATTACGATAGGCTTAAGGCTTCAAAGGGCCCTAAGATCGTGAGCATTCACCTTTTCCCTCATTCTTTGCAGATTTATATAAACTTATAATTGGAAATAATCAACAGACTTTAATAATCAGTAACAATAGAAATTGATAATATGAATGTAGTTATTGGAACATGCACAACAAATCCAAGATTAAGTTCATCATCAAGACCTAGTCTTTCAAGTCATCGTCCTCCTCGGTCAGGAAGCACAAGCCCCCGACATGACAGAAGATTCGGAACGAAGAAAAAACATCATGACCAAAGTAAGAATATCTTAAAGTACTTAGTCAATGTGAACTTAGTTGAAATTGATGCAAGCAATTCCAATAAATCATCTGGTTGTGTGGGGGAACTGGCAAATCAGAAAATTTCCTTTTCCACATAGTAAGTATATACACTCGTAACAAATTTCCCAAAAAGAAAATATTCAAAAGAAACATTTCTTTGGAGAATAACATTCATGACTTTTGCTGTTTTAAACCTTTGGTTATCTTGATATTTTTCATACACGCTAGTGATAAGCCTATTAATGTAGACGACACCACGTAAGAGCTGGAGAGCTTTAATAATCGTCAACCTAACAACCAATTGCTTCTTTATAGATATGTCAAAATCCATGGAATGCAGTCCACGGCAGTTGTCACCAAACTGTGATTGCCACCCTTGTCAGACAGGAATAGGATTTCTCGGTGTATCAGAACTCAGAAGTAATCCAATCATACCTCCGACCACATCTCATAGGAAAAAACGTTCGTTAAAAAATTATTTGTTGAATATAGATAGTAAAACAAATGTTATAGACTATTGAAAACATAAGTGCAATTACGGTAACTATGCAATTTTATTGAATATAATGAAAATCTGTACGAATAAAAATATGATTGATTTTGTTAACCTTTTTTCTTAAATACTATATGTACAGTATTCAAGAGAAAAATTTATATAGAAATAAAAAAACTGCAAATATTTATTATTGTATGAAATTCGATTTAAAGTATCTAAAAGTTTGACATTTTTATTCTCTCCAAATCCTTTCAATTTTTGAATATTCCATTTGATCATACTGTAACAAAACATTCTATATTACATTGTATTCTCCAATTATTCAAGTTAAATAAGATCGCCTATAAATGGTTTTGTGTATAAATAGCATTCTTGCAGCCAGATTCAAATACTATAATAATGTATGGTTCATGTGTGTATGCATTTAAATCCAAAGATTATTACTGCAAGTAAAAGTACCAAACTTATCGTAATTAGTAAAACTATAAATTTGACGTTGGGCAAATCCTTAATTTTTGAATTTCAATCTTGTCCAAAATATATTTCAATAATAACACTTTTCATAATGTATTTTGATGATTATCAAGTTATGTCCATCAATTTCCCATAATATTCATATTTCAATTATCCAAAAATTAAAAACTTTTATTCACCATAAAATTACTATAATCAATGAATGTCAAGTACTGAAAAAGAAAAATCCGTTCAAATAAATTTAACAACACATGAAGATTTTAAAAATTTGAAATGACCACACACTAGAGAAAGCAAAATTATGTAATCTCTTTTGGGACTGCCTGTACCTGTCAATCAACTACCATATAATATAATTTGCTATGCTTTGGTAAAAGGCAAATAAATTGAATTAATTATGGAAAGAAAATCACAACATTTTGACCTTAGGAAACCACATATAAAGCACATACATATCAATTAGTGCCGCACCAAGAAATTATTTTCAATCACTAGTAACAGGCCATAGCACAGAGTACTTTTGTATTTTATTCCAATGAATATAAAATTATCAACTTCAAATTAGTCAAATAACTAACCAAACTGAAATATTTTTTAATGTACATTGAAAGAATAATTAGATTAATAAACTTTAAACTGAAATGTAAAGCAAACAATGCATCACTTTGTTATAGAAAAAATCCAAAAGACTCTTCCGATTAAAATTAGCAACAAATATTATTTGAAAATGTGTTTTCTTATTTTGAAAAAAAAGGGCATAATTAAGTGGACTGTTCGAGTCAGACATGGTGCTAAAGCATATATCCCGTAAATTAAAAAGTTAAGAAGTTAGCTTTGTTTAATGACTGAGATTCATCGCTCCAGAATTTAATTTTACATTTTCAGATGCTCAACACAACTCCACCTTATCTGTAGACGATAGTAACCTCAGTAAAAGTCCAAGTGCACCAAACCTTCACACAACAGCAACATCTATGCTGGCTTTTCAAGGAAGTATGACAGCGTTCACAGCTATCGTTGCAGGAAAACAACAGGTTTCACAGGAGAATAAAGCCCCCAAGCGTGGGGGATCTTCATCACAACAACGACACACAGTGACAGGATCAAAAGATGTCAATCAAAAAACTCAACAGAATAATGAAACCAATGGACCGCCTAAAATTACTGTTCATGAACAACCACAATGCACATGTCGACAAAATGCCCTGTCACCGACACCACGTCTCACTCTTCACACACATGTGCCAGACAGTGTCGAGTCTGAATCACAAGATCCAGAGGCCTGGCAAAAGCGGCGATCAAACCCAAAAGACACTGCTACACCATCTAAAACTACTTCTGTATCCAGTAAAAACCTGGTATTCAAAGAAACCAGTGTTTAAAATTGTTGAGACGGAGATTTCAGTACAAATGAGTGAAAAATTTCCGATTGTGTAAATTTGTAACAATATTAAATGTTGGAAGTCAAAACTGAAATTTATACTTTACAGTGAAAATCTAAAAAAAATTTTCACACAAAAAATTTCAACTTGTGTAATAAAAAAACTCTTCATACGACTGTGAGAACATTGCCTGAGAGAATGTTCTATATAACCATATATCCCAGTTACGCCATACGCATGGTGACAATTATAAGGTGATAACATTTTTATGTTTGCATTCATTTTACAATGGTGAGAAATACTGCTCTAGCCATGAGAATTATGGCTTGCTAGGCAGAGCTAGGATTGGAGAAGCAAGGGAATTGAGTTAATTTTGAAAATAAAGCTCTTAACTAAGATCTATTGAAGGTAGAAATTGTGGCGCATCATGGGACCCCAGACCCCAGTATATTTGTTAGTCTTTAGCTGATGAGGAGAAGATTATTTGAACCTCTCACTATCTCTTTATAATTCACATTTCAAATAATATTATACGGTTTCTTGTAAAAAAAAATTGACATATATTATAATTTTTCGCTTAAATGGACTACTTCAGAACATTCAGATACATGGTAGAGGTGGAGACTAAACCAGTAACCCAACAAACTTCTTTATCAGATGACTTAACCTTAGAAAAGCAGTTCAAACTTAACAATAGAGTAATGGACTAATATCAAGTACATAAAACATTCAAAAAAATTAGAGTTTAGTTTACTGTTTTAAAATCATCTCCACCATAGGACACAATAGTCAAGTTTATTATTCACAGCAAGTAAAAAAATCGCAGCAAAATTAGGGAGTAAAATGAACACATAGTTTAAATGAGGAAAGGAAGTCACAGAGCACAAATCTGGGTTATAGACAACCAAGGTTCCTGTATCTATTTTAGATTTATGACTCGGGAGTTGAGTTATCCCAATATTGTTAATTGTTATTATTGAAAAGTATAGTTTTTTTCGAAATTACCCAAATGCCTAGACTACAAGAGCATATTATATTTTCAAAGCCTATCTGCCCCACCACCTGGCCTGAAATGATAACTGATAGATGAACTAAATTTGCTCTGAGTGAAATGTACATATATATTCACATCATATTCACAGCAGTAATGCCACCAGATGAATAGTGTGTACCATCAGTTCCCAGTCCCAGAGTAAGCGTTATTTGAGTGATAACAAAAAATAATACCAAGTAAACGATATTAAGGAATAACTATTACTGAATGAATGACAGAATAATTTTTTAATGAAATGTCAAGAAATGAAGAAGCATTTTTTCATTCATACATAGCGATTTGTCGTAGCTTGAAACACTTTTGAGACCCTCAAGATCATTGAATACCTCGTTTTATGGCCTCTAGCCAGAACCGCTAGCTGTTTTGATTTAATTTGGCCATTAGAAATTTCAGAACACCGCCTTCGAAAATTCCTGGCCACGCCCTTGATATTCTTATATTATGATATAAGAATATATTATGATAAATAACTCACATTTCTTCCTCCTGGAGGGCTTCGATTTCCTCTGAACCTGTCCCAATCAGGATCAGATCGATATTCATATCTGAATTGAAAAAGGATAAAATCATGTTCACAGTTTTGAAGTAAAAAACAGAACTGTGAATATAATGAGGGGAAAAAAATTCCTAAAGATGTTCACAGACACATTATTAAAACAGACTTGTAATTTGACAAGACATTGAATTTGATGTATTTTTTCACATTAGGCCTACTTGATTCGGAGACATGCTAATTCTTGACACTCAAATCTTCATCCTATCCATGTAATACGGCTACACTTGCATCTTTTCATGCATCAACTAGATAGCAGTTGTTTGAGTGATGTCAAAATAAAGCGCAAATTTTCATTTTTCAAATGAGCCTGTCTGGTGCTGAACGTAATACCCTGCATACCGACCGGTACTCACAGAGTTTCATGAGATCAGTGAACCGGTAAGCATTACTGGTTACTGTCAAGGACTGGTGCTGAACGTAATACCCTGCATACCGACCGGTACTCACAGAGTTTCATGAGATCAGCCGAACCGGTAAGCATTACTAGTTACTGTCAAGGACTTTTTGTAACAGAACCGGGTGAAAAATATGACTTACCTAAACGTGTTCATCAAGGATTTCATTTTGCACCAGGCGAAATTAAAAAATAAACATAATAATCTCGCATCATAGTTTTGTTTGATGTTATTTGAATAGTTATGGCATTTACTTCGCCTGACCTAGTAGTTCAACATTAGTAACATGACTGCATGATCTGGATTAGTTAAGTAGTTTCAGCAATAAAAATTTCCTAATTTCACATTTTGCTAATCAGGATAAAAAAACATAGGTCTGTCAGGTCTTGTGTAGTTTCGTACCTCAAGTGGGCGTAGCATAACAATATTTGCACATGTCAATCCTAACTCCCTCCTGACTACGCCATCCAAAAATAACCTCAATATCGTACGACGTCAAAATCATGCCATAGAGTTCGCCAAAGTATACCGCACCTTAGGGATGGGACGAGTCCGACATTACAGAGATACGACGAATCCGAGTAATAGGTTAAGGACTCGAATCGAATCTGCCGAGTCCGTGACGCCATAATGGAAAAGCAGAAAACGTGTTTTTGACCATGCTACAGCATCGTGCGCTCACAAACATACGTCGTAGCTCATATTTTTTGCCTAATGGTTCCGCAGATAGCTGTTGAATCATTTTAAATATATATTTTTTCTCTTTTTGGCGGCTATAATACAAACGGTTTGGCTGTGAACTGGATTTCCAGCCCACTGTGCGTCAATTCTGGGCGGCTAATCAGAAATTCTTACATGTCAATATGGAAAATAAAAAGCTTTTGACTACAATGCTTTCCTATAATTCCAGATACCTCTAGCCGTAAATTTACTATGTCATGTGCGCATAGGTTCCAATACATTTGAACCCACGTACATTTGAACCCATGACAATTGCACCTGCATACTATTGCACCTATAGAAATTTTTTTGTTTTAAGGATATTTGAACCCATACTAACCCTAACCCATGGGTTTTAGCACCCGCATATAGATTGAACCCGCGGATATACACATGGGTTGAATGTACATGGGTTCAAATGTACGGTCACCGTGCGCATATTGTGGAGAAATGCCACTTGTCGTTAATACAATGTGGTACATCTGCTTGCAATTAAAACGTTTTAAAACTCTCCATGCTTTCCATTGCCTTTTTAGCGAAAGTATTGCATGCAATAAACTCGATTTAAAAGAGGTATTGATGAGAATCCACATTGGGTTGATCCAGAGCATGTTTCATTTTTACCAGAATCGAAAACTCAAAAATATTGCAATAACACATGTTTTATTGTGTACCACATGCATACCAAAAAGGACAGATAGTTTGAAGGCGACCAGCGCAACATCATTGTTAAAAGCGGTCAATAGTTTTTACCTTGCGTTATATTATCTGGATATCTGTCGTCGTTTCATTAGGAGTGTTTATTATAATGCACACGAGGAATATTGTTACAGATCTAACCTTGAATTTTAACTAGTTAAGGTATGTAGTGGGATTTAAAGAGGTAAAAGTACAAACATAGGCGTAAATTAGTAAAAACAGAATTGATTATGGACTCTGTAAAAATGACGTGGACTCGAAATCGAATCAGAGTCTAAAAAATGCCTGGTTTCGACCTGAATCCGAGTCCGGATCCGAATCCCGGCACAATCCTACCGTACCTACAATCGCCCGAAATGGCATCTGCTGATGATAAAGGACTAACGGCAGTGATCTTTCTCATATCGGAATCGTTGCGAGGAGAAATAGCTTGCTCGATTTCGGGTGATGGTCTGTGCGTCTTGGATTACGATTTCAGTAGTTTGAAGGGCCTTATTACGTCACTGTGACGTCGTAGTGACGTAAATTCTGGATGACGCAGTCAGGTGGGTGTTAAGATTTAACATATGAAAAAATTGTTATGCTACGACCACTAGAAGTACCGTACTTAGGATAGGATTCACATATTTATCCCGGGGGAGAGGAAAGTCAATAAGACGGCTTATCCATATGGCGAACCACGACCTCTCGTCCGGTTACCATTCCAAGTCGGGTATGGGATTAGTTATATTGTTTGTTTTCGGAAGCATGGACTTGGTGGTGGAGGAAGACGTAACCGTCAAGCGATTACGAACCACCCAACGACGGCGAGGAGTCCAGCAATCCTCTCGCACATAACCATCCCTGCATGGGATTCGAACCTGCAAACCCCCGCAGAGTAATTAGAGGTGCGGTGGCGAGCGTATTCCTAACGCAGTAACGCTTAGAGCCACACCGCCGCACTTGAGGTTAAAATGACACTAGACCCGGTCTGTTTGTACTGAAAATACCGTACATCCACGATTTCAAGATGGCTTGAAACACAAGCCTAATTCAAGTGATAATGAGCAGATATTCATATAAATGAGCAGAATGCAAGTATGACTAAATTTATGCTGAAATAAATGTGATAATTGTACCATCATAACCGCAAAAACATTTGAATTAATCTACTCACCCACGATCCATTATAATGCGAATTATAAATTCTCTTGTTGAATTCGTTTGAAGGCCTATGATCTGGTTTATGTTAGAAATAAACAACACGATGAATAAAATGATCAATTCCGAGAAGCCTGGAACAGGTTTACTAACAAGCGATCAGGCTGAACGACCGAGATACAAGCAAACAATCTATTGACCATAACGCCATCTAACGCTTTTAGCAATCCCTGTTGCTATAATTAAATTTAAGGGGAAAAACATGCCAAACAGTTTAAGTTTGCGAACATCAATATTTTTGTTTTTGTTAGATTGTTGAAACACCTAGATAAAACAGGCGATGATTTTGTTATAAAAAGTCTAAAAGAATTTTCGCTGCGATGATTGCAAAGTTTTGCACCTTTCTCCTAACATCATGACAGGCGCCAAAAAGGAAACGTGGTACAGACCGCCAGGCTTTCGACCTTTTGCTGATGGAGAGACAGCGCAGACGTGATTTTTCAAACGTTTTTGTCCGCTATCTGCAAAAGCTCGAGTTTGGGAAAGTTATTAGTAATAGTAGAAGTGGTTATATAGGCCTATATGAGGTACCGGTACCGTAGCTCTATAGATTTGTGTACTGAAGAAATAAAGCGGCAATGGAATTGAGCATTGTCGACGTTCTTGAACCTGGTCGAGCAGAGGAGATTCAGAGTAAAATCCAATATGCCACGTTGGTAAAATGCTACCAGAATCTTACAAAGTCTAAAGTTGATCTAGTAAGTTACCAGCTCACATTATTGCATTCTTCTAAATCTTATACATTGCACAGTACTGCAGTAGGTGATCTGAAGTTATCATATTTCAAATATTATACTTTTTTTTGGTATATCAGTAATCTATTTTCTGTAATTTTCATTGGAGCATTTTAACAACCATTCCTAATGCAGACAATGAATATATAAATACAAACATACTTTCATACATCATTGAACTCATTCAATATCAAACAAGGCTTATTATGCAGTTATGGATTGATCGAAAATAGATAGTTTTTTTTGGAACAATACGATGGTCATCGCAAGCAGGTTTTGGTGAATTCTGTGCATTGTTGTGGACAATGGAATATTGCATGAACCACTCCTATAATCCCCTTTTTTTAATATCCATTAATAATTTCACTACATCTTCCAATATTTGCATTAGTTTGACAAAACAAAATGTCCATCAATCTGTCAATGACCAATATGACATCAAAAACTCAATTTTTGCAAATTTTCACCCCTATAAATATGCGACCACTACATTTTTTCTGCGGCCATTTTTATCTTACGTCTTAATAAACAATTCTAAAGTCAGAGCTCAGGCTACTAAACATTTCTATTATTTTACCACATATATAATTTCATAATACATTACACCAAAAATAAAATTGATACTCTGAGCTTTAATATGTTGAATCTGTAAAATTAAAAGTTCAGATTTTAAGTTTGAACCCTTTTTATTGTTGTTTTGAATCACACCATGACGAAACAGGATTTCATGGTACTGCTCATACAAAAAAAAATCTTTACTTGTGGTTCCCGACTTGGGTTCAGTAGCTTGAAAAACAGTTTGAATACAGGCATATTGTCTTTAAACTAACTCCACGGCTCTGATATTTATGGTAACCCAGTACTTCGCCTGCTCAGTTTAATTTGATTACCTGATCAAAACTGTTTAATACGAATTGAATGTTTGAACTCTATTGTAAATTTTCATACCTCATTCAAAAACTATCATTTTGTGGAATTGTGATATTCAGCTAGACATAAGCTTATTTATCTCTCTTTAAGTGTAGGAAGTTGAAAAAATATTAAAAAAAGTGATGGGAATTGTATTGGATGTTGGCAAGTGGCAACTGACAAATAATGTAATGTGATAAATATTGATTTCCAGTTTTAACACCTATTAAAAAAAATATAAATTATTTTAGGTCACCCCTCAGTTTGATAGTTATTCACTTGGTATAATTATTTACTCGAAGTTCAAAACCTATGAAATTATTAGTCTTTTTATATAGAATCGTACAATAATTTAATTCTACATTATTGACAGATTGCTTGGGTTTTTGATCATTCATGATGCTCTTTTCTGTATGCCAAGTATTTAAACTATGTATATGTATGTATACTAATATTGGTGATTATATGAATTAATACCCTACTGGGAAGTACAGGTTTCTATTATGTTTGGGTTATTATGTGTGAGAGAAATTCTATGCTACTTGCCATTACAGCAGGGTTGTTCATGTAACCATGGAAGGATTATTCAGAAGTTTGTTGCCCAAAGAATATAGTTGCAATTTGAAATATGTAGTTTATCCCAAGGGATATTGTTCAAAACATAATTTTTATGAATTGTTACCCTTTGAAACTGGGTTGTAAATTGATTGGCATTTTGGAACACTATGGAATACTCATGGAATGGAATAAATATACTCACTATAGAATAAATATATTTTAGCAGAAAAATAATCCCCACCTAATATAATTTCATCCTATTAAATAAATACTAGCCTACAATGTTCATAATGAGATGGCATTGTCTGAGTGCTTTCACTTCCAAGATCGATTTTCAGCCAATCTAAGGCTCACTCAGGGCCATGAAATATTATTTTAGTAGATTTCACATGGAAATTTGCGAAAAAGTATTTATTGGATTTAGAAAGCAATAGATTCAAAATCTTTTTATACATTTTTGCATAAAGCTACAAGTCTTTTTTTAATCTTGTGCAGCAAAATTGTGTCCCACATAATACTGTATTACAGTATCAGTAATATTATCTGATAACATAAAATATGTAATGTGAAGATGACTAACATTTTTGCTTGTGCATGTACAAATGTGCTTGTATACATGTTTTGTAACACAATATTATGTGTGACTCGTTCAAAATGATTTTTCATTCAAAGATACATAGAACTCTCCAAAAACAAGGGTATAAAACCTGTCATGGCCACTAATATTATTAAATAAAAATGTATAATATACTATAATAATTTTTGGATAATAGTTAGTTTTGTACTAATATGTAAATCGTGTTTAAAATTATAATTTTATAATGTCCTGAGACCAAGAACGTGTGACGGAACCAGGGGTGGCTAAACACAAATGTTGCACTATTCCGAATACATTTTGAAAAAAATATTTTCGAATATAGAATATCCAATTCCTTAGTGGGGGCGAGTTCATGTGGAAAATTACATAAATCACTATTTCTTCACCTTGATCACATCCAAAACAACATACTATAAAGTTCATTGTCTTTCAGTGTTGTTTGTTATCAGTTGAAATATCGCACGCTTTGATTTGCTTGTCTGACGACTCAATCTCTAATTTTCAAACAAAATTATTCCTAAAATCAAATTTTTTTCATACCGGATATAATGAATTTTGTTTTGGAGTTCCCTGAATGGAACACGTATGTCACGCATACCCGATGGCACACAATTATAACATGAACCATAAAACACAGTATAAATCATCGATGTTATCTTATGCTTAATGTTGTAGGAATCATTACTATCAAGAACTTTGACATTTCACGCAAGGACAAATTTTTCGAAACCAAAATAAACCTTAAATAAAAACGACTCCCAAGAGAGATCGGAACCATTTTGGGAGCATCGCCAGCCTTTGATTTATAGGTGTATAATAACAAACTGAAAAAATTTACCAACTCAATGAACTCCACCCTGCAGTGCGTATTGTGGTTTACAAAAGTTATTATTATTGCTAATTCAGCAACTTCCAAATCGAGTGTTTAAATTTGCTCGCTGGTAGTTTGCTCAGAATAACCGGTCAACGTAAGCGCTGGCATACAAAAATACTCCTTAAAATTTGGAACTTGGAAGTACCGCAGACAGTGAAATATTTTCAATAAGGATTCTAGTATATCTTTTATTTGATCAAGTATGGCGGGTAACCCCGTGAGGATTCGATTGTAAATTTCTAACTCCGCAAAAGAAACCAATGATTAATTTTACATCAACATTTGAATATATAACTTATCACTTTCAGTAAACTAAGAGCATTTTTCCTGTAAATTATATGCATAAATTTTTTGCTGAATACACGATAAATAGTATGAGGAAATGGACCTGGGATGCCATGACACATTTGGTAATTACGACGCCTTGTTTATCCACACTCCACAGCATTTTCATTTGATTATGGAAAAAATTATTAATTAAGGTTTTTAGGCGAATAGCGAAACGTATTCCACTCTTAGCCGATTTAAATTGAAATATGCTGTTGGATTAAGATTCAAATTTACATGTGACCTGTCCGAAAAGACTTTCTTGTGATGACGCTTGCTTAGTGTTTGCTATATGAATATCGCCCAGCTAACAAATATCGAGGTTAGCATATAAGTTCAAATATTATTTTATGAGACAAATATGTAGATAAAATACAATAGGAAAGATCTCGATGGTGTAGAATTAAATACTCCGGTTTTAGACGAACAACGAAAATATTCAGTTTGAAATCTATTGTCGCGGACTTTACAATCCGCTTTTAATTATAGGGTAAAGTAAAACCACAGCGCTAATTAAAGTACTTTACGGATCATAAGGCACTGCCATTAAATTACTTTGATTTGGTTTTAATTCTTTGCGTAGGACGGCGGTTTGTTTTAAAACAAAAGTGAACCATACACCAGGCGCACTGCACTGGCTTATAACGCACACGAACGATTAAAAAAATGGATTTGAAGTGCACCTTATGGTACGTGAAATAATGTACTCAAAAGTATATGGGCACGTGCGTTCCCACTTGCAAGAAACAACCGCTACACTGATGGCAGTATAACTGTAGACAACGCAAGTCTTAACTGTTTGGAAATGTAAATTTTAGTGTTAGGACATTTCGGAAAACTACCAAATGCAATATTACACTTTATGCACAAGACTTTGCATACATAGCTGATAGACGTGGGAACGCTTATTTTTGTAAGCGGTTGTGTTGTTATCTTCCTTAATACAATACTTCGAAGTGGGCAAAATATCCTTAATCTTTATGTGCTTACAGCCTAATTCAAAATTTTCAATTTCAGATCTCACGAAGCGGAAAAACGTATATTGAACTTCTCTTGGCGGCTTGTTCTCGAGACATCAGTTTCTTCAATTGGACGAAAATATCACCGTCAGAATTACATGCCAAACTTTACGATGCAATTAGGCAAAAGATTGCCGTCGGACTCATAGCTGTGAGTAAAATACCCCTAAAGAAAATATCATCTGAGGTATTTCGGGCTGGTCGATATTTCATATCAGACAATGTTGTTAAAGAAATTTGCTGCGATAGTTCAAATATATTTGAAGTGAAACAAGTTGGGAATGAAATGGTAGTGCAATTTGCAGCATCGCCAGTCAAAGAAAACCAGAAATCAGAACCGGCAGGGGCATCAAAGATGACAGATCGCAAAGCTATTCAGTTGAAGCATTTGTTCAAAACCAATCCTGAGGTAATTGCGGCTCTGCGTCACACTGCATCCTATAAAAATATTTTACAAGTCTTTTCATATTGGCTAAAGTACTGTGGTCAATTCCGGACGGAATTTTTAACATGGCTGCTGGAGATAAGTAAACTGAATTCTCCGAATGATGCTGATTTGTACGAAACCAATTTGAATGGTATATTCCTTAATATTATTAAGAAATTTCTTACGCCATCTGGGCGAACCATTTCGCAACTTACAGATCATCTTTGCATTGACAAGCCAGGTTTCATTACGAAAGAGAAGGTTTTGCAGCTCATTATGGACGACCCGTTGCAGATGTTCATAGCTGATTCAACCAAGTACTTACCGACGGGCCAACGGTATGTGGAATTGACCAAAGAAGGTCGATCATCGTTACTTCCAGCGGATTTCGATTTGCCTGAAAATCTGAGAAGTCGGATATTTCCACTGCTAACTACTCGCGTCGTGTTGAATGCGTTACAAAGTGTATATAAGATTGTGATAAAAACCATCCAAGTTCAAAAGCTGATGACTAAATACGGCTGTTTTTGCAAGTATCTCATTGAAATGGTTAAAGCTGTTAAGCCAAAGCTAGACACCGAAAGTTATAAAGTACACCTCCAAAGCCTGATGAAGCCTCTCATAATGAATACTCTGGATAAACGCTCCAGTCAAGGAAAACATATCAACGCCGTATTGCAAGAGGCTTCACTTTCTGGAGTGGCTGACTGTTCATTTGTGCGCGAGGTGGTAGAGTATTACAGCCACGAATTTGTATTTGTTGGAACCAATAAACTTGCTTTTCGCGAGAACTGCGCTATCGAGTTTAACGAAGAAGGCGATGCCCACGAAGAGAATTATGATCCTGTACCGAAGGAAGTTGACCCGCTGTCCGATCTGGAATCACCCCGAGTTTTACACCTTCTTACTAAGCAACCTAGGTTTATTGACATATTTGACGTATTCATGACTGTCCCAGAGGCATCACGAGCCGTTCTTGCTAATAATTCAATGAGTTTCTTTGAATGGTTGATCAGCTTGTCTAAACGTTTGATGCCGCACGATGCGCCGATATTTGAAGCTCATTTGCAGAATGTAATTCAAAAAGAAGTGGTTCAGCTTCATTCTCGACAGCATTGCCAGATGACTATACATCATGTGCACAGTCAGTTATGCATGCAATATGCAATGCTTCTCAGTCCTAACTTTTTGAGTTGGTGTTTGGAACAATCAAAATCTCCATTTACAGTTCATCAGTCGTGGATATATTTGAAAAACTCGATTGACAAAAGGCGATCATCCCACGAACCAGAGTCATCGAATACTGTTTTTCAACAACGTGACGTTCGCAAAAGAACCCCATCACCTGAAGCACTGCTTAACGTAGTGTACTCGTGCAAACATTTATGCGATGTTATGAAGGCAATAAAGGAAATTCCATTAGAAGATGTAGGATACATAATTCAGAACAATTCATACTGGTTCGACTATATCGAGAATAACATTAGAGATCGTAAAAACAGATTGAAGCTTACCAACCTCATCATAGAACAAGCGATTTTTTGTTTAGAAGAACGAATTCTAAAAATACATGACTTAACCTCGCTTTTATCCAAGGGGGTTCCAAATTTCATTTCAACTGAAACACTTGAATACATTTTGCAACAGAGAAGAGACATTTTTGCTTTGGCTGGAAACGTTGTTGCGGATTGCCACGTTGGTGTTGTACGACAAGTAGAGGGAGACGATGTGATTTGTAGCAATGAGTATGAAGAAAATTTGATGCGGCAGGTGTTGTTATATTTCCCTTCATCTGGGTCTTGCGATATTTCAACTCTACTTGGAATTATTTGCAAAGAAGATAGTTATCTCTACAAAGACAGCAGTTCCCCGAACCCTGACTATATGAAATGTTTTTTCATGATGTTTCCCATGCTCTTTTATGCGCGCGGAGATGTGATTGTTTTAACCTGCATGGCGCTCGACAAAAGAGGGAAATACAGAAGTGGTTTTCACCCAACAAGTACGACAGAAAACGACGTCAATGACAAGAAATCAGAAAAACAAAATATAAAGTCCCATAAATCACGAAAGCGCCGTTCCCGACCAAGACGCCATCGTCATGGAAAAGACTCTAAACGTAAACGACGCAGTATTTCTTCTGATCGTCGGTCACTGTCTCATAGCGACGAAGACATCGAAATTAATACAACAAATGACGTCGGAGTAAACGGCAACGATCATTCTGATAAAATGTTCATGTACACTGACAATTTAGTTGTGGACGAAGACTGTGAGGAATTGACCATGCAAAATTTGATTGATGCCTTGCCTGCGTGTCTTTTAGTAGATATTGCGACTAGTTTACTTCTGAATAACAATGGGAAATCAAGGGCTAAGGAATTCTTGAACGAAGTACTACGAATGACCGTAGCGTCGGAGGAATGTCGTCAGATACTCAGCTCGACAAAAATGTTTTCTATTTTTCGTGAGAAAACGTTTGATGCGCTTAAAAATAGCATGAAGTTTGATCTTCTACGTGGACAAGGAGAACACGTACAAGAAGTGAAGCTAAAACAGGACTTCGAATCTGGTTCGAGAACGCTTATTAACAAAGGCGGAGGTAGGCACTTAAAAAAATCTAAATTTCTTTCATCTAATAAGATCAATACTAGGCGGTATTCATTAAGTCAACGCATCTGGGTATATATAGAAACAATTCTGTCGGGAAGGGCTGGGTCTTACATTTCATGATCCTGGTTAATAAAAATTTAAAGTTTGTCCGTGCACATATGCACTTTTTTAGTTTTAGTTACCATTTCGAACATTTTATCAAATAGTTACCTCCAGTTGTTGTGAAAATAATATCAGGACGTATATAAAGTTTAATAAAGCAAAAGCGCTACCTTGTTCGTTTTGAAACAAAGTACCCAGATCAGACAGAATATGAAACCAAGCTTACTGAGACTTCAGTAAGTCACAAAATAATCATGATGATTTATATTACAGATAAAGAGGACGATTCACAAGTCGAAGAAATCACAAGTACTACGAGCCGAACTCCCGAAAGAGCAGCAGATACCGTTGAACCTACGTTAAGTAAAATCTCGGAAGCTAATGTAATAATTGATTCACCCCAGAATTTGGTCAGTGATGACGAAATTATTAAACTTTCACACACGGAACAAGCTTCTATCGATTCTGATATTTCTCCGGTATCGCGTGAATCTGACAGAAAAATATCAGATGACCGTTCATCACTCAACGATACCGAGATTCCGAAGATGCCAAATTACTCCGTAACCGCGTCAGACAATTACGTGAAACCGAAAGTTCGCAGCCATAAGCGAAAACGATATTCATCAGCCAGTCGCGAAGGTCAATTACTTGAGTTTTTCAAAAATTACCTGGAAATCAACGCAGGATCGTGTTCAACTGATCTGCTCATTTCAAGCGCACACAGACGCTTTCATGATGAAAGATTTGCTCGCAGTCGTTTGGCTTTCGAAGCGTATGTTTATGATCTGGCATTCCAAAATCACGACTTATTTATTTTCAGTGGAAGTACTTGTGAATTTGGCGTTACCAAAATATCTCGAAGCGGTGGCACACCGAGCTCTTCACCGCAAGTTGCCGAACCAGCTAACCTATTCTTTCTTAAATTTATACCGGAAGTTTGCAAAGAGTGTTGTTCTTTTCTCTGTATCAAACCGAACAAGCGAAGCCTTTTGATTGAGGTTTGCGAGGCTGTCAACTCGCGGTTGCACGACCATCTTGGAATCTTTTCTGACAAGGAAATTACTGCAGTTGTTCATTGCCTAGTCTTAGTCGCACTCATACGTAATCTTCGCCTGTTCTGTTTTTCCGTAAACGAGCCAGTTGTATATCTTCGCGATCACAAGGAGTCACATACAAAGCCTACGTCTCCACAATATAAGTACAGGCGTGAGGTAGAGAACATTCTGCAAAATCCTACTTTGACCGACGCCATCCTGCTGATGGCGGACATTGTAAGAACGTGCCGCCCTACATCTCAAACTTTGTTGCGGAATATGTGGCAAACTCGAGCACCTCCTACTCTTAGGAAAGTTTTTGGGACTGGTATTTCTTTTACACTCTCACTTAGAAAATATGGCTTCGTTTTTCCATCATCCGACGAGGGAAAAATATCAGTTGACGAAGACGTTATGAGTCATATAGTCCGTCCTATTGAGTGACTGACAGATCGGTAAATGTTGCCTCTTCAATGTTTATACACACAGCAAATGTTAAATTATTTTCTGTATCACCATGCAGTTTTAATAACTGCCAATTTCTTATTTATTTTCTTTCGTTTCGTTCCACTACATTTTTTCACCCACTGCCCATGGTTCGCCATGTAAACTTTCTTTTTATGGTGCTTTTTCAGCTTGCAATATCTTGGTCTGCTATTCTATCTTACTATATTGTTAAAGAACAAATGTTAATGAAGGTTACTCAACCAATGCATTGTACCTTAATATAAGTTTCATTGGTCATTATCGGCATAACTTATCCAGACCGCGAAGGGATACGCATATAAATATCCACCATTTCCTGTTCAAATAGTTTTTATCAATTAAAAATCCAATATTATATATTACGCGTATTTTTCAGTCTTGTCTGGAAGACAGGTGATATTATATTAGTGTATGCCAGGGCTTCCCAAACTAGGGGCCGCGAAACGGATTTTAGGGGCCGCAAAGAACACCAATTTTACACAAAGTACTATATCTATTGCACTTTTTCAGACTCTTGATGCGAAATACAGTTATTAAAAATAGTGTAAATCAAACATTTCACGATTCCGAGTGAATATATCATCATAATACCGTGTTTCCCCAAAAATAAGACAGTGTCTTCAATTTTCTTTCGAAAACAACACTAGGGCTTTTTTGGGATAGAGAATACCGAGATTTTTTATTATACAAAATATGTATACCGATTTGCTTATAAATAGTACGTTTATAGTTTTTATTTAAAATAACTACTACGTATAGATTATTAACCATTTGAAAAGTAGAAACGATTTTTTGCTATCGACTGGGACTCAGTGGTTCTCGAACTTCATTGTATTGTGAAGCCCTCCAAAAATATGCTCAAGTTGCGACTCCCCGTGAAAATACGTATTGATCATATAAACGAACAAAAACTTAACGACAGTCAGTAAAATCGCATTTGATGACCCTGATAGAAAGACTGCTTTATATAAATACGAAACGAAATTTTCTGTAAAAGTAGAAGATATGGTTTGGTTGAAACGTTCACGAATCACGAAATTTTGCGACGCCCTAGCAAAATTGAAACGACGCACTTCCACGGGATTAAGTAAAAAACAATAGTTGCGCTATCAACTGAGTAAGTCTTTTTTTAAAGGCGAGCGCTTATATTAACATCCTTTTTAAAATTCAGGCTTGGTCTTATTCTCGGGGAAACACGGTAGAATCATCGCGCTTGCATAACAATGCATATTCTGATTGTAAAACCCGATTTGCGGGTGCTTGCATAACAATGACGGCTTTAATCCTTAAGATAGCGGTTTTCGAGGACGATTTGCTGAGTGGGCCTCGAAACATATTATATTTATTCTAAATGTTTCATTGTTGCAAATGATGTGTATATGAATCAAATTCATTTTACCATTTTATTTTGTTTACTTTCTTTTACGTAGGGTCTCTTGTTACGTAAGATAAGAGGTAAACCCTGGCCTGCATGCTGCAATCTCATAGACTGTAGTTTATTCATTTGCTTAACCGAGATTATCAAACATGAGTTTTTTTTAGCATTTTAAAGAAAAACTGGCAGAGATAAGAAAGAAACTTTAACCTTCTGCCTTTATTCCTTAGACCTACATGTTTAAAAACATCAAAAGACGTAAAGCACATATTAACAATGACAAAATTGTGTTTTGTTTTGAGGCAGCTTATTTTTCGTGTAGGTCCGCCATGAGTTTTTTCCCTGATAATTTGGCGTCGCACAAACCGCTGCGTTATGCTAAGTTCGATCTATAAGAGTGAACAATTCGAGATGAGGACCATGTCGTCGGTGGCCAGACATCATAATTCATCATTTAGGCCCACATAAACAAACATTGAACAACGGCTGGACTTGCTATGCAGCAAAAGCATTCGCGCCCATTACACTGAATAATTGAGAAACGTTAATCTGAATAAATATGTGCTTGTTTTTTGTTTGGTAAGGATATAATAATAGTTGAGAATTAGCTGCGCCAATAAGACACCAAAAATGCATATTTCGAACTGTTTAGCATTATTAACGTTAACAAGGGCTGCGAAAAATTTTAATATATTAAAAGGGGCCGCGAACTCAAAAGTTTGGGAAGCCCTGGTCTATGCAAATAAGTTGGGTGTTGCATTCAAGACTAGGGATGGCGGAATCGAGTCCGGATTCGATTACAGAATCGATTCTTCGCGGAATCGTTTTTGTAACATATATATATATATATGTATAAACTGCTTCACTGATATGTTGAGTTGCTTCGACGCCACAAACTTCACTGTATATGATATATATATATTTCGCTGGAAGGCTCTAACGTTTATTTATTTTGAAAATCTCTGTGGGTTCTGAAGGAATTTTTTTTGCGATTTTGTCTCCTGTGACAGATTGGATACCCATACTACTTAGTTTCGGCCTTCTTGTCCGTCCAGAATTTGAACATCGTGCTCTTGTTTGATTTCATATGGTGTTGCTTAGGTGGTTATAGGTTTATTCGGTAAGATATGTCGAGGAATCGAGAATCGGAATCGAAAATTTAATTTCGAATTTCGCAACTGCTACGTCACAATCACGTAATAGAGCTTCACCTAATTTAGATGGCGTAATTGCACACAAAAAAACAAATTCCGTTGATTGGCACATAGAATTTTTGAAATAAAATGTAATAGTTTCCAATCACTACTGAAAGTTTCTTAGCAATTGGTCCTGTAATTAATGAGATTTGATAACAACAACAAGAAATAGAATTCCAACAGCAACATAATAACTAAACGATCCACAAGGTCCATTTCGTGTCCAATAATAATAACAAAACTATCTATAGCAGGGGTCGGCAACCTACGGCCCGCTGGGTAATATAATTCGGCCCGCAACGCTCCACTGAATTATACTATCAAAAGAGCTGTTTTGACGATTATATATATTCTTTTCGTAACAGAATTTATTGCGAGACACGTGTAGACTAAATTATATTATAACAAGTATATAATTCACAATTACTCGTTTAATAAGCCTTTAATTCATATGTTATTTGTTAAAATGAAATTTAAATTTATGAAATTTGTTAAAATTCTGTTGTGTTTGATTTTATTACTTCTTCACACAGAGTACGGTTGCAATAAACTGACGTTGAGTCCACAAAGGTTTTTGCCGGTGAGAAAACAGTCCACGACCAGAAAAGGTTGGGAAAGGCTGGTGTAGTGGCATTAGCTTATATCCGACCAAATCATTTTTCGTTGTCTCCCTCGCCGCTCATTCGAAATTCATAGCGTACGTAACTTTGGTAATTACAGATGACTTTGCAAAGGTTATCGAGTTGGTCGACAGAAAAGCACATCAATACTTTGGAGTGGACACTGAAGAATTTGTTCGTTTCACGGGTGATAATATCTTAGAAATAGAAAAAAAAGGTGAACAACAAAGTACTTGCAACGATATTTTAGTTGAAGATACTGGGTTGGATACTATACAAGCTTGAAAGATTTACCAGACTACATGGTCCACTACTCATTACAGCGCCATATTCAATACGGTATTATTGCATTGGGCTCAGCTGATAAAACATTGTTACGGCGCATTGAAAGTACACACTAACCCGAGCAATCCCTGTCATATGTGTTGTCAGTCATCGCTCACGACTCCTTCCTATTTCAAAATTATAATGGCAGATATTTATGAAATCTGAGTGTTTAAATTAATGCACCAACATCACTACAAAAAACGTCCCCCTGTATTCACAAACTATTTTTGAAACAGAGCAATGTTTACCCATATGAAACGTTTCTCAGTAAGGTGGTCTTATTATGTAAACCGCTTTTTCACCAAACTCACCCAAAACGATCAAATTGGTTCGTGTTAGATCATGGAATAAGCTCCTTAATAGCATTTTGGCATGTAATTATAATTTTTACAAACATGAACTAAAAAACGGAAGGCCTACGCGAAAAGATGAGAATGTTAGAGAAACTATTTGTCAAATATCAACTCTCGCAGCCAGAAGCTCGTTTCTGGGCACACCATCGTATTGCAGCGTTCATGCTATGCTTAGTCATAGTAATAATCAAATTTGGCAGTTTTTTGGCCACGCTATATATTCTATTTGCAGACGCCACATATGCGTCATCTGATACCCCACATTGTGTCATACCCGTAGTTTATTTCGATTTTTTGTTGTTTTCTCTTTTTATGAATGTGTTTAATTCAGTAAAAGTTCAATATTTAGTAGTTCCGTCTTCATATTTGTTGCGTTAATTCAGCTATTAGGTATCTCTGACTAGCTAACCTTTTTGCTTTTAGTTACCCCCCGAGTGACGAAATAATCAACGCGAACCCCCAGTAATCAGACACCAAACAAAGTTGTGATATATTGACTGACAATTTGCTGCAACAACAATTTATTGACCAGCTGCTGTAACTAATTTAAATCTTCGTGTTGATGTTATTACCCTTGTCCTCTGCCTAACTAATTAATTCTTAAAATTTCTTTCAAGTTTTGATAAGCATATCACTTTCTGCAATGCTCGCAGCACATTGTCTTTCAAGATTTCACAGTTTGGCTGCAAAGCCGTGCATTTCACATTGTTGCGTCACAATCACAACAACGCAAGATCAGGGAAAATCTATGCATTTTCCTCTGGAAGTTACTTAGTTTTTCTTTGTTAAGTGATATTAAAAAAATCAACGCACGAAAACTCGACTGCCATCCAAGTACCCCTAGAAATCTTCTTGTAAACCCCTGGGGGTTCTCGAACCCCAGGTTGAAAATCCCTGAGCTAGATGATCAATTGAGTCTGTAGCGACTCCGATATTCGTTTTTGTAGTTCGTGGCATGTATTTCATATATTGCTTATTTCATATTGGCATACCGCATATTAGACAAAAATAAATTTCTGAATCTTAGAACTCCCTATCCCAGCCAAACTCAACTCTTCAAAAACATCACTATTCGGTTCATTTCTTTATTTCACAAATTAGTGATTCCAAAAAGCTAAACACATGGTGCCAATTTTATTACCCATAGAATAAGTAATAAAACAAACACTTTGAGTCCCACACTAGGTACCTCGTTCTATTACATTAATTACTTCGGAGGGCGACCGACTCTGATGACTTTATGGTCATATCGCTCCCCTCGAGCTATGCCGAATCACTTTGTGTATTTTGCATATTTTTTGTATTGTACCAATGCCTGTTTTCTGGTTGACGAATCAAAATATCTCACTCTCTCTTAGTTAAAAATATCACGGAAAGGTTATTACGGAGAGTGATTTTGGTGGGCTTCTGGCTTTCTTATAAAAAATTCACGATATCCTTAAGCCCCGAAACCTGCCCAAAAAGACGGTAGTGCTACATGTGTGAT